CAAACGATTTTGCATTAGGCAAATCTGTTGCAAAAGATCTCTTTAAAGTGTTGAAGAGCAGAGAACTAAGGCGTGCCTGACACAACCACTGCTTGAGAACTAAGGTGTGTCTGACACACAATCCATGGTATTTTTAATCACCTCACAAGCATGTAAAAGTTGGACAATGAATAAAGAAGACTGTAGAAGAATTGAAGTATTCGAATGATGGTGTTGGTGAAGAATATTGGAAGTTACCATGGACTGCCAGAAGAACAAACAAATCTGTTGTGGAAGAAGTAACAGCCAGATTCTTCCTTAGAAGCAAGGATGGCAAGACTTTGTCTGTCATACTTTGGAGATGTTGTCAGGAAAGACCAGTTCTTGGAGAAGGACATCATGCTGGTAAAGTGAATGGTCAATGAAAAAGAAAAAGACCCCCAACGAAATGGATTGACACAGTGGAAGCAACAATGGGCTCAAGTATGACAACCATTGTGAGAATGATCCAGGACAGAGCAGTGTTTTGGTCTGTTGTACATAGGGTCACTATGAGTCAGAATCAACCTGAAGGCACTTAAGAACAACACTAAGTAACTTTAAGCACTTAGCTGCTAACCAAATGTTGGCAATTCCAGCCTACTTAGTAGTTCTATGGGAGAAAGATGTGGCATTCTGCTTTTTGAAAGATTGGTGGTGGTGTGCCTGGAATTGGTTCCAACTCATAGTGACCCCATACTGAGTTTCTAAGGCTGTAAATCTTTATGGGAGCAGAACGCCTCATCTTTTTCCTGCAGAAAAGCTGGTAGTTTTGAACTGCTGACCTTGAGGTTAGTATCCTGACTTGTATTGAAAGATTATAGTCTAGAAAACTCTTTGGAGCACTTCTACCCTGTCACTTGGGGTTGCTGGTGGTGGTGGCTGTGTGCCGTGGAGTCGGTTCCGACTCATAGCGATCCTGTACAGAGTTTCTGAGGCTATAAATCTTTATGGGAGCAGAAAGCCTCATCTTTCTCCCACGGAACAGCTGGTAGTTTTGAACTGCTGATTCGCAGCCCGATTCGTAACCACTACGCTACCAGAGCTAGGAATAGGAAATTCACTTGGCAGTACACAAGAGGTTAACTATGGTAGCAGGCCATTTATGTGGTTGCAAGGATTTCTTATAAATTAGCATACTCAAGGTTGCTCCTTCAAAAACGTGAGAAGAGCTGAAACTTGTTTACAAACTTCTCTCTAAACTCAGTTTTAGAGAGATTTTTGTTTCCAGGAGATGAAACTGGGCCTGCTCATTTTTTTTTTCCATTTCAGTCAGTGATAGGAGTCCACACACACCATTGTTTTATAGTCACTTCAATAATTACCTTTTTGCTGATGGTGATAGCCAGTTATATCTATCCGACTGCCAAATTCTCCAAGGAAGTATATTTTTCTAACTTTTAAGGCTGCCATGTTTCTGAATCTTAACGTTTTAAAAATGTAAATCACTGGTGATTTTCAAGATTGTTACACAAGTGTACACTGATAATTCCGAATTTTGTGAATTTTCAACTTATTGTTTCAAGACTCAAAAGATAGGAAGCTTTCACTATTGTTCAATGGGTCATGTCTAATCAAAAGCAATCGAACACTTTTGTAGTTCATGTTATGAAATGATAACAACAATGTATTGTTTTCTAAGCCATTGAAAGAAGAGGAAAAGTTCTCATCATGGTAATACAAGGTGTTATTCAATACAGGCTAACTAGTGTTTTCTTCTGTGGGGTAAATCACCTTCATTATATGTTGTTGTTGTCAGGTGCCATCAAGTTGGAACCGAATCATAGCGACCCCATGCACAGCAGAATGAAACAATGTCCAATCCTGGGCCAACCTCACTACCGCTACCACACTTGATGCCACCTGGCCGATCCATCTCGTTGGGGGTCTTTCTCTTTTTCTCTGACCCTCCATTTTACCCAGCATGACATCCTTCTCCAGCGACTGTTCCCTCCTGACAATATGTCCAAAGTATGAGAGACAAAGTTTAGCCATCTTGGCCTCCAAGGAGCACTCTGGCTGCACTTCTTCCAAAACAGATCTGCTGGTTCTTTTGGCAGTCCATAGCACTTTTAGTATTCTCCTCCAACACCACAATTTAAAGGCATCAATTCTTCATTATATAGAAACCTTATAATACAAGGTGTTATTCACACATGTTAAGTCGTTTTCTCTGCTGAGTGTGGTAAATCACTTTCCCAACCCTTACTGTCTCAGTCATTACACAACAAAAGGTACTTGGTCATACTTTGAAGCCTGAAATCATGTACCTTAACCAGAAACAAACTCTTTATTGTTTTCTGATCAACACAACATTCTAATGTTCTAATAAATCTATTGATGTCTTAAAAAAAAAAATCACTGTTTCTAATGAAAATTTCTAATTTGCAACTGTTAATTATTTCTTTTCTATATACCTTCAAGGGAAATTTACTTTTTTTTCTCTTGTGAAATTTTAAGTGATTGTACAAACCATACATTCCAAGAAATGAAAATAATTTTTTTGTTGTTATTAACAAAAAACAATGGCAGAGAGATGATGCTTGTGGCTGAACCAGGCTATTCTTCTGGGCTTCTAGCAGAAACCATCACCAGTAACACTATTCTAACCAGGAATTAGTCAGCTGGGAAAGGGTCCATGTTTAGAAACAAGTCAACACTTCTGTCATCAAGTTCACCAAGGCCAAAAAGACAAAAAAAACAACAACAAAAAAACCCCAAGCCACTTTGATATAGTAAATGTTTGTTCAAATATTAGAACTATTATAACAAAAATGCCCTAGGGTTTTTGCTAATGCTTGTTTTTGTGTTGAAGCCCATTTATCCAGGAAAATGAGCATAGCATGCCAGCAATATCTATTTAGACTTCCACAGGTCAAGTTGACTGAATGTGGACACACTTTTCATGTCCTTTGGGAGAGGCTTAGTTTGAAGATGGTCACTAACATTTTTGGGCATTTTGGTGGAAACCTTAACTCAGATATTTACAGAGTGACTTGTTTTTCCACACATTATTTTATTTAATTCCAGAGGAAAATGACTGAGTGTCTTTACCATCTATTCTGTTTAAGAAACAGCTATAGGAAGGCTGTTATTTACCTTGTGGTAATAAAGGGATTATTAGGAGGCCATTTTGGACTTTCTAATGCCAGTGTTCTGATACACAGACCTTCTCTACCTCTGACCTTATTTGTCATAACAAGTTGTGTTTTGACAACCATATTCAAAGGCCAAACTGAGTATTGTTGTTGGGTGCCATTGAGTTGATTTTGACTCATGGCGACCCCATGTGACAGAGTAGAACTTCACCCTAGGATTTCCTAGGGGTCATCTTTACAGAAGCAGTTTGCTAGGTCTTTCTCCTAAAGAAATACTGGGTGGGTTCGAACCTCCAACTTTAAGGTTAGCAGCTGAGCACTTAACTGTTATACCACCAAGGCTCCTATAAAGAGTGATAATATCTATGTTTTCCCTTTTGTTTTGGAGGGGCATATTACAGCATTGTATGCTAGTATGAATCATTCTTTATGTTGAGATGTATGTAATCCGTACTGAAGACTGTAGTTTTTGATTTTCATCAGTAAGTGCTTCAAGTCCTCTTTGCTTTTAGCAAGTAAGATTGTATCATCTGCATATTGTAGATTGTTAATGAGTCTTCTTCCAATCCTGATGTCATGTTCTTCTTCATATAATCCACAGTTTCTCAGATTATTAGCTCAGCATAACAGATTGAATAAGTATGGAGAAAGGATATAAACTTGATGCAAATCCTACCTAATTTAAAACCATTCAGCATCGTCTTGTTCTGTTTGAATGCCTGCCTCTTGGTCTATGTACAAGTTCCCGATGAGCACAATGCAATGTTCTGGAATTCCCATTCTTTGCAGTGTTATCCATCGTTTGTTATGATCCACATAAGTGAATGCCTTTCACAGTCAATAAATACAAGTAAACATCTTTCTGGCATTCTCATAGTCACCATTATTATTATTTTAACTTTTTATTGTGAATCCAGTGAAGGTTTATAGGGCAGATCATCATCAGTTTTACACTCAATAAATTAATAGACTTTGTTTCATTTCAATGATAACAATCCCCATCACTTAACCCACTTCTTCCTGTGATTCTTGCTTCCAATCCATCTTCTTTTCCAACCTCTCTGAAATTTGTCCTTAGGTAAATGTTACCTTTTTGATATTGACTGATGGCTGACCATTCCATGGTGTATATAACCCTCTAGTGTTGTTGTCCCCACCTATCTACTGCTTGGCTGAACATTGAAGCCCAAGGGTGAGTTCAGGTCCAGGCCTGAAGGGTGACCAAGGGTGATAGTCTCACATTCGTCCAATCTCTTTCTGACCAATAAGCCTGGTCTTTCTTATATTTTTGAGTTTCACATTTTCTCTCACTCTATCCAGGACCTTCTAATGTGAACCATTTCAGAATAGTTGTTGATGATAGCTGGGTACCATCTAGTTCTTCTGATGTTCATGTGTTCCATTAGTCCATTGGCTAGTTGATTCCAAGCATCATCAATTTTCATAACTCTTCTTTTCTCCAGACAGGAAGAGACCAATAAGTGTACATTAGGTGGTCACTCAGGAGTTTCTAAGACCCCAGTGGACATTCACTAAAGTAGGATGTAGGAGGACATTGTGGACTGTTAATCACATTGACCATGGTGTCCCATGGGACTATGGTACTGAGCCCCCAGGCTCAGTAACTCATTCCCTCAAGGTGTTTGGCTATCATTATTATTTATATTGAGATATTTTTAGGAAACCATCAGACAAGAGGTGAATTTGATCTCACAAAATTGCTTATGTGTAACCCTCAGCAGGTTGGGGTTGCCATGTGTAGGTGCATTTGTGCAGATGACATTCCAGTTTCCTGTGTCCTAGGCTGTCAAGAAATGGAAAGAAGTGGGAAAGCAGCAGCTGGTAATGGAAGCATTTGTTTCTAAATGGTGGGCAATGTGTATTCTAGATCTGCATGAGAAACATGGAAGGTGACATGATCAAAAACAGTTACTAATGCATGTTTTTGTATTGTATGTGTTTATTTTTCTTGAATGGTAGGGCAGGTTGGGTCGGAGCAAGGCTTTCTAAGGTATGGCATGTATAGCACCTGCCCTGGGCACCACTTGAAGGAGGTGACACTGAGCAGTTTCTAGGAACCATCACAGTATCCTTGACTAGTTGTGAGAGATCATTAACTAAATTAAAAGAATTCTTTTGTACTTGAGAGCCTCCATGAGTCGATGGCATTGTGGGTTAGGTATTAGGCTGCTAACTGCAAGGTTGACAGTTCAAACCCATTAACTGTTCTGTCCTGCAAAGATTTATAGTCTCAGAAATACCATGTAGGGTTGTCATGAGTCAGAGTCAGCTGATGGCAGTGGGTCGTGTTTTGGTGGGTCAAGGCAAACAATAATCTTGCTGTTGAATGTAGGAAGGGAAAAAAACTGGGGAAAATGACTGAGTGCATCACAGACCAATTTTCATCAGAGAAAGCAAGGAAGGTGCAGTTGTGATTTTCATGCAGTGCCCAAATATGTTAAATTAAAGATTAATGAGCTTACCTTTTGTTTTTGAGCTGGTATTATGGTAAAGTTGGTGTCAGATGCTTGGAAAGGGGCATAATCTCATGGTTTGCTAAAGGTACTATTTTCTGTAACTTCACCTCTGGGTAGGATAAAGGGAATACTACCATTGTTGTTGTTGTTAAGTGCTGTTGACTCGTTTCTGACTCATAGTGACCCTGTATAGAGTTTCCAAGGAGCGGCGGGTGAGCTTGAACCACTGACCTTGTGGCTCAAATGACTTTGCAGTCCAGTGCATTAGCCCGTAGATGGATGCAATCAGTCATTTCAGATTTACCTGTTGCCGTCTAGTCGATTCTGACTCATAGGAACTGCCACACAGTATATCATAGGCTGGAAACCTTTATGCAAGGAGACTGCTACATCTTTTTTCTACATAGTGGCTGGTTGGTTCGGACTGCTAACCTTTTGGTAAGCAGCCAAGTACTAAACCACTGTGTTAGTAGTAAGGGCTCCTATTTCATATTTAACTATTAACTTTTGAAACATGATAAATTATTCTACTGGAGGGTTGCTGAGATAGTCAAATGATTTAACACATGAGGAAATGCTTTATAAAAAGTTAAAATTAACTACATTAACTACATAGATGCAAAGTATTGGTGTTGTGAGAAACATTCCCTATACTGACAAACTCGCAAGTAATCCAATCTCTACTCATTTTAGCATGAGTGAGGTTTTCTTTATTCGATTTTGCAAAATTGGGCCCCGATCCAGTAAACATGGGCAAACGCGCCACATGGCCCACCACAAAGGTTTTTATTCTTGTTTCCAAAAAGCCCCTCCTCCAGTTCCAGTTCGCCACATACAATTCTATGGTGTGTCCCATTTTCCCTACCCCTGTTGTTGTTGTTGTTATGTGCTGTCGAGTCGGTTCCGACCCATAGCGACCCTGTACAGGGTTTCCGAGGTTGTAAATGGTTTGTCCATTGCCTTAATGGCTGTATTCTTATTTAAATGTCCTAGTCCTAGAACACCCAGGTTACACATCCCTCCCTGTTTGTAAATGAACAATCTGTTTGCCAGGCCTAGCAATCTTATGAATTCCTGAAGATGGACCACGCCCACAAGACTTATTTCTTACTATGTGGGCTATCTTATCATCTTATAAGATGATTTAGAGTCCTGGTGTAGTGCTGTGGGATAAAGCACTGGACAGACCGCAAGGTTGGTTTGAATCACAAGATCAGTGGTTCAAACTCACCAGCCACTCCTTGGAAATCCTATACAGGGTCGCTATGATTCAGAACCGACTTGATGGCACTTAACAACAACAGTGTGTTTAGTTAAGCACAGATTAGGTAATAAACATAACCAAGAGGTCTAAGAAGCAGGAAACAGAAAAGTCACCTTTTAGGAAAAGACCCAGTGCCTTACCATGTCTGTGAATCGATCCACACAGGCCATTCGAACCCATTCTGGTGTCGCTGGGCTCCTCACAGTAAAGTCTTCCGCTATGTCTCTTTCTTTTCGTGCTGTGGCCACAGCATCAGCGATGGCAAAGAACACAGATGACCCCAAGAACATCCCTGACTCTCCAAGGCCCTGAGAGAGAACACGTTTGTTTTAGGAGCTTCTGTACTGGACTATAAGGAGCTCTGGTAGCGTAGTAGATTGGGAGCTGGGCTGCTAACTGCAAGGTCAGTAAAGTCAGCGATTTGAATCTGCCAGTCTCCCCATGGGACAAAGATGAGGCTTTCTGCTCCTGTAAAGATTTACAGCTTTGGAAACTTTACACAGGGTCACTGTGAGTTGGAACTGACTTGATGGTGCATAACCACCACCATATAGGAGCCCTGGGAGCACAGTGGATTAGGCTGGCCAGTAAGGTAAAAGCAGTTCAAATTTACCATGTGTTCTGCTTGAGGAAGAGGAGACTTTGTGCTCCCATAAAGATTTGTTGTTGTTGTTGTTATGTGCCGTGGAGTCGGTTCCAACTCATAGCGACCCTGTACAGGATTTCCAAGACTGTAAATCTTTAAGGGAGCAGAAAGCCTCATCTTTCTCCTGCGGAACAGCTGGTCATTTCGAACTGTTGACCTTGAGATTTGCAGCCCGATTCGTAACCACTACGCTACCAGAGCTGCTTCCCATAAAGATTTACAGCCTCGGAAATCCCATACAGGTTTGCTGCAATGGCACACAACCACCACCACCACTCTGGTCCTGTTCGCTACTGTATCCCATAAAGGGGCTCTCCACACAGGATCTGACTTACCTACAGTAGGGTCTCAGTAGTGGTTATTGACAGACTTACTGACTGAATGAAGCTTCTTGTTGAACTGACTTTGTGGTTCAAATTGAACTTGGGGTCCAGTACTTACCTTATTACATCACCACACCAGGAAGCTCGAGTACTTTTTCAAATCCCCATAACTCCTGAAGTTCCCAGATCTTTAATGCTGTTTAGGTTAAATCTTTATTCTAAAAGAAAGATGTATATGTGTGTATGTGTGTGTGTGAGGGGAGGGTGCTGTATTAAGAAAAGTGCATTCAATGAATTGAACCAACTTTATAAGCAGAGAGGAAAATGCCACAGTTTTCCAGGATTTCCAGTGGCGTTTACGCACAATCTCATTTAGTAGTTTAATCTTAAGGTTCTTGTGTAAAAATGTTATCCTATCAAAAAGTCAAAGCTTTTTGTTGAATTTTAGAGTTTTCAGTGAAATTGACTATCAGTAAAATCCTTGGGATTAAGATGGTGGTGGTGGTTATGTGCTGTTCTGACTCATAGTGACCCTATACAGTGTTTCCGAGGCTGTAAATCTTTACAGGAGCAGAAACCTCATCTTTCTCCTGCAGAGCAGCTGGTAGTTTCGAACTGCTGACCTTGAGGTTCGCAGCCCGATTTGTAACCACTATGCTACCAGACCTATACTCACGCTATTTGACATAGTGGATCATTTATCTTCTCTATGTCTTTTCACTGGGTAGCTCATCTCCAAATTCTAGTAGTCTGTAATTGGGTTCTGGTAACAGTTGACCTTTATTATTTTTTTCACTGACTTGAAACTCTGCAATCAGTGTGAGTCCATTGTCCAGCAGGTACAGGTACTTACCTTGGATGAGTAGATGGTGAGTGGGGTTTGTGATGATGGCAGAAAGGAGACGTTGAACTCCTCTGGGACGTCAGTGATGGTTGGAATTTTGTACTTATCTGGGCCCCGAGAGTACAGGACCCCTTCTGGAGAATATTTCAGCTCTTCGGTGGTGTAAAGGCCCATTCCCTGAATAAATGCCCCTTCAATCTAAAGGGGGACAGTTTCAAGCACTGTGACATTGTATACTTTTTAGAATGCTTACCCCACTGTCACTCTCAGGAGGGGGGATCCATGTCAATGGCTGGCACCTACCTGCCCCATGTCAATGGCTGGATTTAGGCTACAACAAGCATCCATGACGATATCTGTTCTGATCTTCTGTCAGAATTAGAAATCACTTTATTACTAAAACTTGAATTGAAAATATATTATTTTAAGGTTTGTTCAAATGGTCTCAAGTCATTCAAGAACTCCTGGTGGTCAATAAACAGTACATTGAACCCTATCAACATTAGAGTTAGATTGGAGCTGGTGAAACATCTGCCAAAATGTTTTGTACTGGGACTGATGACCGCAGAAGACCTTTTGCATTCATGGTTTTGACTCTTAAGTAACTCCAAAGTCCATGCTAATGTGTGGGACTGAGTTACTTAGTAAATAATTGAGCCTTGTTGTTTACCCAGCATCTGATTCTCATTTTGGGTTTGTTGTTTTAGTATAATTCATGAACTCATCCTATCCTTATGATAATTAGAGGTCGGTGGTATTATTGCCACTTTATGAAGGAAATCATATAGCCATAATGCATGTCTCATTTTGTAGGTTTGCAAAATCTTGCACTGTATTAAGGGCAAGCATTGAGACCACCTTTAGCTTTGCTATAGTCTTCTTTCTTCTCTGAGATACATCACACTAACCTCATCTTTTGGTTTGTCCCTTAGCATACCTGTCAGGTTATTGAGGAGCCACAGAAAGCCCCTGAATGCCTGTGGGCTACCTCAGGAATCCCCCTGCGCTTCTCTTTGGCTTCACATGCTGATAACACTCATTGTGCCTCCACATCCAGGGTTTGTTCTGATAACACTCATTGTTCCCAATACCTGCCTGGACTTGGACTTTCAACCTAGTCCTTTGGAGCCAGTAATTCTCTTCTAACTCAAACCTGGCCTCTCAGTCTTCATCCATCCTCAACCTGAATAGTGACTGAGACTGAATAAACCTTAGAGTGGGCCTTTCATCTTACTTCTGCCTTGAAACCTGATATATTTAGTATAATGGGTGGTGAACAGTAGGGAGAGATGACTGTATTATTGAATTGTAGCTGTTTTAATTCAACAACCATAAGTGGCCAACGGCAATAAAACAACAACAACAACAACAAAAACCAATAAAACCAGGACACTATTTTCATTGAGCAGTTAACTCTGGTTCATGGAGACTTCATGTATGCCAGAGTGGACCTGTGAGCCATAGGGTTTCATGGAGTTTTTGGAAGTAGATGCAGCAGAGCATGTTACCCATTTCTATTACCCAGAGATTCCAACAATAAAACCTGTCACTGAATTGCTTTGATTTTTTCATCAATGAAAAGAAGTTTTGCTTCTTCAGGAAAGAAACTATACTATCTTAAGAGATCAAAGTGATATGGAAATAACTGAACCTTAAACTATAATAAGGAAGACCGTATTTTAACCTTTCTGTCACCATACATCTGGAAGATCCCCATGAAGTTGATTTCTTCAGGAATTTGTATGGACACCCTTGGGTAGGATTGCTAAATAAAAAAAGTGTGTCCCATGTAACACACAGGGCATAGTTATACTAGAAAAGCATTTATTGTTTGTTTGCTGTTGTTAAGTGCTGTGGAGTTGATTCTGACTCATAGTGAGCCTGTATAGGGTTTCCAAGGAGTGATTGGTGGGTTTGAACCATCTGCCTTGTGGTTAGCAGTCCAGTGCTGATCCTACATTGCCACACCAGGACATTGTTTATATGAAATGAAAATTTAATTGGGTTTCCTGTATTTTTATTTATTAAATTTGCCAACATTACCTTCAGAGTGGTAAGTCAGAAAACTAGTTGATTTCTAAAAACAGAGTTTTCCACCTAATGTGGCTCCTCAGATGGGCTACAGGTGTGCTGAGATACAGACATCGGGACCTTTGTGGAGAGTGGAGACAGGACACCGAGGCTGGTTGCCTCCCTCATGGCCTTCTTATTTACCACACTATGCACACATTTTCTGTGTGTACTGTGTTGTGAAAAACATTAGATATCACAGTTTAAAAATAATTCTATGATTAACCTGTAATCCTAATTTCATGAGTTTTGTATGATCTAGAATGAAAATGGAGACATAATATTTATGTGTCCCAAAGAGAAAACTGAGTTGAGTGTGAGGGCTACCTGCTTTTCAGAACATCTCTTCATTTACTGTATTTAAATGGTGGACAAGTCAACCAACAATGGGGGTAATGAGACATTTTGATACAATTCACAGGTCAGTATTTTTCAAGTCCTTTTTATCCTACATGAATTAACATTCTGATTTTGGGCAAGGTGACTCAAGGTGATATTGGAATAATTTTTATATGGAATTTGGATGTGCTATAGGTTCATCCTGTAAATTTCCTCACAACTTAACTATACTTTAGGTTTCAATATACTATATTTAAGGTTTCTGTAATCTATGTGCTCCAAGGATGGTACATAGAATATATCCATGGTTTTGATGCTTTGGATTTATCCTAAATAGTATAAATTATTAACTTTTAGTTAAATGTAACTCTCTATTTTCAATCGATGGTTTCTTAGATGTTTAATTAAAGAGAAAACATGAAAATTATTTTCACTAAAAAATGATTTCTTTTTTAGTGTCAGTAGCCCCTTTGGTATGGTTGTTTTTTTGAAAAACATCAGCAAATTGCTATGTATTTACTATGTTTTCTCAAGACTTTTAAATGACCTATTTCTTCAGATTAGATAACGCATCATTCTTCCTTTAGGATCAGAACCACTTTTTAGAAAACTTAAGAAGGCCATTTTATTGTTTGAAATGGAATAAAAATTCTACTGATACAGGTGGAAGCATTCCAGGCTGCCAGAGCAATGCTTTCTTTCTTTCTTTTGTTTTCCCCAAGGTTTTTATTGTGAGTTGAGTGAAAGTTTACAGGGCAGATCATCAGTTTTATATTCAACAGATCATATACCTTGTTTCATTACAATGGTTATAATCCCCTCCATGTACCATCAGTTAACAGTGTTTCTCTCTATTCACTTTAGCTCTTTTTAAAAAAATACTCAGGCATATATAATAATTTATACCATCAAAGGGCACATTGTGCAAGTCTGCCTTCTGGCCACCGGCTCCTAGTCCCTCTCGTTCCATGAATCTAGAGTCCTCAGCTGCTCCCTGTCTCTGTGTCCCCATCTCTGCCTCCATCTCTGGTGTCGCTGCTTCTCTGGATAAGGTCACACATTCCACTTATGCTCTTCTCCCTTGATGGCCCTAGGGTCCTCTGTTTCAGGACTGTTAAGATTAACTGCTCCCCCACTTTATGTTACAAAACTTCTACCTTTATAGTTGTGACAGTCTCAGTTAGTCATGATAACAATTACTCACTATTGAAGCATAAGAATCTTATCCCCATCTCTTTTTACCAAACCCATCTAGACAAGATGAAAACTATTCAGTAGGGGCTCTATCTTCCCACACACACTTTTAAACTAAACTCCTTCTTGAAACCTTGTAAGCCAGTCCCTTCGTGCCTTTATCGCCCCCTCATTTTAGGTATCCAATGTCTAAGTTGCCCGTCCCTATTTACCCTGTGTACAGAGGGGATAGCGTTGATACTTGATGTGAAGACTCCTTCCCTCAGAGCAATGCTTATTGACTATTACATTTTCTTTCTCAGTGAAAATGTAGGATAAAGCTGGGTCTTGGGACATTCCCATGGAATTGAAAGACTCTTGTTCTTACTGTACAGATAGCATAGTGAAATTGGGCTACTTAATGTAAAGCACAGTATATTTGGTGGTGGTTATTTTAACTTGCCAACAGGAAAGCTACATTGGACTTACCTTGTGAGCTCCAGTCAGGCAGTCAATTTCGACCTCAGAACAGGCAGCTCCATAGACATAATAAGGAAATGGGTCTCCCTCCCCCTTCTCCCAATCCATAAAGGCCTTGTAGCCCCTGTTGGAAGAAATAAAGCCCTTTTGCCTTAGGAGGGTGCAAACAATGTTGATTCATTAAAAAATTATGTAAGGTTTACAATAGCATTTCATTTGATGGAAGTTCATTTAAACTGCTTTTAAACCTTGTTTCAACTGCTAGCTCTATAACCTAGTTACTTACAGCTCCACCATCTTTTGCCTCCATTTATATAGGATAATTCTTGTGCTGCAGTTAGGATGCCACAAAGGAGAGAAGCCAATAGACCGTTTTGGCCTAGACCTTGCACTTGGTCATCTAGGGTTGAGCTTTAGCTGTACATTGAGAGCCTCAAGTGATATTTATCAGTGTTTCCAGAAGGACCCCTACATTGTGCTAACATAACTTATTGTACTTTGTTGTATAGGCTGTTAAGTCAATGCATTAATTTATAATGGAATATGTATTCAACTAGAGGCATGGTTTGTTTTCCTCTTGGGTAAAATGAATGCTGGAATATAGAACTCACTGTGTAGAGGCTCTAGGTTGAGCTAGTACCTCCTTTACTTCTTCATGAAGATTTGCTTTACTTTTTGTTTATTGGTTTGGTTGGTGATTTGTTTCATTAGAATGTAAAATGAATATACACTTTCTGAATTTGACAACCAGCTATCTAGTCCATGCTTCATCAAGGTAATATGCATTTACAAAGGCCATTTCACTGTCGGATAGGTGTAAATGGTGATTAGTGATAAAGGGAGGGAGATTTGGAAAACTGAGTTGCAAGTTATTTCTAATAATACCATCATGTTGTTGTCTGTTGTTGAGTACATTCTGACTCTTAGCAATCTTATGGAATAGAGTAGAACTACCCCAAAAGGTTTTCTAGGCTGTAATCTGAATAGGAGCAGATCACCAGGTCCCCCACACCCTGGACTGACTAGTGCAATTCTAACTTCCAGCCTTTTCTATTAGCAGCAAGTGCTTAACCATTTAGCTACCAGGGGCTCCTTTAACAGTTTCTTCTTATTTATAATGTTGCTTTTAAGTATTGTTGAGTCAGTTCTGACTCATAGTGACCCTGTATAGGGCTTCTGAGGCTACAAATCTTTATGGGAGTAGAAAGCCCCATCTTTCCCCCATGGAGTGGCTGATGGGCTTGAACTGCAGACCTTGTGGTTCACAGTCCAGTGGTTATCGTACAGAGCCCTGCATTCCCTATTACTTATAATAAAGTATAATAAAAACATGATTGTTATTGTTAGATGCCATTGAGTCAGTTCTGACTCACAGTGACTTTATGTAGAACAAAACACTGGCAGGTCCTATGCAATCCTCACAGTCTTTATTAACCTTGAGCCCATTGTTTCTGTCACTGTGCCAATCCATCTCATTGGGGGCTTAGTGCAAATAGCTCTTTGTTTTTTAACCTAATGGTGGTGGTGTGTCGTGAAGTTGGTTCTGACTCATAGCGACCCTCATAGGGTTTCCGAGGCTGTAAACCTTTACGGAGAAAGTCTCATCTTTCTCCCATGGAACAGCTCGTAGTTTTAAACTGTTGACATTGAGGTTAGCAGCTGGACTCGTAACCACTATGCTAACAGAGCTCCATTTTAACCTAATAGGGTTACATTATTATTTAATATTTCTTTGTGCGTAGCTCTAAGGCCTACGTGAAATCATAGACTACTGGGCCTAGAAGGAACACATAATAAAAACTTTCCATATTACTAACAAGGAAACTCACAGGAGTTGGGTTACTTCATATTTTCTCAGTTAAATCCAGACATTATTGTAATGTTTACCTGAAATATCCAGTGGCTGAAAGACTGATTCTTTGTTCAAATGCAGCTTCTATCTGCAGAATGGGCATAATTAGTCACAATAAAATAAATACACCATCTAATAGATGAAAATGAAGATATTCCATATATTATAACTAACATCTGATTATTTGTTTCTGGTACTCTCTGATCAAAAATAGAAATGATCATATATTTTTCCTGAACTGGAACATGAAGAGTTTTTTTTCTGATTGAGTTCAGAAATCTGAACTCAACAAACAAAATGGACCCTGCTATGATAACCAAAAGAACCCCCAGTGCCATCGAGTCAATTCCGACTCTTAGTGATTGATAGGGCAGGATAGAACTGTTCCATAGAGTTCCAAGACTGTGAATTTTCATGGGAGCAGACAGCTTCATCTTTCTCCTTCAGAGTGGCCAGTAGGTTTGAACCGACAAACTTGTGGTTAGCAGCCCAATGCTTAACCCACTATACTACCATGGATCATTGCACCTATGATAACCCCAAACCAAACCCACTGCCATTAAGTAGATTCTGACTCATGGTGACGCTGTATAGGATTTCCTAGGCTGTAAATCATTACAGGAGCAGAGAGTCTCATCTTTCTCCTCTGATCAACTGGTGGGTTTGAACTGCTGACTTGTGGTTAGCAGTCCAGTGCTTATTCCACAGCACACTATGACTCTTTTGCACCTATGATATTGTTAAGTTCCACTGAGTTGGTTCCGACTCAGCGACCCTGTATGGGGTTTCCGAGGAGCAGCTGGTGGGTTTGAATTGCCAACCATGTGGTTCACAATCCACATGCTGATCCTACAGCACCACATACAGGGGCTTAATTCTCAATGCTAGAATTTGTAGCTTCAAATGTTGGTACTTGGAACTATGTTTCTAAATACTAGAACTCTAAGAAGTGTATGTGTGAGAGATAATGTTCTAATAAAATAAAGTATAAGGTATGGTAAGTTTTGATTAAATGAGTTGAGACATATTCAATAGCAACTAGGCCCTTCAGTTTTCCTCCTCCATGTTGGATCAACACTGGGCTGCTAACCACAAGGTCATTGGTTCAAACCTATAAGCCTATTGTAGAAAATTCCTTAGAAACCCTATACAGGGTCGCTATGAGTCATAACTGACTCGTGGCACTTAACTACAACAACCCTAAAACATTAACATTTCTTTGTGGCTTAGAAATGCCAAGCCTTTTCCTTTTCTTCCTGAAGTAGACCTTCTGGGTATTCGTCATACAGTCCATTCTTCTTTGCAGCAACTGCTGTTCCTTGTGGACGTGATCAGTGATTGGTTACTGTCAAGTGGATTGTGGGCTCCATAGGGCTTTCTTTCATCTTTTGGACATTGTGCTTTAAGTGAAACTTTACATAGCCAATTAGTTTTCCAATCAATAATTCATATACAAATTGTTCTGTGACACTGGTTGTAATCCTTGTAATATGTCAACATTCTTCCTATTTCCACCCTCAGTTCTCCATTTCTAATCATCCAAGTCCTCTGTCCCTCCCTGACATCTTATCTCTTTTTGTTAGGTGCCATCAAGTTGGTACCGACTCATAGCAACCCTATGCACAACAGAGCAAAACACTGCCTGATCCTGGGCCAACCTCACTACTGTTGCCACACTTGAGTCCATCGATGCTGCCACTTGGCCAATCCATCTCGCTTGGGGTCTTCCTCTTTTTCTCTTGCCCTCCACCTTACCAAACATGATATCCTTCTCCAGTGACTGGTCCCTTCTGACAATATGTCCGAAGTTTAAAAGATGAAGTTTGGTCATCCTGGCCTCCAAAGAGCACTCTGGCTGCACTTCTTCCAAAATAGATCTATTGGTTCTTTTGGCAGCCCATGGCACTTTCAATATTCTCTTCCAACACCACAACTCAAAAACATCAATTCTTCTACGATCTTCCTTATTTACTGTCCAGCTTTCACATCCATATGAGATTATTGAAAATACCATGGCTTGGTTCAGGTGCACCTTAGTCCTCAAGCTGACATCTTTGTTATTCAACACTTTCAAAAGGTCTTTTGCAGTAGATTTGCCCAATGCAATATGCCGTTTGATTTCTTATCTCTAGTTTTGGGTAAATTGTCCTGTTGTTCTCGGTCTAGTAGTTAATTTTTTTGAGGAGCACATTCTTCATGCTGTTTGTTTTATAGTTCTGCTATTTAGCTGGAAGGTGGTCTTGAGTTTCAAATTAGAAAATTTTCTCAGGGCATTAGCCTCTTTCTGACTAGTAAGTTTATTTCTTTTTGGCTTTGAATTTTGTTCTATATGTATTTGTAAAACCCATTCTAACTGGGACCTTCTGTTGTAGTCCTGGTCAGAGTGGTGGGTATTAGGAGCTAGGCACCATCTAGTTCTTCTGGTTTCAGGCTAGAGGCGATTGTGGTTCATGGGAGCCATTAGTCCTTTGGGCTGATTGCATCATTCACTCTTCGGTTTTCTTTATTGTCCTTTGCTCCAGGTAGGAAGAGACCAGTTGTTGCTTTTTAGATGGCTACTCACAAGCTGTAAAGACCCCAGATACTACTCACAAACTAGGATGTAGAACATGTTTTTATGAACTGTGTTGTGCCAGTTGACCTAGATGTCCTTGAGCTTCCCATAAGGCTTTCAATGACTGGTTGCTATGGAGAATGCCAGGCCTTTCTTCTGAGGCTCCTGTGGGTGGACTTGAACTTCAATCCTTTCAGTTAGCAGACAATCACATTAATCATCTGTGCCACCCAGAAACCTGTCTCCATACACATCAGGTACAAATCATGGAACAACTTTCTTAATCATTGCTATGCTTGTTCTATGGCAGAAATCCGTTCAGCCAGAGAAGAAGAATGGGACATACTACATCACTATGACACTTAGGACCGTTTCTCTGTATTATGTTTGTGCATGGACATGACTCTCTCAACTCTGGTTTGGATCATTTTCTCAGTCATACACACGATTGAAACACCTACCCAGTCTTCCCAGGTGCCTTCTGGATTTTTCTTCATGATGTGCTCCAGTCGTTTCAGAAGGATCTGACAAGCATTCTTGAGTAAATAAGATAAGATGCATTACAGAAGAGCTTGATGGTTAGGATTTGTGTGAAAGAATATTTATTGATAATGGACTAGGGCACCAAATGCTTGTGGAGGGTGTGGTGTAGTGAATTATTTAACATGCCTCTTCTAGCCTTGTTTTTATAACTCTCACCAAACAACTCTCTTCCTGCTAGGTCTGGGTAGCCAGTAGGTGGAAGAAGATACTGATAGGATGACGATGTTAGCAGTTCATTGTAGTTGTGAACACTTTCCAACTCTAAGTGGGTTTAAAAGGAACCATCCCAGAAGCAGGAGTGGGGAAATCTCACTACCATCAAGAAGAAAGAGCCAGAATCAAGTGTGTCCTGTGGACCCCAAGATCCCTGTGCACTGGGCCTCCTTGACTCAGGGACAGAAAGCTGTGACCCTGGAGGAGTGGCAGAGGAACAGCACAACGAGACAGAGCAATGGGCTTCCCAGCCCACGGAGCAAGTAAAGCTGAATGACTTTGGGCACACTAAGGTACCTCCAGGCACTTAAGTGGGGGGGACTAGGTTTACTGACCCATGGAGCTAGAGCTGAGGGTCTTCAGGCTGAGGCTTATGGTGGAGTGGTGTGTCCTATGGGCATTTATCAGCAGCGGACTGGGCCTACTGTGCCCTGAGAATTTTCATCCTGTGTTGTAACCCATTAACTTCCCTGTGTATTGTGTGTGCTTTATGTGGTGTGTTGTGCTCCACAGGAGAAAGATGAGGCTTTCTGCTCCCATAAAGATTTACAGCCTCGGAAACTCTGTACAGGGTCGCTATGGGTCGGAATGGAATTGGCAGCACTTAATAACAACAATAAGATACATTTTACGGCCAGGAGGCAGGTTTGCAGAATGTGCCCTTTGGTTGTTTAAATGATTATGTATTCCTGAGTGTTTTTGTGTACGTCCCAAAAAGACAGAGGGAACAGAAGCAAATACAGTTGAATGATGCTGCACAGAGGACATTGTAATCATTGCAATGAAACAATGAGTGTAAAACTGATGTTCTCCCATGTAAACTATCACTCAATGCACAACGCAAATTAAACCACCCCCCGCAAAAGAAAAACCCATACAGATAATTTTTTCAAAAGCATAATGCTCAAGGCAGACTTTTTTTTTTTATTCTTCAAGGGATATTCTCTTATGTTTGACCTCACCCAAAATTGTTGTTGTTGTTGTTGTTATGTGCCTTGGAGTTGATTCTGACTCATAGCGACCCTGTTTCTGAAATTTAGGTCTCATGAATTCAGGTTTCTCAAAACTTTTGTTTTGAGCAAAAAGAGTCTCTGTTTTATGATCTCTGTGATGTGACCCCACAAAGATAAGAATGATTTGAACTCAGTTCTTGACTACCAGGGAGGTTGGACAGGTGGAGTTTCTATGGGGGCATAAATGTCCTAGAATATGACTCACTATAATGTTGTAATGGAAAAAAGTAAACACAAAGTAATGACAAGTAGACCTTACTGATAAAGTACATGAATGAAGACACGGCTCTGTTATGAGATAGTGACAATGTAGCCGAAACCAAGCACAACAGCTAGAACATAAGTACAAAGAAAACCTGTGAGCTCTCTGCTAGGATGCCACTGATGACACCTTGATTGTCTCATATCTACCTGGCTGGTGTTCTGCATGCCCACTTGCCTGCTTCTAAGGCCTTTTGTTGTGACAGGAAAACCTTGCCCAGCTCTGTATCTTATTTAGTACCCCCATTTTTGCTTTTTGTGTCTCTTGGGGGTAGAGGCTGCCGTTTGTTCATCAGTCCATTCTCCTCCCATGCAGTCATGGCTGGGCCTTTGGTTTTCCTATTACTTCATATTTTCCAACCTCTCTTGCAGTCAGGAGTGCTCTGACACAGGTTCTGCTAGGGAATTACGAGCAGGGACTTGTATCACTTCCAAGTCTGGCCCCAGAGTCTTCCAAACATACTCCACCATGCTCTTTCCCTTCTCTGACTAACTGGAATGATGATGCTCAGGACAATCTTGAAAGCCACATGTTGAAGAGGCAATCTGGGTTTTCAAATGACTGAACATTTCCTCTGGATTGTTATGTGTGCAAGAAAGAGACTTCTGACATGTGGGAGCCATCATATTCTGTGCCTATTTGTCACTTATCCTGCTGCAATGACTCCTGACAGCAACTACTTGGAGTTAGGACAAGCTTCAAGGGTAAGGGCACAGCCCTCTTCAAGACTATCCAACCACAGGCCACCCTCACTTCTTATCAGCTGGGTTCCCACTATTGCCTCAGGTTTTATGACTCATTAGAATGACTCAGAACTCAGCAAAGTGTTATACTTAACTATTACAGTTGTAGTACAGCTAAAGAAAACATACCGGAACCAGTCAAAAGGAGAAATACATAGGACACTGTCTGGAAGAGTCTCTAAAGCGAAACTTCCTTGTCTTTAGGATTGCATATTGAGTGTGACAATATACAGAATTTTGCCAACCAGAGTTTTTATTGGGTTTCATTATGTAGGCATGATTGGTTGAATCATTGACCATGTGCTTTGAACTCAAATTTCTAGTCCCCTTCTTCTCCTTGGAGGTCAGACTGGTATCATGTGACTCGAAGCTCCAACCCTTTAATCACATGGTTGATCTTTCTGGTGTAGGCAGTCCCTATCCTGAGTAATCTCCTTTGCATAAACTATGGAGAGTGCCTATTAAGAGTTGCCTCATTAGCATAATCGATCAGATATAGAATAAAAGGTGAAGCACAAAGACATTTTAATCACCTAGATTTCCCAAGGGTTTTTAAAGTTTTGTCCTAGGAACTAGGGGCAAGGATCAAATTCTTTGTTATATACCTGATCTAGGCTCTCGAGATGTTTTGCTTATTCCATAGACTTAGGGTTACCATGAGTGGAATCAACTCTGTGGCAACTAACAACACCACCCATACATATGCTTTATGACATGGATAGTGCTCTGTGCCCAGCCCCTTGTGCCTGCATCTAGCTAATGAAAATAGAGATGTGGAAGAAGTACACAAGGAAAAGATAGGCCAGAGGAATCACCTGCACGGCTTTGCCATTGACATCTGAACCAATGGATGCTGCTGTAGCGACTGTATTAGGCACTGTTGCTGTACTTGTTTCACAGACATGCATATGAGACATGGGTATTTTTAATTCACGACTGGCCACCTGCAAGAAAAGTAAATATTTTCAAGTCTAGTAAGGACTGCTATGAAGAATTGAATCATCATTTTTTTAAATAATGACAAAAGTATACTTAAAAAAATTATATCCATGGTCTTCTCTAAGGCCTAAAATAATATGTTTTATAAATATTAAACCACTTTTTAAAAGGCCCTCTTTCCGATTCTTTTAACACTTTCTTGGTAATATTTGTATTCCTTTCAAATTCAAATAGTATATTTAGGATGTTAAGGGTATTCTGCTTCTGAAGTTTTACATGTGTAGGGACATTGGCCAAGTAGAGCCTTTCAGACTTGGTGGCAGTGGTAGGTAAGGAAAGATAGAGCGAATGTCATAGATTGATGGACTCAGGATTTGGGCTGAATTCTGCTGATACACAGTATCATAGAAACCTGGAGAGAGCCTTACAACCTGTCTGCTTTCTTGTCCTTACTCCCACCTTAACTTTGGCTTTTGCCTTCTTTTCCTATGTTTGTTCCTTCTTACTCATTTTGCTAGTGTTTGCTGTTCGTTTTTCTTCAGGTTTCTCTGGCAGACACATGTGGTAATTATGGCATCTAATAAAAACAAAATACCACTCATCTGTCGGTTTGTCATAGTGTGGTGGCTTGTGTGTTGCTGTGATACTGAAAGCTATGCCACTGGCATTTTAAATACTACTAGCAGGGTCACCCATGGTAGACAGGTTTCAGCGGAGCTTCCAGACCAAGACAGACTAGGAAGAAGGAGAGGTAGACAGCTTCTGAAGGGTTAGCCATAGAAAACCTTATGAATAGCAGCAGGACATTATCAGATAGAGTGCTGGAAGATGAAGACACTCAAAATATGACTGGGGAAGAGCTGCTGCCTCAAAGTAGAGTTGACCATAATGAAGTGGATGGAGCAAAGCTTTCAGGACCTTCATTTGCTGATGTAACACAACTCAAAATGAGAGGAATAACTGCAAACATCCATGAATAATTGGAACACGGAATGTATGACTATGAATCGCGGAAAACCGGAAGTTGTCAAAAATGAAATGCTACCAATAAGGATTGATACGTAGGCATTGTTGTTGTTTGTTGTTAGGTGCCATTGAGTTGATTCCAACTCAGAGTGACCTTATGCCCAGCAGAACGAAACACTGCCCGATCCTGGGCCGACCTCACTACTGTTGCCACGCCTGAGTCCATTGTGCTGCCACTTGGCCAATCCATCTCATTGGGGGGTCTTCCTCTTTTTCTCTGACACTCCACCTTACCAAACATAATATCCTTCTCCAGCGACTGGTCCCTCCTGACAATATGTCTGAAGTATGAGAGACGAAGGAGGCCTGGTGTGGTGCTGTGGGTTAATGTGCCAGACTGCAAAGTCATTTGAACTGCAAGGTCAGAGGTTCAAGCTCACCAGCTGCTCCTTGGAAACCCTATACAGGGTCACTATGGATCAGGATCGACTTGACAGCACTTAACAACAACAACAACAACAGGAGAGATGAAGATTGGCCATCCTGGCCTCCAAGGAGCACTCTGGCTGCACTTCTTCCAAAACGGATTTATTGGTTCTTTTGGCAGCCTATGGCACTTTCAATATTCTCCTCCAACACCGTAACTCAAAAGCATCAATTCTACAGTCTTCCTTATTCACTGTCCAGCTTATGCATGTGTATAAGGTTATTAAAATACCATGGCTTGGGTTAGGCGCACTGTGACTATGGAAAAGCTGCTGACATCTTTGCTCTTCAACACTTCAAAAAGGTCTTCTGCAGCAGATTTTCCAAATGCAATAAATCGTTTGATTTCTTGACTGCTGCTTCTGTGAGTGTTGATAGTTGATCCAAGAAGAATGAAGTCCTTGACAACTTCAATCTTTTCTCTGTTGATAAGAATGTTGTTTATTGGTCCAGTGGTGAGGATTTTTGTTTTCTTTACATCGAGATGCAATCCATACTGAAGGCTGTGTTCTTTGATTTTCATCAGTAAATGTTTTAAGTCCTCTTCACTTTCAGTAAGCAGGGTTGTGAGCTGAAATAGACTGATGGGTCATTTTGTAATGGATAATCATATGGTTTGCTATGTAGGGAATGACAAATTGAAGAGGAATGGTGTTACATTCATTTTCAAAAAGAGCATTTCAAGACCAATCTTGAAGTTCAACGCTATCTGTGATAGGATAATATCTATATGGCTTCAAGGAAGATCAGTTAATATGACTATTATTCAAATTTAAACACCAACCACTAAAGCCAGTGATAATGAAATTGAAGAACTCACCAGTCACTCCTCAGAAACCCTATACAGGGTCGCGATGAGTCAGAACCAACTTGATGATATTTAACAATAACAGCTAGCTTCTTAAGTCTGAAATTGGTCAACATGCAATCAAGATGCATTGATAATGTGATAATTGGAAACAAAGAGGAAGGATCACTAGCTAGAAAATATAGCCTTGGTGATAGAAATGATTCTGGACATCCCATGGTAGACATTTTTAAGATTGACAACTTATTCATTGCAAATATCTTTTTTCAACAACATAAAGAGCAGCTATACACATGGGCCTCACCAGATGGAATACACCGAAATCAAACTGACTGCATCAGTAGGAAGAGACGATGAAGAAGTTCAATATTATTAGTCATAACAAGGCCAGTGGATGACTGTGGAACAGAATATTAACTGCTCATATGCAAATTCAGGTTGCAGCTGAAGAAAGTTTATAGTCCATGAGAGCCAGAATATGACCTTGAGTGTATCCCACCTGAATTTAGAGACAATCTCATGGACAGATTTGATGCATTAGACACTAGTGACTGGAGACCAGAGGGGTTGTGGGATGATATAAAGAACATCGTCTGTACAAAACTCAAAATTGTAAAAAATACTGGACTTATCTTGGCAGAGAGAGACTAGAAGAACCTGAGACTATGGCCCTTGGTCACACACCAAGTCTGGAATGGGACTCACATTCCTGGACCAATTTTCAACCAAGAGATGAATAGGTATATGGGGAATACAACATCACTAGCAAGGTATGCTCAGCATGAAATGACCAGCCATTCATGATCAAAAGGGCAATATTTTACCTGGGGATAAGGTTCAAAGGAGTTGGGAAGGAGGGTGGACTAGAAACAGGAACTACAGGGAAGTGGAATAATTGGTACATGGAAAGGATTGCAAGAACTGAGGTGAAACTGATGATCTGCTTTGTAAACCTTCACTCAATTCACAGTAAGTTTCAGAAAAATGAACATCATTCATTAAAGCATTTGGTCTTTAAAAAGACAGAAAAGAAATAAAAGATCAATATGGATGTCAGAAAAGACTCCGAAGCATACTTTTGAATGTAGAGAAGCCAAAGGCACTGGAAGAAATGATGAAGTAAAACAACTGAACGGACTCAAAAAGACAAAGTAAAATATAATAAAATATGAAAAGACAAGGAGTTAGAAAACTAAAAGGAAAGAACATGCTTAGCATGTCCCAAGCTGGAAGAACTGAAGAAGAAATTCAAGTCTTGGGTTACAACATTGAAGAATTCTATGAAGTCCTGGTGTGGTGCTGTATGATAAACACTCATCTGCTAACCACAAAGTCAGCGGTTTAAACTCCTTGGAAATCCTATCCAGGGTTGCTATGGATCAGAACTGCCTCAAGGGCACTTAACAACAACAATAACAACAATGGTAAACTTATTGTATGATGCAGGAAGCATCAAAAGAAGATAAAAGGAATAAGCAGAGTCATTGTACCAAAAAGACTTGGTCAATATTGAGGTATTTCAAGATTTAACATCTGATCAAGAACCAATGGTATTGAAGAAAGTCCAAGCTGCAATGGTTTGATGAAAAACAAGACTCTAGAAATTGAGAGGATACAAATTGAAATGTTTCAACAAACTGATGCAGCGCTGGAAGCACTCACTAGTCTATGCCAAGAAATTGGGAAGACAGCTACCTGGCCAATCAATTGGAAGAGATTCGTGTTGTGCCCATTCCAAAGAAAAGTGACTCAATGGAATGTGGAAATCATTGAACAGTATCATTAATCTAACATGCAAATAAAATTTTTCTGAAGATAATTCAGAAATGATTGCAGCAGTACATTGACAGAGAACTTCCAGAAATTCAAGCTGGATTCAGAAGAGTTCATGGAACTAGGGCTATCATTGCTGATGTCAGATGGATATTGGCTGAAAGCAGAGAATACAACAAAGATGTTTACTTGTGTTTTATAGACTATGCAAAGGCATTCAATTGTGTGAATCATAACAAGCTATGGATAACATTGTGAAACATGGGAATATTCCAGAACACTTCACTCAACTGCCAAGAGGTCATTGTCCAATAAGAGGATACTGAATGGTTCAAAATCAGGAAAGTTTTGCATCAGAGTTTTATCCTTTCACCATACTTAATTCAATGTGCACGCTGAGCAAATAATCAGAAAAACTGAATTGCATGAAGAAGAATGTGGCATCAGGGTTGGAGGAAGACTCATTAAAAACTTGCAATATGCAAATGACACACCCTTGCTTGCTGGAAGGGAAAAGGACTTTAAATATTTATTGATGAAGATCAAAGACTTCAGCCTTCAGTGTGGAGTACATTTCAACGCAAAGAAATATCCTCACAACTTGACCAATAAGCAACACCATGATAGTTGTCCAAGATTTCATTTTATTTAGATCCATAATAAATGCTCATGAAAGCAGCAGTCAAGGCAAATCTTTGGCACAAGACCTCTTTAAAGTGTTCAAGAACAAAGATGTCAGTTTGAGGACTAAGATGCACCTGACCCATGCCACAGTAGTTTCAATTGCCCCATAGACATGGAGTCTTGGTGTGGTGCTGTAGGATAAGCACTGGACCTCAAGGTCGGTTTGAACTGCAAAGTTTGGTGGTTCAAACTCCTCGGAAACCCTGTACAGGGTTCCTATGAGTTGGAACCAACTCGATGCACTTAACAACAACAGCAACAAATGCTTGTGAAATTGGATGGTGAGTAAGGAAGACCATAGAAGAATTGATGCATTTGAGTTATGGTGTTGATGAAACATTGAAAGTACCATGGACTGTCAGAAGAACAAACAAATTTGTCTAGGAGTAAGTACAGTCAGAATACTTACTAGAAGCCAGGATGGCAGGCTTTCATCTCTCATATTTAGGACATGGTATCAGGAAGGACCAGTCCCTGGAGAAGGACATCATGCTTAGTAGAGTGGAGGGTCAGCAAAAAGAGGAAGACCCCCCAATGAGATGGATTGGCACAGTGGCAGCAGCAATGGTTTCAAAGATAACAATTGTGAAGATGGTAGGACCAGGCCCTGTTTTGTTTCTTTATGCATGGGGTTTGCTATGAGTTGGAACCAATTCACAAGCACCAAACAGTAATAAAAAAGAAATGAAAAAGAAAGAAGTGAAATGGAGGGAGGGATGGGGGAAAAAAAATTTTTTTTTTTTAAGTGTGTGTGCAAAAACACCTTCTTTGGAAACTATTTCTGTTTCCAAATGTCAATTTTCAGACTAATGCCTTTCAGCCATTAAGTTTTCCCCCAAACAATACCAAATGAAAAAAACAAAGCAAAAACAGTTTTGCTAGTTCTTAGTGATGGCGAAAAAATGTATTGGTTTATATAGCTGGGAAGAATAGGTGAGCAAGAATCAGATTTGTCTAATCTAGGGGTTTTATGGCCTCATCAGGGTCCCCTCTTGGTCTAGCATATTTTCTTTCCTTCTGTGTTTGCTGTGTTATTTCCAACAATAGACTAGCTTGGTCTGTGGTGTCTCAGCTAAACCACGTCAAGGGAAAGATAGTTTCTTTCTCCTAGCATCTACATAGCAGCCTCAAACTTAATGGTCTTACTTGAGTCACATATCTCTACCTGGACCTATTCCTGAAGCCGAAGGGCGGGGGGTGGGGAGTGGGTTGGGAGCCATGCTTGGCCAGGCCTGGGTCCTGTACCTCTCTCTATCTGTGACAGGTGTGGAGGTAAAGAGGAAGCTGGGACTAACAGGTAACTGGATAGAGGACTCCTTCAGAACTGTATAGGAGCACAGGTGGTGTAGTGGTTAAAGTGCTCAACTGTAACCAATAGGTGTTAACCATTGGAATTGACCAGCCACTCTGGGAGAAAGATGGCGGCAGACTGCTTCTGTAAAGATTCACAGCCTTGGAAGCCCTATGGGCCAGTTCTACTCTGTCCTCTAGGCTTGCCAGGACTTAGAATCCCCTGGGTGGTAGTGGGTTTGGGTAGGTAAGAACTATAATGTAATGTGAGAGGTAGACTGTTTCTAAGGGGCTGATAGTCAAAAGAAACGGATATGCCCTATGACTACCTAGTACATTTGTTACAAAGTTAAATTTATCCTATCTAGAGAATGCTTCCAGAGATTATATCCTTCCTATGTCTTTTGTGTGTTAAAATCCTTTAAAAATGATTAAATGGTGGCAGTTGATGAAATTTTTGTCCTTACTTGTCAAAATGGTCCCTAGCATTTCTGCCTGGTTCGGCCTCCATGGGCACCGTCTGCAGGGCTCTGTGTGCACCTTACCTACCGCCATCATGTCAGCTTTGACTCACAGTCACTCTGTATAGGGTTTCTCAGGCTGTCAATTTTTATGGAAGCAGAAAGCCTCATTTTTTTTCCTGTGGAGCCGACTGCAGCTTATCATACAACACTACTGGGGCTCCTGATGTGCCCATTAGTGGTGGCTTTACTAACAACAATGTTCACCCATAAATCCTGCTCAAGCTTCAGGAGCGTTTGCAAACGAATGGGATTTCTGCCACCTCAGCCATTCTATTTGGCGTACAAGAAGCTTTCCAGCTAAATGGTCAGGATGGTAGGGTTTGAGTTCAGGGAGTTGTCATTTACTTTAAAAGATAAGCCCTAAATGTCAATCATGCCAACAACATATAGTGAAACTATAATGACTGAATTTATTTATTTATTACCTGTAGCATTTTGGTGTGAATACCTTGTCCCAATTCATTGCCTCCATGTGAGACCAATACGGACCCATCGGTGTAGATATGAACAAGTGCAGCAGCCTAGTAAAACAACCCAGAATGCACAGCTCAGTGTGAGTGAGGTTCAGTATAAAAAATGAGTCAATGAAACACCAGACTTCTAGGAGGATCAGAGAGACCAGCTTTCCTGATGGGATGCTGAAGTCTGGTTTGGTTCAGTGCCTGTAAAGAAGTCACCTGTAAAGAACATCCCTACTGAAGAACCTGGGTTTAGTAGGGACCGTTTGCATACCTCTGGAGTTGTGAGTATTGGCTCCAACTAGTTGAAAGTCTTATCCTTGCTTAAGTTTTTGGTTGACCACTAAACTACTTATTTCAGCATTTAAAAATATGGTTCCAACTCTGTGCTCTGGTGGGTATAAATATGAATAAGGTGTGGTTCTTCCTTAAGTAGTTCTCAGTGTAGTGGAGAGACAGGCTGGGATTTAAGTCTTTGTAGTGCAGAATGCTTAGTGAGATAATGGATGTGTTATAAGGGCTCTGGGGGACCCAGAAGAATGGCTCTAACTTGTTCATGGAGCTCAAGGGGGGTAGTTTCCAGAGAGAATGGATTCATGAAGGGAGAAAAGTTCAACAGTGGGTAGAAATTCCCCACTACTTAAGGAAAAGTCTGGCTCCTTATAATAATCCATGAGCCCCTTTGGGATTTGGGGAGTCCCTGTGGTACATACAGTTAAGATACTGGAAAGGTTGGAGGTTCAAGTACACCAGAGGTGCCTAAGAAGAAACACCTGGAGGTCTGCTTCTGAAAACTCAGTCACTGAGAACTCTACAGAACACAGTTCTACTCTGACACACATGGAGTCACCATGGCAACTGGGATTTGGTTTCCTTCATCTCTGCCACTTCATCGTTTGTTTCTGAGCCCAACCTCACGGCTCCTTTTTCCTGACCTTTGTTCTTCTCTCTTCCTGGCTGGCTCCTCCTCCTGTTCTTTACCTGTCTTCCCTGTTTTCAGACCCTAGAGTCTCACCTGTACAGAGTCTCATCACCACTTAGGAAGCATCAGTTACCGCTTTCTGCATTTCCTCTTATGTGGTTACTAGTTCTTCTCTAAGAGTCTCACAAAGAAGGGCCCCTGGTTGTATTCATCATTTACAGAGACACTAAATTCATGTCGGCTAAATGGAATGAATGGAAAAATGGCATTTTTAGTTCTGGGATGAGGAGGAATACTTCAGAATTTAGTCTGGTTGGTTGGGGATACCTGGAGGCTCAGGGATGGCTGGGAGCACCTCAGGGAGCTCAGGGGCTTGTAAGTGCTAATAACAGTATTTGTTGATGATGCATCTCACACCTGGGTTAGAGGGGTTCCAGCTGGTTTGTGAGTCATCTGCTGGCCTGGAATAACATGCTTTAACTCCTAGCCAGGTGATTCTTGGGTACATCCATTTAGAACACTGAGAAACTAGAGGCCTTACAAATGGAGACTTAAAGTTGTTGCTTAAAGATGCTGTCTTAGGTACAAGGGGCCTTGTGAGTGCAGTTGTTAAAGCACTTGATTGCTAACTGGAAGGTTGCTCATTTATAAATCACCAGCCCTCTGTGGGAAAAAGATTTGGCAATCTTGGAAACCCCCTGGGGGCAGTTCTACTCTGTCCAACAGGGTCACTATGAGGGAATTGACCTTACAGCAGTGGGTTTGGTTGGAGGTCTTAGGTTTCCAGTGCTGCTGGGTTATGACTTATAGTGACTCTTACAGTTGCCATCCTCATAATTGTTACACTTGAACCCATTGCTGCTGCCACTGTACCAATCTATCTCTTTGGAGTTTTCCTCTTTTTCACTGACCCTCCACTTTACCAAGCATAATGTCCTTCTCCAGAGACTGGGCCCTCCTGAGAATATGCCCAAAGTATGAGAGACAAAGTCTTGCCATTCTGGCTTCTAAAGAGCATTCTGGCTGTATTTCTTCCAACACAGATTTGTTTATTCTTCTGGAAGGCCATGGTACTTTCAAAATTTGCCCACACAATAATTCAAGGATTTGTCAGGAACAGTCGCTGGAGAGGGATGTCATGCTGGGTAAGATGGAGGGTCAGAGAAAGAGAGGAAGACCCCCAACGAGATGGATTAGCCAGGTGGCATCATTGATGGCATGAAGTGTGGCAGCAGTAGTGAGGTTGGCCCAGGATCGGACATTGTTTCATTCTGCTGTGCATGGGGTCGCTATGAGTTGGTTCTGACTCGATGGCACCTGACAACAGCAACTTGACTCTAGTGACTAGGGACTTTGGACAACTGCTTTATTTTCTAAGCAGGGTTTCCTTTGAAAGCTTTTGTGGTGTGTGTGTACGTGTACTTGTCTCTTTATTGGCTGCTGGTAGCAGATTGTAAGTGGAAGAATGCTTTCAATGGTGTTACATAAGGGAGGCTTAATGCAAGATCCTTCCAGTTCCTGGTTTTCCTGCTTTTATGGGCAGTAATGGGGAGGCAACAACCTTTCTCAGCTTTCTAAACAGGTTTCTTGTGAGTCCACAATCTATTGGGGTTTTCAGGGAGACTCCTGCACTAGTCCTTTCTAGTAAATGGACTCATCTATATGCTGTCCTTCCTCCCCTTGTCTGGACCTGCGAATGACTCACTTCTGAGTAGCAAATTTACCTGGGTGGGTTTCTGAACGCACCAGAAGTGACACAGATACCTGGAAGATGCACTTGAAACTGCCCATTTGGTCAGGACCAAATGGAATGAATGGCTTGTCTGCCAAGATTTAGCTGGTATATCAAGGGATGCTGTGGATATTTGGAGCATAGGCTAGAAGAGGCCCCCATTTTATATAATGTGTGAGAGCCCCACTCTCAGAAAGGTTTTCTTCCCCTTTTGAATAGCAGCAAGTCTGTGGGACCAATAATCCACGTTGGCAGATATGCTGTGTAGGTCTCATGCATGCTGATGCTATTTGCTGCCATTGAGACCTTTTTCTACAGTGCTATGTTAAAAGTCTTTGCAGATAGCAGGTTGCGCTCAGGAGAGGTCAGTAAGTTTCTCCCAGGTGTTGGGGAGGTTGGGGGTTGAGTGCCCTGGAAATGTCACACTCTTTCAAAGTTAACATAATGCTGATGGGGCCGGGAGTATCTCTGACATGAAGGTTACTTACTATATGTAGTTTCACAGTAATGGAGAAAAATTAGAATCTTACCTGATGGTAAGATGTTGCAGCAAAGCCAACTGAAAACTTCATGGGGATAACAGCAATGCCTTTCTTCTTCCAATAATTCTTCTTATTGAACTCTTCCACTTGCATCCTTCTGCTATGAAAGGAAGACTTCTCCAGACATTCGTTCCAGCATCTGATTAGAGTCTCAGGGCTAAATGCTTGTTTGTAGATAGTTTTATCAATTGTTTTGTACATGTTTTTCTCCCTGATCTGAAATTGGTGGGAAATCAAATCAATACATATGACAAGACAGAAACAGACTACACACTAGAGATTTGAAAAGGCTCCTCACTAAAGCTTAGAATGTGGTGGTGGTGGTGAGACAGGGTCTGGTTCTTTTTCTGATAAAAATATGTGCTTTTGCAAAAATAATGGGTATTAGTTCTCATCTAAAATGCCTACTTGTGCTCATCCAGAACCTGTACATAGATCAAAAGGCAGTTGTTCAAGTTCAGTGACTGTAACAAGGGGACTAAAATCAGGTTTAAAATAAGGAAAGGTGTGTATTAGGGTTTTATCCTTTCACCATACTTAGTCAATCTGTATACTGAGCAAATAGTCCAAGAAGCTGGTCTATATAAAGAAGAACACAGCATCAGGATTAGAGAAAGACTCATTAACAAACTGTGAGATGCAGATGATACAACCTCGCTTGCTGAATGTGAAGAGAGCTTGAAGCACTTAGTGATGACCAAAGAATACAGCCCTCAATATAGGTTACATCTCAACCTAAATAAAACAAAAATCCTCACAACTGGACTAATATGCCACATCATGGTACATGATGCAACATTTACCTACGGACAAAATTGAGAAGAGATGGGAAGGAGGGTGGAATGGAAATAAGAACCACAGAGATGAAATTGGATAACTATTGTTAAATGGAGGGGATTGCAGTCATTGAGATGAAACAAAGTGTATATAACTTGTTGAATGTAAAACTGATGATCTGTAAACCTGCACTCAATTCACAATAAATTAAACACACACACACACAAAGGCAAAAATACGGCAGCATCAAATCCTGCCTGAGTTTCCATTCTGCCGGCCTGCCCTAGAACTTTCAGACATGCCAGCCTTCTCAGTCACATACACTTCAGATAAGTCTCTTTACCAATAGATAACTCCCACTGGTTGGGTTTCTTTGGAAAATTCTAACAGTTATAGGAACTTTCACTTTTTACTTCAATTACTTTAATATTGTTTGAATTTGAAAAAGTAATTGTTATTTTTTTACAAAAAAAAGACAAACGTTTGTTAAAAGAGGCAGCCCTTGGTGGTGTAAATTGTTAAGTGCTTGGCTGCTAACTGAAAGGTTGCAGTTCAAACCTACCCAGAGATGTTTGAGAAAAAAGGTATAGTGATCTAGTTTGAAAAACCCAGCCACGTTTTACTGATATGAAAACTCTACGGAACACCGTTCTACCCTGACAGTTGGGGTGGCATTGAATCAGGGTCAACTTTTTTTTTTCTTTGCTTAAGGAGGGAGAGAGTAAGGTGCATTCTTTTGGATAAAATTTATTTTCAAGTCTCATTTTTGTGGTTCTGCCAATGTGTTTCCTGGGTCAAGATACCTGGTCCCTTGCTTTATTTGATTCTTCAGCAACCTTAGTTACATCCTTACCTTTTCTGGAGGAAGACCACATTTGGCTGCCACAGCTGTGATGCAAGATTCTGTTACCAGGGTTCCTTGTGGGAAGCCAAACCCACGGAAGGCTGTATTGGATGGTAAATTGGTCATGCATGCATTACCCCGGAACCTGAGGTTGTGGATTTTATATGCATTTTCCAGCTTTAATATAAGAAATTCTATTACCTAAAGTGAAAGGAGATATTCACATGCATCGGACAACAACTTTTTTTCCCCCCTTTTCTCTCAAAGACAAGTATAGAATTGAACTGCTTTTGTTTACCACTTGAAGAAACATGCTGCTTGCACATGAGTCTAGAACTTTTAAAGTCTAATCCTGAGCAAAGGTGTGTTGGTTTCTGAGTCACATACCAGCTCCGAGTCATCCAGCATGCATCCTCCGTTAACGTAGCACTCAATGTCCAGAGCTTTGATTCGCCCGTTGTTCATGAAACCCACCTGTCACAAATGAGGGACATTTACTGATGTGTTTAGGATTGATATGCCAAGTGGGAGCCATCACCCAGTTCAGGACTACAGGCAGACTGCTCCCTGCCTGTTCTGTAGCATACTAAACCTGGCTTGCTTTTCAGTGCTTGACAGAGACCTCTTCTGACCTGCGTTTTATGAGCACTTTCCTCCTAATATGTAATTTTCTGGCTGTACAGTCAGTATAAAATCTTCAAGCCTTAGCTTGTCTCTCAACATATAATTGCCACTTTCTTCTTCCTGAATCTTGGAAGATTCTCCTTCATTTTTTTTACTGGCTTCCTTCTAATTTAGTCTGTGGTTTTCTCCCTTGTGGAAAAGTCTCTGGAACTTCAGAGTACATTGGAATGAATCATAGAATATATTGTTATGAAAAAGCCTCTGACACATTGGTGCCTGGGAATGGACACACGAGTGACTGTTCTCATTTTACTGAGGTGGTGAAGTTGAACCCATTGAAAATGGTGACAGGACACATATACCAGGGAGCTTCAAAAGTTCATGGAAGGAGACTTCCAGAAAGATGGTGGACTAGACAGATGTGTTAAGTGAACTCTCTGCAACAAAGATATGAGTGACCAAATGAAATATATACAGATGACAATCCTGGAGCCCTGAACTTCATAAGAAAGTTTGAGAAGTGAACTGAGTGTGTGCTGTAGGAGAAGCTGAGCAGGATGGCAAGAAAGGGAGACTGGTGCATGGCCAGCCAAACATGGTGTGATTGGTGGTCATCTTATGAGTAACTTTGGCAACAGAAGGTTATCCTGGCAGAGCTGATTCACACACATGGCAGGAAAGGAGCCATACAGCCCAGCTGCAACTGTACCCTCTACTGCTCCACCCACTGGGCAAAAGCCAGCACCAGCTCCTATACAGCCTGATTCATGATAGGTAGTCAAACACAGCCCACACTGATGAGGTGCATGAATGGTGAATGACAATGGTGTACAGCTTCCACTCTCTACACCCACAGGAGACAACTGATGAGAGCCTAAGAACACATCAACATAACAATTAAATACAAATACAACAATACCACAATGCCCCAGGACAACAGACAATTTCAGTTGACACAAAGAAACAAGCGAGAATAGCTCAAACAAATGACTAAGATGTAGATCCAAAAAATGTTTCTGAGTAAAAAAAGATAATGGAACTAACTGAAAAAGAATTCAAAAGAATGATATTTAGGTACCTTCAAAGGATTGATAGGAAGATTGAAGAAAGCTAGGAGGACACAGAAAAAACTTTAGAAGAATTTAGGAAAACACTACAAGAACAAACAGACAAGATAAATATAAATTTTGAAACAATATATAACCTGCAATTAGAAGTCCAGAAGATTAATACTAGGATCTCAGAAATGGACAAAGTATTGACAGGGCAAAGGAATAGTTTTGAAGTAATGGAAGCCTGAATTAATGAACTTGAAGATAAATACCTAATACTAGTATGCTAGAAGAACAACTATAAAAAAGTATGAAAAAATCCAAAGAAAGCCTAAAAGATATGTGGGACACCATGAAGAGGAACAGCTTAGTGAATCACCAAAGGACAAGTGTTGCATGAGACCAATGTTGTAAAAGTTAAGAAAAGTTAATTCTTTTTACAAGGAAAGAATTACAATCATTGTAATGAAGTAAAGTATATGATTTGTTGACTGTAAAACTGATGATCTGCTCTGTAAACCTTCACTCAATTCAATAAAAAGTACAAAGACCAAATCCAAAACAGTTTATAGAAAAATTCCCTTATCTTTTTATTCCATGCATTTTTTTTGAAATCCCCTGTATGTGAGTTAGTGATGCTGTTACTATATTGGAATCATTTAATAATTTTCTGAAGTTGCTACTCTCTACCTCCATATCACTTTATTTTATAGTCCAAATTGGAAAGAAAAATCCTACTCACTTTTGAAGTTCTAGGTGTCCCTGGATGGTGTGAATGAATGGGTAAGCACTAAGATGCTAACAGAAAACCTGAAGATCGGAGTGCACCCAAAGAGGCCTAGAAATCTAATTCCCGAAAAGTAGCCATTGAAAAAACGCTATGGATCACAGTTCTACTCTAACTTACGTGAATTGGCATTGAACTGACAGTATCAGGTTTGGTTTTTATTGTGGTATACCAAAAAGGATTGCCTCAATATACTTTGTCTTTTCTGAAAGGAGGGATAAATACATTTGAAGAAACCATAAAACAATATGGTCGTTACCATCAACTCCGAGGGAAATATTAGGGAACCAATCATAGAGAAATCAGAAAATATACAAAGTCAGAATCTGTGGCAATCTTTTACTTTTCATGAAGAAGGTTTTACTAAGCAAAATAGTACTGTAAATAAGGTAGAGAGAATTCCTAAATTATTTAATATAAACTTTAAAAAAATGTGGAAGAGCCTGTTGTTGCTAAGTGCTGACAAGTCAGTTCTGACTTACAGTGACCCTGATGGGCTTCTGAGGAGCAGCTGGAGGGCTTGAACTGCTGAGCTTGCGGTTTATCCTACAGCACCACACTAGAACTTATTTATACATAAACATCTTTTATACTAATTTACAAATTGTTATGAATAACCTGGCAAAACTTCGTCAGCTAGATTTGAATGAGGATATTTATTCTAATATTATTATATTTATTTGGAAGTAAAATTAAATTTCTATTACCATATTGGGAGTCCTGGTGGAGATGCAAGATGAGCACTGGACTGCTAACCATAAGGTTGGCAGTTCAAATCCACCAGCCGTTCTTACAGAAACCCTATACAGGATTGTTGTGAGTGTTATGAGTCAGAACCGATTCTACAGCACTTAACAGCAACAGCATTACTATGTTTATTTGGAAGTAAAATAATATTTAAAGATAAGATCCAATTTGTAGTTTTCAAAATGTTTGTTTCCTGTTTTAGAAAAATTATTTTATTACAGTTACCAAGATAGCAGTAGTCTGGAAACTTTTAAATAAGAACTAGTTTTAATTTTTTTTCTTTTATCAAGAAAACCTTTTTTTTTTTTTCCCAAAACTTTTTATACCATTGGTCTCATAAAATATTTGTCCTTTTGTGATTGACTAATTTCACTCAGTATAATGTCCTCCAGGTTCAACTATGTTGTGTGGTGTTTCACAGATTCATCATATTATTCAATGTTTTCTAGTAGTCTGTTGTGTATGTATACCCAAGTTTGTTTAACTATTCTTCTATTTTGGGCATTTAGGCTGTCTCCATCTTTTTGATATGCCTTTTGTAGTCAGCATATTGAAGGATCCTGCTTACTTATCCATTCTGCTCTCTATGGCTCTTGACTGGTACATTTAATCCATTTACATTCAGTGTAGTTATCAATAAGTATGAATTGATAGCTGTCATTTTTCTGTGTGTATTTTTGTGGTACTGCTGGATTCTTTGTTTCACGTAATTTTCTATGCTGAGTTCATTTTGTTTGTGGGTTTTCTTTTAATGTCTGTTGTGTTAATGTTTACTTGATCTTTTTAATTTTTTTAATTTTGATGTGCAGGCATATTACTTTTATTTGAGGTTGTCCTGCAATTTATTCATTTTTTCCCTTCTTACAGCAGCCTGTTTTTTTAAAAAGGTTTTTGTTGTGGATTGAGTGAAAGTTTACAGGGCAGATCATCAGTTTTACATTCAACAAATCATATGCCTTGTTTCATTACAATGATTATAATCCCCTCCATGTACCATCAGTTAACAGTATTTCTCTCTATTCACTTTAGCTCTTTTTTTTTTAAAGCAGTCTGTTTTATCTCAAAATCTACTTCTTGACTTCCTTGCTATTTGGAAGGTCTTTATCTACACTATTCCCTCTTTTAGCTTTTGTAGTTGACTTCATTATACATTGATACCTCTGGTTCCTTATTTTTCAGTCTTGTAGGTTTGTTTTACTTTAACTACTTCTATGTTGTTGTTGTTAAATGCCGTTACAGTCAGTTCCGACTCATAGTGACCCTGTATAGGGCTTCTGGGGAACAGCTGGTGAGTTTGAACCGCCAACCTTGTAGTTCAAACCAACTTTATGGTTGAGTGCTTATCCAAGGTTGCCACACCAGGACTCCTACATCTGGATTGAGTTCTGGGTGTTGTTGTCATGTATGGTAATCTCAGTTTTATTTTTAGTCCAAAGAACACCCTTTAGCAATTTTTATAAAGTTGGTCTGGTCATTACAAATTCCTTTAATTTCTGTATATCAGGAAATGTATTAATTTTAATGTTGTATTTAAGGGACAGCTTTGCTGAATATATAATTCTTGGTTGGCAATTTCTTTGTTTCAGAGTTTTGTGTATGTCATCTGATTGTGACATTCTCAATAACCATTTGGAAAAAGCATTTGTAAAATTGATTTAGCAGTTAAAGTAGTTAAGTGTTATTTAAGCATTTCTACTACAAAATATGGAGTCCCTGATGTGGTGCTGTGGGTTAATGAGGCACACTGCAAAGCCATTTGCATTGCAGAGTTGGCAGTTCAAGCTTATCAACGGCTCCTCGGAAACCCTAAACAGGGTCGCTATGAGTTGGAACTGACTTGAAGGCACTTAACAACAACAAAACTGCAAAATATTTTTATAGGTAAGAAATTTTGCTAAAACGGTATTTGTAGCATCTTTCAGTGTTATTTTTGTCTTTGAGGAAGCACTGGTAGAAACCCTTAATTCTTCAAGTAGTGTTTTTAAAATTCATTATCTGAAATTTATCATTAAACTTTTAATTTATTATACTTCAGAATTATCAAAAGTTTCTCATAAAATTATATGAGAATTCAAATATACAGGATCATCATTTAATATTTTAGATGCTAAGACTATATTGTTTACTTTTAGAATTTAGCAAAATTAAAATGATAGGAAACGATAAAACCACTCAAATAAAATGAGGCATTTGAATAATTTCATTTTCAGTACTCACTTTATATTTCGCAAATAATGGGTGCCTTCCTCCAGTTATTAGCATATCGTCTTCGCGATCAAGAACAAGACGAATGGGGTGACCAGTTCTAAAGAAAACACATTTTAGTTAGTCAACTTCTCCATCCCACCCATCCATCATTCACCTACCTATTTACTCCCCCATTTATCCATACTTTCATTTAACCTTCTACTCATCCATTCATTTACCCATCTATCCACAATACATCTTCCCACCCATTTATTCAACCACTCATTTATCCATCCATGCATGGATGCATCCATCTACCTGCCCATCCATCTATCCCATATATATTTAATTCATATAATGTGGTAGGTGATGATTTGAATGAAGATATGACTAAGTTATTGAGTCCTGGTATGGCACTGTGGGTTAATGTGCTGGACTGCAAAGTCAGTTTGAGCTGCAAGGTTGGCAGTGCAAGCTCACTAGTCACTCTTCAGAAACCCTATACAGAGTCGCTATGGGTTGGAACTGACTCAGTGGCACTTAACAGCAAAGTTACTATTGTCTTTGTGGTCTATAACTCAATGGTTGGTGATTTAGCTATGAGATGAGTGTCACATGACAGTTAACTAGTGTTCTTATGGTTTCAAATTTGACCTTCATCTTTATCAGCCATCTGTAAATGACAAGATTGGTGGTTTGAGCCTACCAGCCTTTCCGAGGGAGAAAGATGAGGCTTTATGTTTCTGCAAAGATTTTCAGTCTCTGAAACCCTATACAGGGTCGATATGAATTGGAACTGACCCGACGGCATTTAATCACTTGGTGACAAAGAAGGAGTGTGAGTAGATACATGCAAACTTCACACAACTGAAAAAACAAGGTCAAACACTCATTGTAGGATATCTGGGTTATCTTTCACCCATGAATGTTACTATAGTGGCCAAGTTGGTGAGGAGCCTTGACCTTTGTCTATCTCTATCAAAGGCTCCTAGACTTTGGATTGCAAAAGAATCATCTGGAGCAATGGTAAAAATGAAATTTCTTGGGCCTTAGTACTAAGATTTTGATTCAATATATTGGTGTGGAAACCTAGAATCTGCATTTTCCTCAAGCACCTGCAATGATTCTGATGCAGGTTTCTTTAGCCTCACAGTCACTTTTTGAGAAGCCACAAAAGGAGTTCTGGTGATGGAAACAGTTAAGTGCTGGGTTGCTAACTGAAAGGTTGGCGCTGTAAAGTCACTCAGTGGCTCTGCAGGAGAAAGACCTGGCAATGTGCTTCAGAAAAGATTACAGCAAAGCGAACCCTATGGGGCAGTTCTACTCCGGAATCTACTCAATGGCATCTAACAACAAAAAGGCGCAAAGCCAGGAGGGAATAAAATCAGCAATGGATTATCCCTTGGTGGGTCCCAGCTGGTTATGAGCTGGGAGGGGTTCATTATTGAAAGAACAGGAGATGGTATTAAACTCCTGCTTTTTGTCACCTTTCTCTGCAGACTGAAACACATGTCTGTGTGTATTGGGGTCCACAGTTGTCTCTGTGAACTACACAGTTGTTGATGGAAGCAGGGCTGTAAACTTTCAGTCTGATTGGGGCTCTGATAAATTATCAATGAAAATGAAAAAGTAACAGAAAAGCCAGCATTAACTAAACATGAATACTGGGGTATGAACAGCAAAGGCGTGAGCCCCTCTGGTCGAGGTTAACCCAGGGGGCTTCTCAGGATGAGTTGCCCTTCCACTAGCAGAACTTGAAGAGCCAGCCCTTCCCAAGTGAAGGAAGGCAGAGGATGGAGAATCTTTCTTTTTTTACTCCACTATGTCTTGGAGCTGAGGGTTGGAAGAAAAAGTGGTTGGAAGCAGGTTCCTTTTCTACCACTTGTCTGTCAGTCAGTTTGTCTGTCAGTTTGGCCTACTGTGATGGCTTGCACATTGCTATTTGAAATGCCATCAGCATTTCAAATACCAGGAGAGTCAGCCTATGGTGGACAAGTTTCAGTGGAGCTTCTAGACTAAGACAGACTAGGAAGACAGGCCTTGGTGATCAAATTCCGAAAATTAGCCAATGAAAATCCTATGATTAAAAAAACATGTAGTCTGTTGTAGTGCTGGCAGACAAGCCCCCTAAACTGACTGCAACAATGGACTTGAGCCTACCACAGTTGTGAAGATAGCTTAGGGTCAGACAACGTTCCATTCTGTTACACATGGGGTCACACGAGGCACGGCTGACAACTAACAACAACGGCCTCCTTCTTGGCACTCCACTGAGATGGGATGATTTGCTCCCCCCCACCCCCAAACAGATCACCTGAAGCTCAGGGGTGGGGCAGCAATATTTTGAGTAGTAACAATACTTTATAGCATAGTATTGTTGTTGTTGTTGTTAAGTGCTGTCAAGTCGGTTCCGACCCATAGCGACCCTGTACAGAGTTTCCGAGGGTGTAAATCCTTACGGGAGTAGAAAGCCTCATCTTTCTCCCGCGGAGTGGCTGGTAGTTTCGAACCGCTGACCTTAAGGTTTGCAGCCCTATTCGTAACCATTACGCTACCAGAGCCTTTTCAAAGTTATTCTGTGTTCATCTGACTCTTGCAATAACTCTAGGAAAGTGGGAGTGTAGGTATTATCGACAGGAGACTGAGTTGCTCAAGGACACACAGCTAGTTGTGACAGGAACCATGTGACTCTTGTCGGGCCACTGGTTTGCCTTCAGCCCCATTTAATACCCTCTCTTGTCCTCAGAACACTTACTTGATAGCACACACAGCTGCAATGGCCCCAAATATAGATGGTCTTCCCACCTTCCCTCCAAAACCCCCACCGACTCGCTTTACATGACAGGTGATCCTGTTGATGGGGATGCTTAGGGTGGAAGACACGGTTTTCTGTAAAAACAAGATTATGGGAAGGGTTTTCAAGAGCAAATGGAAAAACAGAAAACAAAAAAAAAATGACAAAAGAAGTTTTTTTTTTTCATGAAATACAACATCACAACAGAATTCATTCATGTCTACTGCTGGTTAAAAATATTGAGATGGTCTGAATTTGTCCTGGATCATGAATCTTCACACAACAGCCCTTCCAGCAGAAGGGGAACTGTCAGAGTTTCCTGGATGGGTTCTTAGTCAAATGCCTGGACCCAAGGAGGTGAAGGAAAAGATACATAAGCAGCTAAAATTGGTGACTGGGGAAGTTAAATGTGCTATGAGGTGATGTGTTTATTCCAAAGGTTATCTGAAATGATTATTTTAGAGAAAAATCAAAACAAAAAAAATAACAGTGTTGTCATTCAATCACAGAATTTGCGTCAATATGATGCAATGAATATTGTCTTTTAACCTAAAGTGATGGTGCTTTTCCTTTGTTTACGTGATAAGAAAGACCAAGTTCCCCTCTCCTCCCCCCAATTTTGGCATCTTAGCTGCTTTACTGACATCCAATTCTTGGATCCTAAGTTTCTGCTGGTAACATGGCTGCCCACTGTGAGTCTGTGGGGATCAGCTGCCATGCTGGAGGTAGGAACCGGGAGGTGGGAGTGACCCTGGGCCTCACCTGTACATGGGCTGGATCCTGTGTTGACACATAAATGTCCAGTTCTTTGTCTTCTGTCTTTGGAATAACAAGCACTCTTTGTGTTTCCATATAAAAATGTTCCTGTCCTCCAACATGGACCTCCCCTGTCAAGCACAAACACAGGAAAATATTGAGAGTGAGTGCTGGTTGAGAGCTGCCAGTTTGGGGACTCCAGAAGCAAGTAAGTGATGGACCAGGCATTTGTTCTGTGACAACTAAGGATCTATTTCAGAAATTACAGTTCTGAATATAATTCTTTAGTCTGTTCTTTCACCAAAATCTCAGACATTTCTGGCTACTCTGTTGCTTCGTACTTACTGCCTACACCCACAAACAAAAATACACACTATTTGAGAGGAAGAGGCAGAACAGTGCTAAGAGTTTAGAGGGTGGTCTTTCTGAGGAGGAAAATAACATGCTTTTGATGTCTGCTTCAATAGAATTAGGCAAATATTCTATTAAATATCATGAATAGCGTACCTTCAACAGTTTGATCGACTTTTTCAAATGCCTCCTCAATGTTTCCTTTTTCAAGTTTCTTTTCAGGGCATAGGAATGAATTATGTTTTATGGCATCCTGAATGACAGGGAGAAAAGCCAGTTCTTTTTACTTTTTCTTCCATTGGCATTTTAGCAAACCCAGTAAATTTCTGAAAATGGCTGTCTACTGAAACACATAAAAGAGTTCTGCAAACAAGTGAGTATTAGAGCAATGGCCTACCACAGAGATGAGACTTCAGAGAGGATGTCTTATAGATTTGCAGAGAAAATTTGCAAGGACTAGTGAGACTTAAAGGAGGAAGCTATGTTCAGAACTGAGCCCTGGGGATGCTGTGATGGTCCAGGCTGAGAAGCACTCATTTCATTTTCAACATGGGTCTTTATCTTCAGGGAACAGGTGATAGACACAAACTGGCAAGGTTTTGGGCCCCTCAAAAACACTTTATGCATAAAAACATTGTGTTAGACTAGTTAGGCAGGTCATATAAAAGAGGCTCTAGCTCAGAAATCTGGAAGAATTGAAGTCAGAAGAAGATGTAAGTCCTTATCCATCTTTGAGGCAAGAAAGTCCTGTAGACATTTCAGGAACATTGTTCGTTGTTTTTGGCATTTGAATATCTCACAGGGGTCTTTTCCTGCCCTTTGTTCCTTTTTCCTGACAACATGAACGGACTCAAACATGAAGACAGAAACCATTCCACTCTGTGGTACTGTGGACTGACCCTACTGAGGGCCAATCTTGGTGCAGAACCTTTAGTCCCTGGGTGTTTTTCTCCTACTTCAGAAAGGCACCTGCGTCCTGCATTCTGAAGACTCCAAGAGCCTTAGACTTCAAAGCTTTTCTTGCTTCTGCTGCTGCTGCTGCTGGTGGTGGTGGTGGTGGTGTGCCGTGGAGTCGGTTCTGACTCATAACGACCCTGCACAGGGTTTCCGAGGCTGTAAATCTTAATGGGAGCAGAAAGCCTCACCTTTCTCCCAAGGAGCAGATGGTAGTTTTGAACTGCTGACCTTGAGGTTACCAGTCCGACTCGTAACCACTATGTTACCAGAGATGATAATAAAAATAAGAACCTTGACAGTAGCTTTGTGTCTAGCACTGTCCTTCATCTTTACATGAGCTCCCACATTCATTCTGGTCTGCTTTCCATTTTCCAGATGAGATTACTGCACTTAGAGAGGTTGAAACTGTTTTCAAGGTCTCGCTGTGAACAAGTGCTGGAGCCAACTTTCTAGCCCAGCCTTAGTTTTCAGAACTGCTTTCCCTGATGTACATGTGATTTCTCAAAACAGCAGAACATGATCAATAAAATGAAGACTCACACTTTCTGCTACATCCAGGTCTCAGCAACATATGTGGGTACATGTGGAAATGTGAGGTAGGGCTTTGATAAAGTTATGGAAAGATTCCATTTCTCCCCAAACTTTCTGAAGTCCCTTTGTACATTTATTTCCATATTGTAAATGTATCATAAGACAGTGTACCCTTATTATAAAATACACTTATAGTTTATTGAGTGCGAACTATGTGCCAGGCACCACTTTAAATGCTTTACATGTATTTACTCATTTAGTCTTCCAACTTGAAGGTTTTGTTGTTGTTAAGTGCTGCTGAGTGGGTTCTGACCCTTAGCAACCCTTATAGGATTTCCGAGGAGCGACTGGTGAGCTTGCACTGATGACCTTTTGGTTCAAACCTACTTTGCAGTTCAGCGCATTAACCTTCAGCACCACACCAGGACTCCAGCATGAAGGTAGATACCATTATTATCTGGCACAGAGAGCTTAAGTAACTTGCCCAAAGTTACACAGTAAGTATAGTTTGGTTCTAGGACTATGCTTTTTTATTTTATTTTGGCATTTTATTATGTTAGGCTTATGCTTTTAACTCTTATCCTATACTCTCTCCTATGTATAGTCATATTAATGAATGAGTGAGTGAATGAATAAGTATTGATATATATAACACTGTTGGAGTCCTGGTGTGGCACTGTAGAATAAACACTGTACTGCTAATCACTAGGTTGGCAGTTCAAACCCGCCAGCAGCTCCTTGGAAACCCTCAGGGTTGCTATGAGCCAGAACCGACTCTACGCACTTAACAACAGCATGGCTGTTAGCTGTTTTTGTTCACATATTGTTTTGCTGTTGGCTCTGGGTATCCCCCTTTCGAGGGAACTCTGGATCTCTAACCATTCTGAGTCCCAAGAGTCATGGTGTGTCCTCTGAGCTACCTGTTAGCATTTGTCATATCACCCATGAAGAAGCGGAATTGAAAATTAAAAAACCCATGTTAAAACCCCAGTAAAAGCCAAAGAAGGAGACTGAGTCAAGAAAAATGATTTGAACTTCATGTAAACTTGGTAAATGGAAATTTGGAGCTAAAGTTGATTTGGTTTAGAGAACTCGAGACATGACGTTTTTTACACTTTGAATATTTAGTGATTTATACCTGCCATTGAATTTTGGATGAATGAATGTTGTAAAGGATTGACTTGTATCCTGCCCCCCTATCACTGGTACTCATGAATGTAACTTTATTTTGAACTAGGGTCTTTGCAGATGTAATTAATGTAATTAAGTTACGAATCTTTGGATGAGATCATCTTGGACTTAAGGTGGGCCCTAAATCCAATCACTGGTGTCTTTAAAAGAGAAAGGAGAGGGAGATTTGAGACATAAAGATACATGGCGGGGGTGGGGGGTGGTGCATGGAAACCAAGGAAGCCTGGAGTCCCCAGGAGCTGGAAGAGGCAAGCAATGATTCTCACCTAGAGCCTTCAGAAGGAGTGTGGCCCTCCAGATTTAGAATAAGACAGTAAATGTCTGTTGTTTTAAGTCATCTAGTTTGTGGTAGCTTGTTACGACAGCCCTAGGAAACTGATAAATGTTTAAGCTCATGGTTTGCTAGGACTTTTGAACATTTTTTATTGTTTTTGTATGTGCACAAACTTTTCTCATTGAATTAGAACCTGAAAATTTTAGTTCCTATCTAAATTTTTCATTATCTTTGCCTGGTGTGGTGCTGTAGGATCAGCACTGGACTGAGAACCACAAAGTCAGCAGTTCAAACCAACCAGCTGCTCCTTGGAAACCCTATATGGGGTTGCTATGTGTTGGAACCTACAACAATGTGCATTTAACAACAACAATGTGCACCAACAAGTAAACTTTTCTCATCGAAGCAGAACTTGAAAATTTTGGTTCCTATCTAAATTCTTCATTATCTTTGCTAGAATTATTATCTTGAATTTCATCATCTCAACTCAGAAATGACAATGAAAATTTCTGTGAAATGCCACCACAAAAGCCCCATTGCTATTGGGCTCCACCTTGAAAACATCCTTTTCTTCAATATCCATTTTCATCTTCCTCAAGTACTTTGTTGTTGTTGTTAAGTGCCATTGAGTTGGTTCCAACTCATAGAGACCCTGTGTAGGGTTTCCTAGGAGTGAATGGTCTTGAACCACTGATCTTGTGGTTCAAACTAACCTTGGTTCATTGTTAGGTACTGTCAAGTTGATTTTTTGACTCAGTGATCTCATGTGACAGAGTCGACCTGCTCCATAGTGTTTTCTAGGCTAGAACCCTAAAATTTTAGCTGGATGCATGGCCACCTGCAATAAAATACCCAGCCTTGCCTTGGAGTTAGGTGTGGCATAAGATTAGGTTCTAACCAATGAGCAGTAGGGAGGTATGTACTTCTTCTGGGAAGTACCCTTAAAAGGAGGGTGTGTGTGGTTCTTCATTCTTCACCTCATCTCTCTGCTGTCTGGAATGTGGGTGTAATGACCTGGCTTCAGCAGCTATTGTACACCTGACACTTGAATCCTCATAAAAGTCCTGGATTGACCATTTTTAGACTTTTTGAATGCTAGATAAGGAAGAAACTTCTTTTTTTTTTTGTCCTGTTTTTTTTGGAGCCAAAGTTAATTCCAACTCACATAAGTAATATCTTCCAGAGAAAGCGGATATTCTCAGGAAAAGCCAGTGACAAGAACAGATTAGAACCCTGAACTAGTCTTTCACAAACATTCAAAAATATGTGAGATTCTACAACCTTGCAAAAGATGGGCAGCCCTACTTACCTCAATAGAGAAGATTACAGGCTCCAGATCTTCATAGGTGACCTTTACCTTTTCAATTGCTTGCTTCGCCTGTACCTCTGTCTCAGCTACCACAGCACAGATAATCTGGCCCACACAATGTACCTGTGGAAAGTACATGCATGGAACAGGTGGAAAATTCTGGGTGGGAGTAGACTGAGTTCAACCTTAAAGTGTCATTGTTAAGTAAAGACAACCATGTTAGAGTTGACAGGTTTACAGTCAATTACATGTTTGGCAAAAAAGCTTTTGAATGAACAACAATGTAAAGAACACAGACAGTTCCAATGGCCATGCTGCTCAAGGATGAAAGTTTCAGAGTGAGTTACTCAGGATGGAAGCCTCAGCTTGGCTGTGACCGGAATCCGTTGTGACCTCTACTGAGCTTGGTTCACTGGGGTCATCTTCATGGCACCATTTTAGAGTTCAAATATAAGGGAAGCATTTTTGTTTGTTTTGGTACATGTCACTAGATGTCAGTTCTGGAGTTCAACTGAAAGGGTGATTTGTTGCACAGTAGGACTGACCAACATTAAGAGCTAGGCACTGTTTGAACCACTTTACATTTCTTAACTCGTTTAAATCTCACAGGAACATAACCAAGTGGGTGCTATGGTCACTTTCCTGCTAACTGCAAGGTAAGTGGTTCAAACCCACCAGCCATTACTTGGAAACCCTATACAGGGTTGCTATGAGCCAGAATCTACTCTAAGTACTTAATAACACAACAACCTTGTTTTCCTCATTTTTCAGGTGATGAAACTCAAGATTACACAGCTGAACTGGAACACGAGTCTGGCAATCTGGCTCCAAAAGCAAGTGCTCAATGACTGATAATTGACTTGAATGAAAAGGTAGTAAGGGTAACCTTATTAAATATCGATATGTGAAGGCAGGCGTTGAGGTGGGGGAGCGAGTGGTCCAGGAAGGGGGAGGGTGCTCAGAACAGATCAAGGCTGTGTTTTTTGTATTCCTCTTTCTAGATCTTCTGGACACAGATCAATTCCTTGCATTTAGTCTTCAGATAAGAGTGTGTTGACTCAAGACCACACAGTTAGTGGCATAACAAGGACCTGTCACATTACTGTAATACGTTTCCTTTTACTATCTTATTTCCTGAATCTATAAGAATGGTGGTGGTTGTATGTCACCAATTGGTTCCAGCTCAGAGTGAGCCTATATATGGTTTCCGAGGCTGTAAATGTTTATGGGAGCAGAAAGCCTCCTCTTTCTTCCATGGAGCAAATGGTAGATTTGAATTACTGACCTTGTACTTAGCAGCCTAGTTCGTAATCCACTAGCTACCAGGGCTCCTTCTGGAAGAGTTGTTGTTGTTGTTATGTGCCGTGGAGTCAGTTCTGACTCATAGCAACCCTGTACAGGGTTCCTGAGGCTGTAAATCTTTATGGGAGCAGAAAGCCTCATCTTTCTCCTGCGGAACAGCTGGTAGTTTTGAACTGCTGACTGTGAGATTAGCAGCCCGATTTGTAACCACTACGTCTGAGTAAACTTAATAGAGTAGAGAGAAGCTGGCAGGCTTGACACTTCTACCCCCTAATGGCGGAGACCTCTGAGAGCAATGGAAAGCCAGAGGACAAGACCCTTGGTGATCACTTGCACTAAGCCATCTGGGAAACATGTTCCATACCTCGCCAACAGCCAACAGTCTGTCCTCTTCAGTACCGTTGGTGCCTGGAATATCATCAGCTGTTATCACATCAACTACCCCTGATAGTACTAGAGCCTCAGATGAATCAATTGATCTGAGCAAAGAGAAAATATTTAAGAAGTAGAAATCAGCAAGCTTCCAAGACTCCAAGCCCCAAAAACGCATAGCATAAAAGGTCTCTATGAGCCGGAAGACAGTGGGTTTAGATTAGTTTTTTGGTTTTGGCCCAACTTGGGATCACTGGCTGATACAAATTTGTTAACACATCCCCTCATTCAAAAGATTGGAGGTTAAAATTCACTCAGACAAATCTTGGAAGAAAGACCTATTTCCAAAAAATCTGCCTTGGAAAACCCTATGTAGTACAGCCCTATTCTAACATGCATAGGGTCTCCATGAGTTGGCATTGACTTGAGGGTAAACATTTTTTTTCTGGTCCAGCTTAGGCCTTGACCAACTGGACTAGACCTGCTATGGAGTAGGGGCCAGGAGCATCCCTACTGAGCCAGGTGGGGGAGGGCCAGTGTGACTGTGGAAGAGAGTGCTGTGGGGAAGCTCAGGATAGAGACCATTTACTAACTGGCACTGAAGTCGATAGTTCAGTGTTTTAATATGAGCCCTACTTCAGAGTTACTTCTTGAGCCGAGCCTGAGGCTGCAGTAGGGCAATGAGGTTTTGTGATATTTAGGATTAAGCAAGGAGCCCAGGACCATGATTTTTGTTCTCTCTCTGTCAAGACTGCTATTTCTGGATACTTTTCTCCAACCTTTTCCTTGTTATTTCTGCTTTAGGTTCTTTAGGTTCAGGGCATTGCTGGAAAATGGAAACATTCCTCAAAGGGAAAGCACAGGTGGACTTTAAAAAGGTTTCTCAAAGGCTTTTCATTTACTTACATGATTTTTGCATGAGCCCTGGTACTGGTCACCAAAGCCATGACAAGTTCTTTATCCACTACAGGAATGTCATCACAGAATGTGGCTTCCCCTGTAGCATGTTTTAGACCTGACAGGTGCATGATGGGGCGTCCAACTGGGTCTTGGAGAGGTTGGTCAGAATCCACACTCTAGAGAGGATGATAAGAATCTGTCTGGAAATGTTCTAGATCCTACTTTGGTGAGTAGTGACTGGAATCTTAGAAGCTCATGACCATCTGAGATGCAACTATTGGTCTCTCAATGTGCAGAAGCAAAAAGAGTGATAAAAATGGAAAATGCTTGGAATCAATTAGTCTAATGGACTAATGGAACACGTGACCATCAGTCTCCATGACTGAAACCCAAAGAACTAGACGGTGCCTGGCTACCACTACCAACTGCTTTGAAAGGGAGCACATTAGAAGGTCCTGGATAGAGTGAGAGAAAAGTGGAACAAAACTCAAAATTATAAACGAGACCAGACTTACTGGTCAGAAAAAGACTGGAGGAACATGAGACTCTGGCCTTCAGCCATCCTTCAGGTCTGGAGTAACTCACCCTCGTGGCCCAATTTTCGACTAAGCAGTAGGTAGATATAAAGGTGGGAAGGGGGAGGTGGGACAAGAGCACTCCTGAGGTTCACCATGGAATAGTCAATCATTCAAGATCAAAAGGGCAACATTTAGCTGGGGGACATGGTTCAGAGGAGTTGGGAAGGAGTATGGAATGGAAATTGGAACTACAGGGAGGAATTGTAACTCTTGTTATTTGGAGGGGATTGCAATCACTGAGGTGAAAGAAGATGTGTGATTTGTTGGATGCAAAGCTGATGATCTACTCTGTAAACCTTCACTCACTTCACAATGAAAAGTTTTTGTTTTTTTTTTAAGAATTAGTTTAGAAACCTTTAATCTCAGAAGTGACCTGACCAATTGCCAACACTCTCCATTCAGGATTGAGAAATGAGACTGGTACCCTTAGGCAACAGGACACTGGATGGAGTTAAATGATGACAGTGGCAGTTGAATGACATAACTAGAATGGGGAATTGCCACTCAGCTATGTGTCAATGACTGGGCCAGCCTTTTGGCAAAATTGTGGAGTAGGTGAAGGGGCACCCAGACTTTGATTTTTGATGCTTTCTTTTCCTCGGTGCTCTCCTTGAATATCTTTCTTCTGGAATTCAGGGATTTTCCCTGTCTGCCGTCTCATCTTTCCAGTGATAAACCTGTCATGCATAAGGTGATTGTAGTGATATGATTCCTGATGGTGGGGATCAAAATCTACACCAAGAGCTTAACTATCAACTTGAGTGCAACTTGAATAGGGCCTCTTAGGTAAGGGGCAAAGGGGAGGAAAGAGACAATGGCCATGAAGTCCGTCCAGATCTGGTTAAAGTGCTTTGGCTGCCCCTGACAACATCACAAAACATCACTTGGAGTGTAAGGAGATAAAGGAGGTGTTTCTTCTGGAACTTTCCTGAGGAACAGTCTTCTATGTGTAACTGTATATGGGTGGGGGTAGGAGTTCTCTTGAAATAATAGATGATTTCTTAAATGTCCTTCAAGAATGGAGACTTCAGTTACTTGCAGGGCTCTAGTTTTGCTCACTGGAGATTAAAATTTGGAAATCTGGGCTGAAAGCTGAACCTTGCTAGTCTACTCCTCTATCCTTTCCCCACACTGGTCTCAGCTGTTCTGAGTAAATAGCAAACAAATGGCCAAATAATATCAATTTGAGGATCTGTCAAGTATTTGTAGATGAGTCAGGTTATCAGACTGCTTCAGGTGGGTTCAGCCTTGAGTACATCTAGCCACAGCTCCCACCTGAATTTATAGTCCAGTGTTCCCCTGACTTGGTGTGGACAAAGAGCCAATGTGTGCTGGTAGTTAGAAAGTCAGAACCAAAACAAATCACAATTCGGACAAGTTTACTTACGGCACAGTTCAACCCACTGACCTGGTATGTTTGGACTCCGTGGGGTATTGTGACAGGGAAATCTTCTAGCGCACTTAGGAACCGGTCTGGAATTTCAGGATAACGACGGCTGTCCTGCCAGGTGATTTAAAGTAATACAGAAAATTGGTTAGTGTATGATTAAGGTGGATTTGATTTATGCAAAAATTATTTGGCTAATATATCCATGATTCTTTAGGTGGTATAAAGGGTTAATGTGCTGTTAACTGAAAGACTGGAGGGTGAAGCCCACCCTGAAGAAGGCCTGACAACCTACTGAAAAAAACAACCATTGAAAACCTCATGGATCACAGTTCTACTCTGACACACATGGGGTCAGGAGCTACTTAAAAGCACTTCGTTTTCATCCATGACACTGCAAGGTCAGGGTAGCATGGATAGCCAAAATCCATACTCCCTTCCCAAAGTTCACTTTTTGTGAATGTTTCTTGCCCTCTGCCTCTCTCCCCCACCCCTTATCCACATAAGAGGAATTAGATGGACTGGTTTGAATCTGATCCTAAGCCACGTAGAGGAGACAGACCTTCAGGTGAGCTGACCCACAGAGTAAGGAAGTGAAACAAGCAGGCTTCTGGCTGGTTAAGCTGTATCAGAGTCAGCAGGAATTCACTGTACACAAAGGGGACCTAATCTTGATTGTTTTCTCAGGAACTCAGATATTCTGTGAGAGTAGTTAAAACGAGAAGGATGTGCTGGGGTCACTACAATGCTTTCAGTGTCTTGATCCAGAAGTGAAATAGCAGCAAGAGTTATCCTGGCGAATGTGGTTGGCGACGGTCTTCATGTGAGTAAAGGAAAATCAGTTTGTTTAGACAAGTGTGCAAAGTCTTGTAGTCACCACTATAAATAAGGTCTAGAACATTTGCTTTAGGAATGATGGGCAGTTGGGGTTGGGTGTGGTTAAGAAACAGGAGTACAAGGTAGGTTGGAATCAGGGTCAGGGGAGGAGGAGAAGGTCCCTTAACCCTGGAAAATCACTCTGGAGGTAAAAATGACCAGGAAGCAGTCAGAACTAGAAGAGTTAAAGTAAACCAAGTCCACACAGAAGGCAGGGCAAGGCTGCAGAGAGGGAGAAAGGCAGGAAGGGGAAAGTGGAGAGGAAAGAGAAACTAAGTTTTGGTCTTTTTGAAAAATGTTCTATACATTATTTGTAGTGGTGGCTACCTGATTTTGCACACTTATCTAAACTCACTAAGTTTAAATAGATCCATTTTTTGATATGTAAACTATATAGAAATAAAGTTGATTTGAAAACAAAAACATTGCATTAGGGAGACAGGGGCATCACGTTTCAGTCCTCAGGGCATGCATCCATCCCAAGCTTCCTTTAGCCCTCAGGGCTAAATCCGGATAGGAAGGCTGGTTGGGTTCTGACAAGACCCTACACAGAACAGGTGACAGTTTAGAAAAGTAATGAGAAAGCCATGAGTTTAGGGTTCCAGGGTTCCTTGTTGTTGTTCAGTGCCATCGAGTCGGGTCCGACCCATAGCGACCCTGTACAGGGTTTCTGAGGGTGTAAATCTTTACGGGAGTAGAAAGCCTCATCTTTCTCCCGCAGAGCGGCTGGTAGTTTCGAACCGCTGACCTTAAGGTTCGCAGCCCGATTCGTAACCACTACGCTACCAGAGCTCCCCTAGGAGCACATAAAATCCAGAGCACTTACAGGAACAGGAAACAGTTTTAGGAGTGTCTTTAGTTCCTTCAAAACTTCTAGGTAGAACTTGAAGAAGAAGCTGACCACCAGAGCCCTCTTGAATTCTACCCTCCCACCAGGAGCCGAGCCTGGGATAGAGACTTCCTCCAGCAGCAGCCTGCAAGCCTCATCCAGCATCAGTTCATTCCAGCGCCTGGTAGGGTTGAAGGAATCAGTTACACAGCAATCTCACATTGCAAAACAACACAAAACAGAGAAACCAACCCAGCTGCCTGCAAGTGGATTCTGACTGGTAACCCCATGTGTCTCAGAGTAGCGCTGTACTCCATAGGGTTTGTTTGTTTTGGTAATAAGTATATGGAGAACAAGACCGTTGTCATTTCTGCAGTGCACACATGAACAGTTCACTGACATTAATTATGTCCACCATATTGTTCAACCATTATTAGGAACCATTTCCAAATAGTCCATAGGGTGTTTAAATAGTTGCTTTTTTAGAAGTAGATCATCAGACCTTTATTTCAAGGTGCCTCTGGGTGAACCCAAACCTGCAGTCATTTGTTAACAGCTGAGTGTGTTAACCATGTGTAACACCCAAGGTCTCTACCTACCTACTGCCACCCACTTGACTCCGACTTATGGAGTCCCTATAGAACAGAGTAGAACTGTTCTGTAGAGTTTCCAAGACTGTAAATCTATATGGTCCCAGACAGCCTTACCTTTCTCCCTCAGAGCAACTGGTAGGTTAGCCTGCAGTTAACAGTTGGATGCTTAACACATGTGCCACCAGGGGTCCTTCACTCAATGCCTTTATATACTAGATACTGGATGGTGTCCTTTTAGAGACAATAGAATCCTTTTTTGAATTGAAGGGAACTTTGAAATCGTCTAATGAAATCCCTCAGGAAAACGGAGGCCTGGGGAATCTGCACTAAGTGGCCCATCTGGTCACAGTAGGGTGAGGACGGGACCTATCCCACCAACCATGTTGTACAACCATGAATCATGTTAAGATTCATGTTAAGTGCCGTTGAGTCAGTTCCAACTCACAGTGACCCTGTAGAGGGTTTTTGAGGAGTGGCTGGTGGATTTGAACCACTGGCCTTGCAGTTGGCAGTCCAGTGCTGATCCTACAGTGTCATACCAGGGACTCCTTGAGCAGACTAGAACCAAATATTCAATAAGTGGAGGATTAGGGTCAACTCTGTCATGGATTGAACAGAAGTCAGGAAGACGCAGTGCACATAGTCAGTGGGAGCATGCCTGTCACATGGAAGCTGCTAAATGGTTGGTACATATAAGAGAACTAGAGCCAGATGGGAAAAAATACCCTGCCGTCTCTACTCTATACAGGGTTGCTGTGACTCGATGGCACTTAACAATAATACTCAGCCCTGGGCTTGTTTTGTTGTATCATTCAAGCTAAGTCTAATAAGGTTTGGTTCCTTTAGCAAAATTACAGAAGGAACAAATATGTTATTCAAACATCAGCTCTCACCCCTAGGGTAAGGCACTCACCTCCCTAGGAGCTGCTGGCAGGACAGGGCTGCGCAGACGGTGGCAGTGCCCACCCCTCCGTAGGCGAGGCTCAGGTCTGCAATGGTGTCGGTGCCTTCTTCAAAGAGGACTCTCATGCCAGCGTTCACATCAGGCAAGGCATTTTGCTGGCACTCAGCCTGTCGGAAGGCTGACACAAATTCCCACTGTGGGGACAGTAACCATTTGGAGTTATTTGATACGAAGAAACAAAGAGCATGCTTTTTGCTCTTGGTGCTACTAATTAATCATTTGACCTCCGTCTAAAGGGACACAAAGGAGATTTGGCACAGGGATGACTTGGCTCTCTTCTCTTTCAAAGTGAGAATAGTGTCCCCCCAAAGGCCCTCCCAAACACCCTGGAGACCCTCAAGGAGTGAGATCCCCGGGCACTTTCCCTCTGGGCCAGAATGCTTTCTGCATCAAATGCTGTGGAAACTGTTGTGCTCCATTTCCAGGGACCTCTCCCTCTCATCTGCAGATGCCTTTGTCTCCTGGCAGGATGAGGAACCCTCCTAAAGCAGGTGCTTTTAAAGATGATTGGCTGAAAGTGCAAAGGAGACCTATTGTGTTCCTTGGTTTGTAGAAATGTTTACTTTGTCCATTTTGCAATGCTCAAAAAGAAGCTTTCCAGATGTGGTGGACTAGGGAATCTTGTATCAGGAGAAAGATTTAAGAGGGGTAATGGCTGCCCAACCCTGGTGTACTGGTGGGGTCAATGAAGAAGACCTGTGCTCCTAACTAGGTTTCCATCCGGGCAGCCACTGAACATTCTCAGATTTGAGTTACTCTCTTTTTCTGTCGCCTGCCTTTACATTGATGCATATTTGGGAACACATTTAAAAGTTCTGATTCTGTTAATGCCATGAAAAATGAATTGTGTTTTCTAACAAATACATGTTATAGCCCTAACTCCCCATTAACTGTGACCCTGTTTGGAAGTAAGCTCTTTGGAGGTGTCATGAGTTCAGTCAGACTGGAATAGGCTGTGTCCTAATCCAGTATGAATGGACACAGAGACACAGGAAGGTGGCCATGTAAAAAGAGTCAGAGGTTGGAATGACATATCTACCAACCAAGGTATGCCAAGGATGGCCGGGAACCACCAGAAACTAAGAAGAGGCGAAGAAGAGTCTTCCCTTGAAATTGACAACTTGGTTTAGGACTTTTCGCCTCCAGAAGTGTGAGACAGTACACCTCCGTTGTTTTAAAGCCACCCAGATCATGGTCCTTTGTTATGGCAGCCCTAGGAAAATAATACACTTTTGAAAGAAAAATAAATGAAGAACATTCCTGGCTGAAAACATGACTAAATATAGATGTGCTCCATAAGCAAGCAGATTTATGGTTTATGATCTTTGTGTGTGTTTGAATGTATGTGTGTGGGTGTATGTGTTGCATTGCCTCTTTCTGAGAAGACTCATCTTGGGTTCAGGTACAGTTTTGGAGGAGACACATGAGCAGACTGTATGCCACCTTTACTGCCAGCTGGATGGCCACACAACCTTTGGGCTCTGAATGAGCACAAAGGTCTGAAGTCTTCATGCTCCTATGAACTGGGGCAGTGGGCTAGAGTGGGTTGAGTGTAGACTAGCTCTAGTCCCCAACTCCCTCTGGGTCAGGAAGAGAGCTTCAGAATAAGGCCAGAGAGCTTTCATTTCTGTCACCTAGAGTCCCAGGCACAGAAGAAGGTGTGGAGGCATGACTACAGGTCTTAGGGGGCCCTACCCCACAGCTGAAACAGCACAAACTCCAGAGTTGCTCACTTGTGATATCTGAGCAGAACCTTGAACTGGTTCAGACACTGCTAGTGAAGAAAAACTGGAACATACTAAAAAATTTAGAATGTGTGTGATCCAAAGTGATAATTGGAATGGGAAAAATTATGGGTCCTAACCTGGAGTGGGAGACACAGAACAGGTATAACGAGTCCTTTCAGGAGCCTGATGTATTAGATTGGATTATTGGCAGGACTCTGGAGAGTGACACACATTCAGAACCATGTGAACAGATGCCATCTTTGAGCAGGGTACCACTGTTCTGACTCTGCTCAAAATCAAACTGGGTAAGAGTTTTAGCTGCTATGCAATGCGTATATACGCCACCCTTATTTTCTAAGCGGGAGATTATGTTTCTAGTAGGTCTTTGACCTGTAACTTTTCCTATTCCAGTCATCCAAATTTTGAAAATTCAAATCTGCTCCAGTTTAGCTTTCTGGGTTAAGAGTGAATCGGAAAGACCCTGTTCAAAGCCTTGGCGCCGAGCCAGCCCACAGCACAACCAGAAATAGCCTTTCATGCAGAGCTTCAACTTCCATCCGCTTTCAGATTTCTAAAGATGCCTGGGTGAGGTGATGAAAAGGGGAAACAACTTCCGAAAGTCACCAGCAGAATTCTTACCTTGTGTGAGTGAGGAATATGCACAGATTCCAATAGTTCCTCTGGCTTAAGGTCTGCACTTGCCAACCCAGCAAGAAAATGTTCATTCAGAGGAATCTGTCGCATCCCTTCTGTTAAGGGAAATGACATTTCTGCAGTCGCAACAAGGAAAGCAAGGTTTTTCTGTACTTTTAAATGTCAGCAGTGGAGAAGAAAATGCCATCTTCATATGCACAGAGTGATGCAGAGGTTTGGGTCTGAGACAGATATAGGGCTGCTCCTGTCCCCAGGTCCAGGACACTGTCTCATGTCCGTGTTCACATTTGTGAACTTGGTCTCTTCCCACCTCAAGCCTGTCAGGTATGTGGGACTTTTATTCTTTTAGACTGGAGGCTGGTGAATTAAGCCCAATCCAGTTATACTTAGAATCAATGTATCCTCTCAGGCTCCACAAGCTTCCTCCCCAAAACCAAAACCTGTTGCCATGGAGTTGATGCTAACTCGCTGTGGCCCCATGTATTAAAAATCAGAATTGTTCCATAGGATGGAATTCTGTAGGATCAGCACTGGGCTTCAAACCACATGGTCGAACCACATGGTAGGCAGTTCAAACCTGTTCCTTGGAAACTCAATATAAGGTTGCTATGAGTTGGAACTGACTCAAAAGCACTTAACAACAATCTTCAGTGAAGAGGATTGTCAGGACATTCTTTCATGGTGTTGGTTGTTGTTGTTAGGTGCCATCGAGTTCGTGCCGACCCATAGTGACCTTATGCACAGCAGAACGAAACACTGCCTGATCCTGGGTCAACCTCACTACTGTTGCCACGCTTGAGTCCATCGATGCTGCCACTTGGCCAATCCATCTCGTTGAGGGTCTTCCTCTTTTTTTCTGACCCTCCACCTTACCAAACATGATATCCTTCTCCAGCGACTGGTCCCTCCTGACAATATGTCCAAAGCATGAGAGACAAAGTTTGGCCATCTTGGCCTCTACGGAGCACTCTGGCTGCACTTCTTCCAAAATGGATCTATTGGTTCTCTTGGCAGCGCATAGCACTTTCAATATTTTCTTCCAACACCATAACTCAAAAGCATCAATTCTTCTACGGTCTTTCTTATTCACTGTCCAGCTTTTGCACGCATATGAGGTTACTCAAACCACCAACCTTTAGTAGTCAAGCACAAACCATCTAGGGTTTGTTTCCATTATTAACCAAGTTCAAATAGTTGGATTTACTTTATGTTCTTGCTGCTGTTGGAGCCAGATATTTAAAGCAGTGTGAACAATTCACAAGACTCCCTTTTAGCCCACTGTTGAGCTATTCCTCTGGCTTATTTAAAGTGGTTTCTTACTCCACAGGAAGTGCTGTCAAGAGACCAAACTCTAGCCTAATGAATCTGATGTGACTAGAATTGAGGTGTAGATGTGAGGGAGGAGAAATGCTTTAAGGGAGCCCCTTCTGGATCTTGTCTGCTCTGCTCTGCTGCTGAGCCAGCCTGGCTGATCTTCTGCCCTTGCTGAAGGTGGGGCTGCAGCTGTGGCCACGCCAGGCTGGAGATGGCTTTGGTAGGACTGGGAAAGCAGAAGCCTTAGGCTCAAGGTAACCAGCAACACCCCAGTAGAAGGAAACAGGCCCTGGATGGGGGCTGAGTTATGCACACCATCCTGGTGCCTGGGGTTTTGGTTCCTTCTCTCCTGATCCCTGGATGACAGGCCTGAAGGACTCAGCAAGATGGCGGACCCAGGCAGAAGAGAGGCCTTTCCTCCTGCTTCCTGGGCAGGCTCCATACAAAATAGAATAGGGATGGGGATGAATGATGATTGCTTCTCCTCCCCACACACTTCCTGAATTCCCACCTGTTAGGGACAGCATTGTTAAGTGCCATCGAGTCAGTTCCCACTCATAGTGAGCTTCTTACCCTATAGTGCTACATAACTACTCCTAGGAAGTCCCGGTGTGGTGCTGTGGGTTAATGCACCAGACTACATAGCCGTTTGAACGGCAGGGCTGGCAGTTCAAGCTCACCAGTTGCTCCTTGGAAACCCTATACAGGGTTGCTATGGGTCGGAATCAGCTCGATGGTACTTAACAACAACAACAGGGACTGGATAGTGTGGACAGTCAGTGTGTTTGGCAACTACACAAAAGGTTGGGTGGAGGGTGGAGTGACTGTTTCTAATATACCTAGACCTAGTGATTTACTTCTAGGGTGAAAAAGTCACAGTCATTGACAACCCTATGGAGACATCGTTCTACTCTGACGCACACGAGGTCTCCATGAGTTAGAATCAACTAGACGGCAATTGGTTTCTTAGGGATTGGGTTTTGTGTTAGCCAGCAAACACCTCAGGGAGGGTCAGGCTGTCTGTAAAGTAATCCCTGGTTGGAAGCACCTGGGAGTTCATGTGGAATGGGCAGAGAGTTTGATTCTCTTCCCTACACCTCAGACAGCGCCAGCAGCCAGGAGGCATCAATGTGTAAGTGGCCAACAAACCAGATGAGTGGGGTGGACACGGAGGATTACCTGAAACTGTAGGCGAGCAAGCAGAAGAAGCAGATAGGGTAGCCCTGGGGAGAGAGTTAGAGGTAGTGGGGGGAAAAGAACAGTACGGCCTGGAGACGCACCTGGCTTAAAAAGAGGCAAACACACTCCTTTTGGCATCAGACAGACTGAGTGCACATCCCCTCCTGTCTCGGCAAGTGGTCCCAGCTGTGTGGCTGAGCAGCTTAGAGATACTCTGTGAGACGTGCCCACACAGGGCCTGGCTTGTAGCTCAAGCCCAGTGAGGGGGAGCAGCCTGAGGGTGGGGTGATCGTGTTGAGCATTCTGGGGAGCTGGAAGGGTGGTTTAGCTTGGAGCAGCCCCAAGGAAACACTCCCCTCAGCCAGCAAGCAAAATTAATCATCTCCCTGTCCTCAGGGGACTCCCAGTGTCTGTGATGTGTCCTCACCAGACTTGTAGTTTCTCACACAGTAACACGGGGGAACAACTTAGAGGGATCCCTGGTGGAGGGGTGGGGGGTGGCAGACTCTGTATGGTGGTGGGAAAGCCCACAGAGAGGACCAGAGGAGTGTACCCTCAGGCCACTGGGTAGGAGCACACTCCAATTTCACCTTCACCTCAGCCTCTGCAAGCCAGGCCTGGTATTTACTTGCCAAACCAAACATGTGGGCTGAGTGTTGTCCCATGTGTGTATGTGCCAAAAGGAAGCACCAGCCCCCCACTTCCTTCAAATGTCTGAGTCCACCATGGTGAGCTGAAAGAGTTCTGGGTTTCAACTTAAAGTGGTCCCGTAATAATAAAAAACCAGAAAGCTTTACTGTTCAGAGTGTGTGTGTGTGAGTGTGTGTGTGTGTGCGGGGGGCGGGGAGAGGTAGATTACCTTCTGATATCAGATTGAGTGTAGCGTTGCCCACGGCCAGAATTGGATTCAGATCTGAGAAGAAGTGCCGGCTCATCACATGTCCTCCTAAAGACTAAGGAGAGAGGTACATCCTCATCATTCCATCCCTAAATTCCTATACCCAATAGATACCTGTCTACAGTTCTCTCAGTGGCCAGTGAAAGAGGTCACAGAGGGGCTCAGTTCATATTGTTGGCAAAGTCCCCTTCCACTGCTACTCTGAATGGGGAGGGGAATCTAATATTTAGCATTTGCTGCTTTCCATTTTATGTTACCTAACTTCTGTACTGTTAACCATAAGATTCATACCTACTAGTCACTACTCGGAAACCCTATGCAGGGTTGCTATGAGTAGGAACCAACTCGACTACACACAACAACAACGACTTCTTTATATATGTTTACTCAATCTTCACAAAAATCCAGTGAGGTTAATGCCATTATTCCTTTTTTACAGATGGTACTGAGAAATTATGATGCTTGACCGGGTTCTCCCAGCTATGTAGTGGCAGGGCTGGAACTCAAACCTGTGGTCAGTTCGGAATCACCTCTCCTCAGCCTTGGAGGTCACGGTACGGGCTACAGATCTACCCTTCTGCTGTGGACACAGAGGTTTTCAGGCTTCATTTCACAGGAGACTCTGAAGGTCTAAGTGGCCAGACCTAGCGTGGTCCATGTCAGGGCTCTGAGTATCCACACATCTGGAAGACAGCTATCCTGTTCCTTTACTTGGGAGGCCTCACTTGGATCCGACTGAGCTTGTAGCATCTCAGAACTTGGGAAGAACTGGTCATGCAGCTGAAGAGTCCCTTCTCCACAGAGTGATGGACTCAACAGTGGCCGTCAGCTTTCTGGGGTCTGGCCTGGAAAAATCAGTGAGGATGGGGAACTCCCCTTTCTTTATGGATTATAAAGTTCCTGTTTCCACTGGGCTGAAATCTGCCTCCCATCTGTCATATTTTTACCCCTTGTGATCATATATAATAAACCACGTTGTTATTAAGTGCTATTGAGTTGGTTCCAGTTTACAGTGACCCTGTATAGGATTTCAGAGGCTGTAAATCTTTGTGGGAGCAGAAAGCCTCATTTTTCTCTGGTCATTTGTTCTTGGTGGTGGTGGCTGTGTGCTGTGGAGTCGGTTCCGACTCATAGCAACCCTATACAGGGTTTCTGAGGCTATACATCTTTACGGGAGCAGAACGCCTCATCGTTCTCCCGCAGAACTGCTGGTAGTTTTGAACTGCTGACCTTGCACAGCCTGATTCGTAACCACTACACTACCAGAGCTCCTTTGTTTTTAAAAATCTCATATTCCCGTTGACCATATTCTGACCCCGTTTTAGCCTTTCATCCATTCATGTGGTTTCCAACCCCTCACTCATCTACCACCATCTCCTTGATCACTCCAGGATGTCTAGTCAGAATTCTCAAGAAGGGGAGATAACATTTTCAAAGCAAACATATTATCACCCTATTCCTCCATGGTCCAAGATTTTCTAATACAAATTTCGGGTACATGGAGGAGAGGAGTATGTGTATTTAAAAAACCTGTCTCTTCCTTCTTCTACAGTTGGACACAACCACACCTTTAAAATGTGCCTCTCTGATCTGAATATTTTCTCCAGCTGTGTTGTGAAAAGTCAACAGTAGTAAACCCTAAACTAATTCTATAGAATAGATACTGCATTTTGGTTAATGCAGCCTAAGACTAATTTAGGTTCTTCGATATTGTTATCATGAAATTTGTAAAACCATGACGTCCTTTTCTACCTCCCTGGCTACTTAGCTCCTTTGTTGAACTGGATTTACAGTTCTCTTTTAAATGTTCTATTAAACTGTGTTTCGTAAATATTAAATATTTGTTCTGCCTGTTAATTTCATTATGCTAAGACTCATTTGTATACTGATTCTGACAACACATATTCCAACATTTCAGTAAGACTAGGAGCTATGAGCCCATTTTGGGTACATACAGCCATATTCCGGATCTGCTGTCCCCCGAGACTCTTCAGATGTTTCAGGAGGGCTCGGTATGTCTGAGTTTTCTCCTCTGGGAGTTCAGAACTCATCTCAGCCAAGATGTCTTTCACCTGGTCCAGGCTGCAGCCTGCACCTATTGTCAGTCCTGGAAAGCAAATTGTTTTTATTGGTGACAGCAGTTTAGTCATGGTGGAACCAGGGACTTAGTGATGGCTAGGGCAGTGGCTCTCCAACCTGGTTACACACACTCCAGGTCAATTAAATCAGAATCTCTAAGCCTGGGGATACTGTGCAGCCAGGGCTGGGAACCCCTGAACCGGTGTACACTTTTCTTTGGACCAATGAAGAAACAGGAACTCAGAGAGAAGGAATGATAGTAGCAACTAGGAAGTGTCAGACCTTGCTGGAACTTTCCATTCCTGACTGATCTTGGTGAAGCTATGCAAAGTTCTTTTGTGATCGGGCATTAAAATAATGATTCCATTAAATAATAGCAAAGATCTTTTAATTTCCTAGGCCATTGTCTAAAGTCAGCAATGCTTTGACTGTGGAATTTTGGATCTCCGCAGGTACCCCCATCTTCAACAACTAGTTCTCTGAAGGGCACTAGCAGATCTGAACAAATACAGCTCATGCAAGGAGCTGCCCAATCCATTACTTCTTTAGTTGTTGGGAGTGGGAAGTGGGGGTCCCTGGGGAGGAACCTGGGAAGCTAGAAACAAGGATGGCACTTTGGACATTTGGACATGTCAGGAAGGACCAGTCTCTGGAGAAGAGCATCATGCTCTGTAAAGTAGAGGGTCAGTGAAAAAGAGGAAGACTGTCAATGAGATGGATTGGCACAGTGGCAGCCACAACAGACTCAAACATTACAACTGTGAGGATGGCACAGGGGTGGAGAGTGCTTCATTCTGTTGTGCAGAGGGATGCTAAGAGTTGGAACCGACTCAACGGCACCTAACAACAACAACATTGCTGATAAATCTTTAAGAATATTTTATTCTCCCTTATAACTTTATTTTATCAACATTAAAAAATGTGCCTAGCCCAATACTTCCCCACATCCTGACAACATAGCCATACAGCACCCCCTACCTTTTCAGGAACTCAGCTAACTTAATTGATGAAGGAAGCTGCTCGTTTCTTCTTATTACCTTTATGCCAAGCACATCTTGCTGGAAATAAATTGCCCCTCTGCTCTGGAATCAACCAGTCTCATTCTGGGTCCTCACCTGATTTCTGTTTCAGCATCTCATAATAGGCACTCAGCTATGGAATCAGGTCGCCTTCTGAAAGAATACTGGCCGTCTCTCTGACCATAGAAGTGCTAGGCAGACCTAGCTTGTGTCTGTTAGATGAGCCTTCCACTATAGACCTTTGTTGTTGTTGTTGTGGAGTGCCATTGAGTTGGTTCCGACCCATAGGGACCCCGTATAGGGTTTCCAAGAAGCAGCTGGTGAGCTTGAACTGCCGACCTTGCAATCTGGTGCATTAACCCACAGCGCCACACCAGGACTCCCACTATAGGCCTCAGTAGGGAAGAAACCAGAGATGCTCAAAAAACACCACAATTTACTATTATTATTATTATTACATATAAAAAACTTGCCATGGAGTCGGTTCCAACTCATGGTGATCCCATGGGTGTCAGAGTAGAACTGTGCTCCATAGAGGTTTCAATGACTGATTTTTCAGAAGAGGATTACCAGGCTTTTCTTCTGAGGTGTCTCTAGGTGGACATGAACCTCCACCATTTCAGTTAGCAGTGAAACACTTAACTGTGCTACCCAGAGGCCCCATTGTTATTCTGATGAACACGTTTTTTAAGTTCAGAAGCATTGTGCTGAAGCATCACTGTGTCTTAGTTGTCAAAGGCAGAAAATGACAGCTCAACCCCAGGACAGAGAGAAATGTCAAGTGTCTGCTGTACTGTCTGAGTCCTCTCCAGAGCTGTGGGGGCCCACGGTGAATCAATCTACAGTCTCTCTGTTGCTGACTGAGTACCAGAGCTGTGGGGTGGGGATGGGCTGGTCTTATGGGTAGGAATAGTATTCCCAGTCTCAGCTCAATGAACAAGCAATTAAAAGCAAGAAGTGAAGAATAGTAACGAATAGGCGGCAGCTATTGTTGGGTGTCACTAAGTGCATTTTTGACTCATTGGCGTCCTTGTGAAAGAGCAGAACTGTCCCACGTTGTGTCCTTGGAAGCAAGTCACCAGCTGTTTCTGCTGCATAACCTCTGGGTGTGTGGGGACCACTGATCATTGCACCACTAGGGCTCCTTAAGTGGCAACTTGTTTGTTGTTGTGACCTTATAGAGGGTTTTCAAGGGATGGCTAGTGGGTTTGAACTTGTAGTTAGCAGTACAGTACTTATTTTACAGTGCAAAACCAAGACTCCACAATAGGACTTCTTGTGTTGAGTGCTGTTGAGTTGGTTCTGATTCCAGCGACCCTGTATATTGTTTCTGAGGAGTGGCTGGTGAGTTTGAACAGCTGGACTAGTAGGTGGTTAATTGTTGTTAAGTACTGTGAAGAAGGTTCCTACGCAAAATGACCCTGTATGTTGTGTTAGGTGCCATCAAGTCGGTATTGACTCATAGCAACCTTATGCACAGCAGAACAAAACACTGCCCGATCGTGGGCCAACCTCACTACTGTTGCCACGCTTGAGTCCATCAATGCTGTCACTTGGCCAATCCATCTCACTGGGGGTCTTCCTCTTTTTCTCTGACCCTCCACCTTACCAAACATGATATCCTTCTCCAGTGACTGGTCCCTCCTGACAATATGTCCAAAATATGAGAGTCGAAGTTTGGCCATCCTGGCCTCCAAGGAGCTCTCTCGCTGCACTTCTTCCAAAACAAATCTGTTGGTTCTATGGGCAGCCCATGGCACTTTCAATATTCTCCTCCAACACCATAACTCAAAAGCATCAATTCTTCTATGGTCTTCCTTATTCACTGTCCAACTTTCACACGCATATGAAGTGATTGAAAATACCATGGCTTGGGTCAGGCTCACCTTGGTCCTCAAGCTGCTGACATCTTTGCTCTTCAACACTTTAAAAAGGTCTTGTGCAGCAGATTTGCCTAATGCAATACGTCGTTTGATTTCTTGACTGCTGTTTCCATGAGTGTTGATAGCTGATCCAAGAAGAATGAAGTCCTTCACAACTTCAATCTTTTCTCCATGGATAAGAATGTTGTTTATTGGTCCAGTGGTGAGTATTTTTGTTTTCTTTATAATGAGATGTAATCCATACCAAAGGCTGTGCTCTTTGATCTTCATCAGTAAATGTTTTAAGTCCTCTTCACTTTCAGCAAGCAAGGTTGTATGTATCATCTGCATATTGCAGGTTGTTAATGAGTTTTCCTCCAATCCTGATGACACATTTATGGATGCAATGTTGTCCATAGCTTGTCATGATCAATACAATCGAAAGCCTTTGCATAGTCAACAAAGCACAGGTAAACTTTCTGATATTCTCTGCTTTCAGTCAAGATCCATCGGACATCAGCAATGATATCCCTCATTTCATGGCCTCTTCTGAATCCGGCTTGAACCTCTGGAAGTTCTCTGGCAAATATGATTGTAGTCGTTTCTGTATTACCTTGAGTAAAACTTTACTCGCATGGGATATCAAAGAGATTGTCTGATGATTTCCACATTCCGTTGGGTCACCTCTCTTTGGAATGGGCACAAATATGGATCTCTTCCAATCAGTAGGCCAGATAGTTGTCTTCCAAATTTCCTCGCAGAGATGAGTGTCTCCTGTGCCACCTCACTTTCTTAAAAGATTTCCATTTTTATTCTATCAATTCCTGGTGCTTTGTTCTTTGCCAATTCCTTTAATGCACGTTGGACTTCCTCCTTCAATATCATTGGCTCTTGATCATATGCTACCTCTTGAAACAGTTGAACATTAACCATTTCCTTTTGGTACAGTGACTCTGTATTCCTTCCATCTTCTCTCGATGCTTTCTGCATCATCCAATAATTTGCCCAGAGAATCTTTCAATAACGAAAGTCGAGGCTTGAATTTTTTCTTCAGTTCCTCCAGCTTGAAAAATGCTGAGCATGTTCTTCCTTTTTGGTTTTCTGACTCCAGATCTTTGCACATTTTGTTATAATATTTGGCTTAATCTTCTTGAGCTGATCTTTGAAATTTTCTGTTCAGCTCTTGGATCTACTCATTTCTTCCATTTGCTTTAACTTTTCTATGCTGGAGAGCAAGTTTCAGTGTTTCTTCTGATATCCATTTTGACCTTTTCCTTCTTTCTTGACTTCTTAATGACTTTTTGCTTTCTTCCGTGTATGATCTTCATGTATGATCTTCTGGTCTTCGGTCTTCAGTGTTTGATGTATCAAATCTGTTCTTAAATGATCCCTAAATTCAGGTGGGATGTATTCAAGGTCATATTTTGGCTCTCGTGGACTTGTTTTCATTGTCTTCAGCTTCAGTTTGAAGAATACCACACGTCTGTCAGTTTGTTGTGCCGTGGTGGCTTGTGAGTTGCTGTGATTCTGGAAGCTATGCCACCAGTATTTTAAATACCACCAGGGTCACCCATGGTGGACAGGTTTCAGATGAGCTTCCAGACGAAGACAGACTAGGAAGGAGTGACGAACTACTTCTGAATATTTAGTCACTGAAAACCTTATGAATAGCCGAGAAACAACCCTGTATAGAGGCTGTGAATCTCTGCTTAATCAACAGAACAGCAAAGGAGTAAAAACTGGGATCAACGTGTTTGTAAAGGCAAACTATGCCTTCTTTGATTTGTAGTTAGCAAAATTCTCAGTGCATTTCCCCCGATTTGTGTCTCTCCAATGTGCTCGAGCAGATAGAGTAATCTGTAGTAGAATTGTGAGCTCACCACGAGTCAGTGAGCAATGAATTCACCTGACCACCAACTAAACAGGCAGTAAGCAATTCAGCACAAACTTCCACCAGTCACTTCCAAGCCATTTACTTTATTGACTTTTGGGGAGTGTATTAAATTCCTTCATGTTATTTTACTGAACTCTGGAAAATTTGAGTTGCTCAAAGTCTGGTCTCTAGAGGTGTATAATGTTAAATACTTCAAACTCTAGTTGGGCCTTCATCTCATCAGTGGGTTGACTTGCTTTGAGATGGGCAGAAACATCCCTGCACTTTTGACTAAATTTATACCATGTATGTGCATGTGAAAATTATTTACAGTAGCTTTAAATAGTTTGTAAAATTGAAGACTAGCCAAGAAGCTTTTAAAAGAGTCAATAATTTTTCTCTTCTCCTTTTGGAGATGATGTATTGAAAAAATAAACATAATCCAAATATGTTAAGCTTGAATATTTTCCTTCATTTTTAAATGTGAAAATGCAAGATAGATAAAGAGTCCTGGTGTGGCGCTCTGGGTTAATACGCCAGACTGCAAAGCTGTTTGAACTGAAAGGTCGGTGGTTCAAGCTCACCGGCTGCTCCTCAAAAACCATATACAGGGTCGCTATGGGTCAGAACCAACTCGACGGCATTTAACAACAAGATAGATAAAATGAAGGGGAGAGCTGCCATTTATCTGGTTATTTTAATAAGTACAGATTTCAAACTCAGTTTGGAGTTTAGCTATTTCCACTGCTCATGTGTTTACTTCGCTGAGTGCTAGGCAGGACACAACTTTACTGAGAAAATCCCATTTACTGTCATTCTATTCTCATTTAAATCCAAATCTGGTTACAGAACCTAGATTGTATTCCATTGGATTTTGAAAAGCTTCAACTTTAAAATTTTCAATTCTCAGAAAGGGGGTTTGATTTTAACTACATGCTTCTCAGAGTTCATGGGCCCATAGAATAAACATGTAGCAGTTTTCTGAAGCACTTTGTATATTAGAGATTTTCAGAAAACAAACAAACCATAAAAACAATCAAACCAACTATGTATGAGATATGGATTAGCATGTAAAATTTAAATATTTAACTTAGAATTATAGCTGTTGCAGGCATTTATTTCCTGGAAGTCTGAGGTCAGGAGTCCATCTGAGCACGTGCATTCTTCCCCCAACTAGTTACTCTGCATACTTGAGGGCTTCAGGAAAAGTCTGAGAATCATGGAAGCCACTTTAATTTTAAGAAGGCTTATGGTACTAGAAAGGAGCTCTCATAGTGTAGTAGTTATGAGTCGGGCTGCTAACGTAAAGGTCAGTAGTTCAAAACTACCAGCCCATTCCTAGGCAGAAAGATAAACCTTTCTGCTCCTATAAAGATTCATAGACTTGGAAACCCTATGCAAGGTCGCTGTGAGTCGGAACTGACTCCACGGCACTCCCCCACCCCATGGTATTAGAAGAGTCTCTGGGTGGGTTAACTTGTTGGACTGCTAATGGAAAGATTGGAGGTTCAAATCTACTCAGGGGTACCCTGGAAGAAAGTCCTGAGCCTTCTGCTTAAAATGGTTGTTTATGTCCCTTAACCCACCCACTCCACTACTTCCCCTTTTCTCCTTTCTTCCTTGCACACAGCAAGATTTCTTCTCTTTTGTTCAACAGCATTCAGGTGTGCTGTCTGATTTGCCCAGGGCTGAAACTATGAAATGATGCTGGGTAAAACCCTAGGACAAGTGCTTTCCCGTGTTGATGGGTGGGGTGAGCCAGGAAAAGCAAGCTTTAGTGGTGCAGCACACCATAATTGGTTAATGCTGGTTAGAGCCATGATGGGTCCCTACCCTGCCTACCACTGACTTCCATGAACATGCCATAGTCTGTCTACATGTCAGTCTTGACTAAAACCTTCGGCTCAGTAGACTTTGCTTGCGTAAGTTTAAGGACGTTATTATCACCACATCAATCCATGACATTAAAGTTTCTGACCCACTCATTTATTCATTCTTCTACTCATTCATTTATCAGTCATTGGCTGAGTACTTCTTAGATATACATACAGTGCTAGGAATTCTAGGAGATGAAAAGAAGAGTAAAATAAGATTGCTTTTATTTAAAAAGGAGTCCCTGGGAGGAACAGAGGGTTCATGTGCTCAGATGCTAACCAAAAGTTTGGACGTTATAGTCCACCCAGAAATACTGCAGAGGAAAGTCCTGGTGATTTACTTCTGAAGACAATCCTCCAATGAAAATGCTAGGGAGCATAGTTCTACTCTAACACACCTGGGTCATGCATTGTGGTCAATTCGACAACAACTGATTTTGTTCTTTTTGTGTGCAAAAACTTGCTATGCATCTTGAAGGCAAAGTCTTGAGTGTTTTCTTCTTACTTTGAAAGTTTCCACTTTGCCTGATGTAGTTCTTTGCACACAGTGGGCCACTAAAGGTGTTGTACTGATGGGGGATGCTTGTCCAGGCAGACCCCCATGAGACAGGCAGTATTCAAGCACCAGAAACACATTTCCTCCCCCAAAGATTCCACTTCTATGGAATTGACTGTCTAAATAAATGATGGACAGTGACAATTCTTTCTCTTCACTTTCAGGATCAAAGTGACCGCAAATTTATCTTCTTCTCTGGATCACCATGGCATTTTGTGAACAAGAATCCTGCAGATGACTGAGAATTCTTGGGTGATATCATCTCAATACCTCATTTTGATAATAACATTTCATGATGGGGATATTACATCATATCAGAAAAATGGGGACTGGTGGGACATAGGCCATACAGTACCAATGTAGAAAGAGGTTCTGAATTGTCAGGAAAGTATACGTTTGATGCAGACATCATTTCACTGATACTTTACTGAGGAAACCTGGAACTCACCACCACTTGTTTTGGATACCACATACAGCTCAGGAATTCTAACAGGAGAGAGGAGAATTGAGTGAAAACGCTCTTGAGATTTCATGGCAGGTCCTGAAAAGTGAATATATTTTAGAAAGAATTAGGAAAGAGGAAATGTTTTTTGACAATGAATTTTTTTTCTATGTTTTCTTGTGCTTTTGGTGAAAATTTTCACAGCAAATTATATTTCCATTTAACAATTTCTAAATGTCTTGACACTGATTACATTTTCACAAGATGTCAACACTATTCTTATTTCTGTTTGGTAGTTTTGTTTCCTTTAGTCTAGTTTCCCTGCCCTCCCTCTTACCTTTTCTCATCTTTGCTTTTGTGTAAAATTTGATGGTTTTGGTCTTACGTAGAAGTTTTTAGAGAAGCACAATACTCGAGGGTGATATTGTTTATTTTCTGTTTATCTAGATGAAAATGACCTCCAGGAGTCATTTCAGTTCAGAGTTTAAAGGTTATTTCAGGGTGATAGTTTAGGGGGTCCCTGTAAGCCCATCTGGTCCAGTGAGTATGTACTTTTTATGAATTTGGATATTGTTCTACAGTTTTCCCCCACTCTGTCAGGGTCCATCTATTATGTCCCTGGTCAGGATGGTTGGTAGCCGTAGCTGCACTTCATCAAGTCCTGCTGGTCTCAGGATAGATAAGGCCATCTTCCTTGCAGTCATTCAGTGCTGTACACTAACGGCTTCTTTGAGTCTTTGGTTCCTTTTTTCTCTTTGGTACCAGACAACTAGAGGCCAATAGTTGTAACTTAGATGGCCTCTCTCAAACTTTTAAAACCCCAAACTAGGCCATAGTCCGTAATCTTTATATATTATAGTATGCAAATTGATTGAATTGTCCCACAGTATGATGGTTTTAAGACTTCAAACTCAGAAACCAATCCAGCGAGGTATTTGGTTATGTGTAAGAAATATCTATAGTTGTGCCCCCTGTATGTTTTATTATATATATAGCACACACATACATGTGTACCTCTAGATACACCTACATATGCACATGAATATGCACGCATGCTCCTACCTATAAACATACATGCATACCTACCTACCTATGTAGCCATAATTTTTTTTTAGGTTGTTGTTACAAAATTGCATATGTTATAGTCATTACCAAAATATCCCTTATTCTTGTCTTAGTGAAAACATTTACCTTGGCCAAGTTGTGCATTGGTAGTGAAATTTTTAAAAAAATATTTGGATAAATTTAAAAAAATGAACAATACATGTCTATAAAGGCGACGATCATTTAGCCCTGCCAAGTAAATGTATAGAGCATGTGCCCCAGTATATGTCTATTTACTTATTCCTACCTTCACTACACTCAAGAATGGAAAATAAAAAGAATGAGAGGTTGTTGCACATGGGCATCAAAAGATACATACATGAATATTTATAAAAGTCAAAGCAGAAAACAGCTCTATTTCCTTCAGCAATAGAATAGATGATTAAATTGTGTCATATTCGTATAATATTGCTGAGTGCAACAATATGAGTCAATCTCAGGTCAAGTATGTTGAATGAACAAAGCAAATTATACAAGAATATTAGGTCAGTCTATTTATATGAAGTTCAAAAATATGCAGAATGAAATGACACATTGTTTGGTGTTAAAATATGTGGCATAATAACAAGACAATGGAAGCAATGGATCAACTCACAATTCAGACTAATGAAGACTTTGAGAGGGAAGAGAAGGGGGTGTTGATTAGAGAGGATCCATGGGGGCCTTCAAAGTTCTCGGTTTTAAACTGGGTGAGAGGTGATAACTGGATATGCACTGTATTTTTAATTTTCCCAGTCATATTTTATAAAATCAAAAATATCTATTCAATATTTAGCAGAAGCAAAATGAAAAAGAATGAGATGGATGACAAAAAAGCAAAACAAATCTCCAAACTATTCATACCTCAAGGGGTCATCCTGTCAATTGGAGACTACTGACTTGATTATAAAGGGTGTAGTTTCTATAGGCCTAGAACTGAGAAGGGGACAGGAAGCCCCACTTGGCATTAACAGTGGAAGGAAGGAAAACCATTGTCAGCACTTACCCAGGGAGGTGTTGCCCAATATAAGAGGGGCTTCAGGGTGTTTTACTTTCAGTTCCAGGAGATCCTTGAGGGTCCCAGGGGAGATCCAGGTAACTCTCTCTCCATGAAAAGTAAGAGTGCGTTTTTCTGGGTTCTCTGCCATTCTCTACAGGCAAATGACAAGTGTGTGGGCATGTGTTCATATCTTTCTTCTTGGGTTATACAAGGTTCAAGGTGGTGACATGTTCCTCTAGCGATTTCAGGGTTCTGGGATCTACTTGTCCCAAAAGATACCAGGTACACTCATTGGCTACTATTTGAATTTCCATAATTAGATATTCACTCCTTGAGCTTAAGACTTGTTAAAATGCAGCTCTTTAGATACCAGTAATAATATAAGCTTGTACTTGTTACCGACCCTTCAGTATGGATTTATTTAACATAATTTAGTCTCATGGCGTTAAAAACCGTAATTATACCAACGCGCCTAAAACAGTATCTCTAGGGAACGTGTCCTTTGAAATCCATACGCATACATCTCCTCTTAGATGTGTAAGAGACAGATCGGATTTAATTTGTCTAAGACTGAGCACCTTATGCCCAAGCCCTTTTCTAAGTCCTTCTCCACCAACAGGGAAACCTCAATTGGAAAAATTCCCTTCTTCTCTAGTGGTCACCCCATCTCTGCAAATGGCCATTCCATCCTTCCAATTGCTTAGTCCCCAAACCCTAGAATCAGCCTTGATTCTAATCTCTCTCCCCTATCAGCAGGTCTGTCAGCAAATCTTCCAGGCTCCTTTCCCAAAATAGAAGGGGCTTCAAAAGATTCATGAAAAACTGGAATTGAAAGATAAAGGAATTTTTCCATGGACTTTTTGATGCCCCTCTGTATATCCAGAACCCAGTTGTTTTCTATGACGGTCACTCATCAACTGGTTCAGCCATCGCTGTCTCTCATGATGGCAATAGTCCCTAACTGAGCTTGCTGCGCTTTTCCTTGCCTCTCTGCAGGCCATTCTTAATACAGCAGCCAGATGGCGCCATTGCGATGCCAGTAGGATCATAGCCCTCCTGTGTAACCTTCCTCTGTCCAAATCCCTGAGCTTCTCGTCTCACACAGCCAACAGCGGAAGGGTGCACATGATCTGTACCACACAGCTTCTGCCCTTCCTCTTGCTCACTCCATGCAGGTCAGCCTGACTTTCACTCTGGTCCCTGGTGGACTTCACACTTGCTGCTCCCACTGCCTGGATTAGTCTTCCCCCAGATGTCCTCATGGCTGGCACCCTTACTTCTTCAGGACTTTATTCAAATACTACCTTTTTAGAGACATCTCTGATCAGGCTATTTAAGATTTCAGTCTCCTCTTCCACAGTTCAGATCCCTCATCTCTGTTTTGTTTTCTGCCCTTTACTCTCTGACATTTTGGTTAGCAGGCAAAAGTGCTTAACCGCTGTGTAACCCCTAGACAACCCTGTGGGGTAGCTCTGAGTCTAAATCAACCCAACAGCACCTAATAACAACATATATTCAGGATAAGCATTTAACTGATAACCATGAGGCTGGATTGCTGTAAGTTGGAATGGTCTTGATGGCACTTAACAACAACAACAAAAGCAGTGCCTGGCATGTTGCTGAAAGAATACGTATTTGTTGAATGAAATGAATGAGCACATCAGAACCTCTTCAGAAGTAGTTACTTTATAAAATGGGACCACTGGCTGAATGAGAAGAAAGACGGAGGCACAGATGGGGAGATGGCTGAAGAACAGGGAAGGCTCCTGAACTAGAATGGCCAGAAAGATCAAGTCAGAAGCTGGACAAAGTTGTATCATTTGGGACAGCTATTACGGACACATTGTAAAGGACAAAGAAGAGTAATGAAGAAATCAGCCTCTGCCGAGGCTTCAAGGAATGTGCCACAGGGTCAGTCAGGGGTCAGAAAGGAGACATCTTGGTCAGATCAAACAGTTTCACAATATGACAGTTTCACAGGTAGGAAAACTGAGTTAGAACCAGTGGTGTTGAAACAAAGACAAAAACACCCAATTCATCTTACCAAGAGTTCTGGGGGAAATATGAGCTCCTGGGTAGAGTCCAGTGGCTGGAACTCCTCTTTCACAAATAATTCAGTGCACATCTTTAGAAAGGAAGAAGATAGTCTGTCAGCCCAGTTTAATTGGAAGCAGCTTTGTAATTATTTACATGATGTAGCAGGATGAGTATAATGACACTCCTATTCCACTTGGGCAAGGAGCTCTGGTAGCGTAGTGGGTACGAATCGGGCTGCGAACCTTAAGGTCAGCAGTTCGAAACTACCAGCCGCTCTGCGGGAGAAAGAAGAGGCTTTCTACTCCCGTAAGGATTTACACCCTCGGAAACCCTGTACAGGGTCGCTATGGGTCAGAACCGACTCGATGGCACTTAACAACAACAACAACATTCCACTTGGGCAGGGAAATAGTTCAAACCAAAGCAAGTTTAAATAAGAAACATTTAAACAAGAAAAGACTAATTTTCCACTAATATGATACAAAACAAAAGAGTACTCTATGAAATACTTCAAAGAGTATTCCGTGACACACCAAGACATTTTATGAAAAATGGTCAGAGGTCAAATAAGTTTGGAAATAACTCTTGCTGTGACCTCGTCACTATCACCTGTCCTGCCAACCCAGGATTCAAACTGTTAAAAGCCCTAAGAAATTCTTCAGTTAGAGTAAAAGTGGCCATAAACATCTAAACATAAGTAAAACACACCCAACTATATGCACATACGCACACATCTTTATAAAAAAATTATGGTGAGAATATAAATAAAATTAGCCATGCCAACAATTGTTACATTCAGTGATACTGATTGCATTCTTCAGGCTGCACACAACCTCGAGCTTTAATATCTATCTTGTGGTTTTTAGCTGCTGTTGAATTGGTCACCAGCTTAACAGGATGACAGGCTGTCCCATCCTGTGCTATCCCCATGATTGCTTATGGATTGGACCATTGGGATCCACAGAGTTTTCTAGCTGACATTTACTGAGTGGTTACATTTCCAAGTGCTTTTACATGTGTTAGTGATTTATTTAGTCCTCAAAGCAATTATATGAAAGCAATTACAAAGAAAGCAATGATTCTTCATTTTACTTATTAGGAAACTAAAGCACACTGAGACGTTACCTAACCTCTCCTCCCGCCTGAGTTAGGTCTGTTTTAGGCTAGGAAGATGCTTATTCCCCCATTCCCAGAGAGCTGAGGAAGATTGGGCGAGAACTGTGGGAAGCAGGGCTGGAGGTGGGTGTAATGGAGAAGAACCTAGGCAGACACCAGAGGGACGAAGGTCTGGGCTCACTGTCAGCTCTGTCCCAGCTTGCTCTCTGATCCTTTTAGTGGAAAAGCATTTAAACTTTTTAAAGATTGTTGTTGTTAAGTGCCACTGAGTCAGTTCCAATCAATAGTGACTCTATAGGGTTTCTGAGGAGCAGCTGGTGGATTTGAACTTCCAACCTTGTGGTTAAGAGTTCAGTGCTTATCCTGTAGCACTGCACCAGGACTCCTTCGAAAGATTGTTATGGTTAAGTGCTGTCGAGTCAGTTCCAACTCATAGCCACCCTGTTTGTATAGGGTTTCCGAGGAGTGGCTGGTGGGTTTGAACTGCCGACCTTGTGCTTAGTGGTCCAGTGCCTATTCTACAGCATCACACCAGGACTCCTTCTAATGATTAGCTGGAAATAAAACATTTTAAGGGGCCATTGTGATAATTAGGTGAAATAGCTTTTTGTCCCACATTCATCCTCTTTTACTGTCTGTCTCTCTGAGGTCTTTCTAGTTCCAGAAGGGAACCTTGTAATTGATCCTCATAAAGAGTCCTTGTGGGACCATGGACTGAAGCATTAAAGGTTAGCATCTGAATGGTCAGTGGTCACATTAGCTGGAATGAAGAATGGAGACAATATCTGGGACAGTCATGCCCTAGGGTCAGTTCTTCTTTCTCTTGTCTGATTAGGGTATTGTTTTATAAGCAGGGAAACATCAGAATATGGGCTTCTGTTGTTGTTCAGCGCCATCAAGTCGGTTCTGACTTACAGCGAATAGGATTTCCAAGGAGTAACTGGTGGGTTTGAACTACTGACCTTATGGGTAGCAGTCCAATGCTTATTAGATCGGCACTTTATCCAGCTCCCAAATGAAAAGTGGTTTTATTCATGCATGCACTTACAGATGCAAGTAAAGAATAATCACCCAAATCAACAAGCACAGTTTCAACAATGCACCGGCCCCAGACATTGTCAGGCCCTTAAGCAACACTCTCAGGAAAAGAACAAAAAAAGGGACTCACCCTGCTTTTCTGACCAAGTGAGGAAGAATCATTTTCTCCTTGATCCAAGCAGCATTTTCCTGTTCCTTTCTGCTGACAACCATCTGATTCCTATGAGAGTGAAAGGACTTACAATTCAGAACTTTTCTTTGGGCAACCATAGAAAAGCTTGGCAATTTAAGTGAGATTTCAGACTTTTAAAGCCACCTTTGGGGGTTTCTATTAGAACACAACATTGGCATAGGTATAATCACAAAGTCTTTCTCCATTTCCTTTATTTTTCTTTCTAAAAGTAACAAATGTGGTGGGGCTGTGTGGCATCGAGTCAGTTCTGACTCATAGAGACTTTGCTCCTCATGGGAGCAGAAAGCTTCATCACCTGGTAGACTGGAACTGCTGACCTTTTGGTTAGCAGCCCAACTCATAACCCACTACAACTAGTACTTCTTAATTGTAACACGTATGAAATATATAAACTACATAAAATGCAATCTATAACATATAAATATACAAAAGTAAAACATATAGAGTATGTTGTTGCTGTTTTTGTTAAATGCCATTGAGTCAGTTACTATTCATACAGCTTTGCAGGAGTAGGAAACCTCATCTTTCTCCTGCAGATAGGCTGCTGGGCTTAAACTGCCAGTCTTGTGGTTTTGCAGTCCAGTGTGTATCCTACATAGCCACCTTGTTCCTCATATAGTATAAAAGTGTGTAGTATTATTGTTGTTGCTAAATGCTATGGAGTTAGTTCCAACTTATAGCATCTCTGTATAGAGTTTCTGAGACTGCAAATCTTTGTGTGAGCAAAAAGCCTCATCTTTCTCCCATGGAGTGGATTGTGGGCTTGAGCCTCTGACCTTCTGACTCGCCATATATAGTATATATAGTATGTTGTTAAGTGCCATTGAGCCAGTTCTGACTCATAGTGACTCTGTATAGGATTTCTGAAGAACTGCTGGTGGGTTTGAACCACTGACCTTTTGGTTACCAGTCCAGTGCTTATCCTATAGCTCCACACAAAGAGTATAGAAGTATAAAAGTTAACTGTCATTGCCTTGTTCCACTGATAACGTTTTGATATACCATATATTTGGCTTATACTTTGTATTTTACCTTTTTGTTCATTTATTTGCCTGTTGTTTAGCTCACTTAGTTGCCTTCCCCCCCCCCCCTTTTTTTTTTAAACTGTGAACATCCTCCATATCATCAAAATGCCCTTAAAATATAATTTTCCATCTCTGGCTATCCCCAAAATTGTTGTTGTTTTTAGGTGTTGTAGAGTTGCTTCTGACTCAAACATTGCCTGGTCCTGTGCCATCCTCACAATTGTTAAGCTTGAATGCATTGCTGTGTCACAGTGCCAATCAATGTTGTTGGGGGGTCTTCCTCTTTTTGGCTGATCCTCCACTTTACCAAACATGATATCCTTCTCTAGGGAATGGTTCCTCCTGATAGTAAGTCTGAAACATGAGAGACGAAGTCTCACCATCCTGGCTTCCAAAGAGCATTCTGATTATACTTCTTCCAACACAGATTTGTTTGTTCTTCTAGCTGTCCATGGTACTTTGAATATTCTTCTCTGACACCATGACTCAAATGCATCAATTCTTCTATGGTTTTCCTTATTCATTGTCAAACTGCATATGAAACTATTGAAAATACCATGGCTTGGGTCAGGCACGCTTTAGTCCTCAAAATGACATCTTTGCCCTTGAACACTTTAAAGAAGTCTTATGCAGCAGATTTTCCTAAAGCAAAATGTAGCTTGGTTTCTTGACTTCTGTTTCCATGAATGTTGATAGTGGATTCAAGCAAAATGAAGTCTTTGACAACTTCAATCTTTTCTTCATTTACATGGATGTTATTTATTAGTCCAGTGGTGAGGATTTTTGTTTTCTTTACATCAAGATGCAACCCATACTGAAGACTATGATTTTTATCAGTAAGCATTTTAAGTCCTCTTCACTTTCAGCAAGCAAGTTTTATCGTCTGCATATCGCAGTTTGTTAATGAGTCTTCCTCCAATCCTGCTGATGCATTCAGCTTCATATAATCCAGCTTCTCAGATTATTTGCTCAGCATAAAGATTGAATTGTTGTTGTTGTTAGGTGCCATCGAGTGGGTACCGACTCATAGCAACCCTATGCACAACAGAATAAGCATGGTGAAAGAATACAAACCCGGCACACATCTTTCCTTACTTTAAACCATTTAATATTCCCTTGTTCTGTTCAAATGATTGCCCCATAGTTTATGTATAGGTTCCTCAGGAGCAAAATTAAGTGTTCCAGGATACTCATTCTCCTTAATGCTCACCATAGCTTGTCATGATCCACACAGTCAATAAGACAAAGATAAGCATCTTTCTGGTATTCTCTGTTTTCAGGCAAAACCCATCTGAAACCAGCAATGATATTCCTTGTTCCATGTCCTTGTTTGTATCCAGCTTAAACCTCTGGCAGTTCCCTGTCAATATACAGTTGCAGTCATTAAAAATTATCTTTAGCACAATTTTACTTACATGTGATATTAATGATATTATCCAATGACTTCTGTATTCCCTTGGGTCACCTCTTTTCGGAATGGACACAAATATGGATCTCTTCCAATCAGTTGGCCAGATAGCTGTCTTTCAATTTTCTTGGCATAGATGAGTGAATGCCTCCAGTGCTGCATCAGTTTGTTGCAAGATTTCGATCTGTATTCCATCGATTTCCAGAGACTTGCTCTTTGCCAGTGACTTCAGTGCACCTTGACTCTTGATTATATGCTATTTTTTGAAATGGTTAGACATCAATTATTTGTTTTTGATATAGTGACTCTCTGTAGTCCTACTATCTTCTTGTGATGATTTCTGCATCACTCAATATTGCAAGCCAAGGCTTGAATTTTTTCTTCATTTCTTTCAACTTGAGAAATGCTGAACATGTTTTTCTCTTTTGGTTTTCTTACCCTTGGTCTTTGCACATTTCATTATAATACTTTGTCTTCTTGAGATGCCCTTTGAAAATTTCTGTTCAGTTTTTTTACTTCCTTATTTCTTCCACTTGCTTTAGCATCTCTATGTAGGAAAGCAGATTTCAGAGTCTCTTCTGACATCCATTTTGGTCTTTTCTTTCTTTCTTGTCTCCTTAATGACCTTTTGCTTTATTCCTGTGTCATGTTCTTGATGTCATCCCACAACTCTTCTGATCTACAGTCATTAGTATCAAGTGCATCAATCTGTTCTTGAGATGATCTCTAAATTCAGGTGGGATATGTTCAAAGTCATATTTTGACTTTTGTGGAGTTGTTTTAATTTTTTTCAGCTTCATACTGAACTTGCATATGAGCAATTGAGGATCTTTTCCCCAGTCTGTCCCTAGCTTTGTTTTGACTCATGGTATGAAACTTTTCCATCGTCTGTTCCTACAGATATAGTCAATTTGATTTCTGTGTATTTCATATGGTAAGGTCCATATGTATAGTCATCTTTTATGTTGTTTTAAAAAGGTATTTGCAGTGAATAAATCATTGGTCTTGCAAAATTCTATCATGCGATTTTCAGCATTGTTTTTATCATCAACGTCATATTTTCCAGTTACTGATCCTTCCTCTTTGTTTCCAACCCTTGCATTCCAGTCACCAGTAACTAACAATTCATCTTGATTGCATGTTCGATCAATTTCAGACTGAAGAAGTTGGTAGATTTCTTCAATTTCATTATCACTGACTTTAGTGCTTTAGTGGTTGGTCTGTAAATCTGAATGATAGTGTATGGATATTATCTTATCACAGCATTATACTTTAAAATATATCTTGAAACTTCTTTTTAATGATGAATGCGACACCATTCCTCTTTATCATTCCCAGCATAGTGAACCATACGATTGTCAGATTTACAATGGCCAATACCAGTCCATTTTAGCTCACTAATGCCTAGGATATTGATCTTTATACTTTCCATTTCATTTTTGACAACTTCTAATTTTCCTAGATTCATACTTCATACATCCCATGTTCCAATTACTAATGGATGTTTACAATCGATTTTCCTTATTTTGAGTTAAACTCCATTAGTAAAGGAAGGTCACCAAAGCTTTACTCTATTTGCGTCATCATGGTCAGCTATACTTAGAGGAGGCAGCTGTTTCCCAGTTGTATTTTGAGTGCCTTCCAACCTGAGGGGTTCATCTTCTGGCACTATATATGATAATATTTTGGTGCTATTCATAATGTTTCAGTATTCAGTATTTTGGTGCTGACAGTGTTCCACTGCTCTTCATAAGGTTTTTCAGCGACTAAACATTCAGAAGTATTCTGCCTCTCCTTCCTAGTCTGTCTTAGTCTGGAAGCTCAGTTGAAACCTGTCCATTGTGGGTGACCCTGCTGGTATTTAAAATACCTGTGTCATAGCTTTCAGCAACACAGCAACAAGCAAGACACCCAGCATGACAAACTTACAGATGAGTTGTTTGTGTAAAATTTGCTATTGATTCATACTTAATTTCCCCCCTATATCTCGTACTTATAAATAACATTGTAATAATTAGTTTTGCATATACAGTTTTGTGCACATCTTTGGATTTGGATTTGCTTCTTAGTGTAATTCCCAGCGGTAGAATTAATTGATGAAATGCTTTTCTGGGAGGTATCAATTTATGCCCTCACTAACATATATAAGGAATCATGCTGACTCCAGGGGATAAGTACTAGACTGTGAACCACAAGGTCAACAGTTTGAGTCCCCCAGTAGCTCCATGGGAGAAAGATGAGGCTTTCCATTCCTGCAAAGACTTTTAAGCCTTGAAAATGCTATACAGGGCTGCTATGAGTTGGCACAACTTGATGGAACTTCAAAATAATAACATATGTAAGATTTAGCAATACTAAGTATCCAGGTGCTGTTGAGTTTTTTTCCAACTCATGATAATCCCATGTAAGGGCTTTTAAAACAAAATATTATTATTTTTTTTTTTTAAAAAGGTAAGCAGCTCTCCGGGACATTTGGGGTCTGCATTGGGCTAACTGGGATTGATTGACAATCAATGCATTTTAAAGCAGCATTCCATTGCCTGGTCTTTCATTTTCTCATTACTTCCAAATTTGCCTCTTAGAGTTTCTTCCTCAAGTACATTTGTCCTATATATCTCTTAAAATAATTTCAGGGATTTCAGTAATCAGTTTCTGCCCAAGTGTCTCAAGCTGCCATCTTCCTGTCTCTGTCCAAGAAGTACAAACAGCTGAGCCAAGCTAGTAGAGCCTCCTCTTTTACTTAAAGCTCAGAGTTTCTGTGATTGGCCGGGAGCTAGCAAAATGGCAAGAAGCCAGTTTTATTTTGGCACAGTAGATACAAGCCTTATTCTGACTAGCAAGGAGCCTCAAATACTGTGTGGGCACCACACTCTGAATGTCTAAATCAATCCATTCCTCCAACAAACAGCCGATTGCTGGCCACTCCTAAACTCAGGAAAGAAGTTTGCGTAGTCTCTAGAAGTGGGAAATTCTGTGGTCCTGGATACCCAAAGCATGATTAGAAGAGTGAGGGCTCCAGGTAGGTAAGCCATGTTGCCCCACAGACTTCCGGGAATGTTTGCAGTAGTGCCAGAGAGGGGTCCGCTAAAGTGCAGAGTCCATTTTGCTTGGGTCTATGGATGGTACAATCAGCAGAGAGCAATGTGCTTATCTGCTCCTGGTCTCCCCATCAAATGTTACTCAGCATATACAACATCCTCAATAACAGTAGCAGCACTGTTGAATTCTTACTAAGTGCTAAGCGAGACTCTGTTGTGTGGTTTACCTGTGATCTCTCATTTGAGCTTCACAATGATCCAGTGAGGCAATTTGGGGATGGATTTTGGAGTCTACTCTGCCTATTCAAATTCTTTATCTGCTCATTCCTTTCCAGCTGGCCAGGATTCCTGGTACTAACTTTGTATCACAACTCAAAACTCCATCCCCTTTCTAGTCTCCTTTGATTTATGTGAGCTTTCCCACCTGGAAAATGCCTGGATGGCCGAGTAGATCACCTGAGTATTCTTTGTGGCTTTGATTTGACAACAACCACTTCTTGCCATCTGTCCTCTACAAGTAGCTAAAACTCCCATGAGGTAGTTATAACTAACACTCAAGGTTTCCCTTATATTCTGCTTAGATAGCCTACATAATTCAATTCCTATGTTTCCAGTCTTCACAAACTGTGACTGTCATTTGTGCATATTCTGCAGAGTGTTCACACAGTCACCTACTCACCATGCAGAAAGTTCTTCCACTCGCAAGAATCGGTCGATATCCAGTGCAGCGGCATAGGTTGCCTGATCAGAGAAGAAATGTAGTTGTCAATGGTGGTGGTTGTGGTTGTGGGCTGTTGTGTTGGTTCCGACTCACAGTAACCCTATATAGGGTTTCTGAAGCTGTAAGTCTTTACAGGAGCAGAAATCCTCATCTTTCTCCTATGGAGTGACTGGTAGATTCGAACTGCTGACCGTGCAGTTAGCGGCCCAACTCCTAATCCACTAAGCTACTAGGCTCCTTATAGTTGTCAGTAGGTGTAGGTGTTATTTTAGCAGGCTTTATTTTGAACACTGAAACAGACCCAACTTTTTTTGTTTTGTTTTGTTTTTGAGTGTTTCATAGCTGCTAAACTTTTCAGTGCTGTTTTCTTGTCATTAGAATACTGTCCTCCCTACCACTTCCATTCCAGTTTTATTCTCTGTCCTTAAGAAGACACTGTATGAAAAGGAGCCCTAGTGGCATAATGGTTGGACACTCGTTGGTTCAAGCTCTCCTAGTGGCTCTTTGGGAAAAGATCTGGCAGAGGACCTATTACAACTAAGTGGGATGCATCCTTTGGACCCTGGTCCCTGCATTGTGAAGCTCCTAGACAGGGGATGACTGACTCCAAGATGCATGTGGAGATCTCTAATGAATGTTGGATCTACAGATGTTGAAAGGAGACAAGAACCTTTCCCCAAAACAAATGGGAAAAAAGAGAGAGAGAGAGAGAGACCGAGAGAGAGAGAGAGAGAGAGAGAGAGAGAGAGAGCGAGCAAAAAAGCCTTCTCCTAGTGCTGGTGCTCTGCACATGGATTTCTAGCCTTCTATACTGGTGTGAGGAGTCCTGGTGTGGCACTGTGTGTTAATGCGCTGGACTGCAAAGTTGGTTTGAACCACAAGGTAGGCAGTTGAAGCTCACCAGTTGCTTCTCAGAAACCCTATATAGGGTCTCTATGGGTTGGAAGCAACTCAACAGCACTTAACAAAAACAACAAAGTGGTGTGGATAAGAAGAGGACTGCTAACTGCAAGCTTGGCAGTTAAAACCTATCAGTTGCTCCTTGGGGTGGGTTGCTATGAGTCAGATAGATTTGATGGCATTCAACCACAACAGACTGTGAGAAAATAAAGTTCTGTTTGTTAAAGTCAAAAAGAAAACGCAAATGACCTGACATTCTGCTACAGTAGTGCTTGCAGCCTGGAAACCTCTATGGGGCAGGGCTACTCTGTCACATAGGAGTGCTTGGAGTTGAAATTGACTTAATGGCACAAACAAATACAATATATATGCACTGCTATGGATTGAACTGTCTTCTGAAAAAGTATGTGCTATAAATCCTGGCCCCTATAGCTGTGGCTGATAATCCCATTTGAGAATGGGGTTCTTATGTTGATGGGATCACATTAGTGTAGGGTGTGTTTTAAGTCAATTTCTTTTGCGATAAAAAGAGATTAACAAGCAAATGAGCAAACTGAGACAGGAGATGAGAGATGCCAAGCCACATGCAGATTGCCCAGAAGCAGAAGATGAAAAGAGAAGGGAACCTTTCTCCACATCTGTCAGAGAAAGTCTGCCCTTAGAGCCGGCAACCTGAATCCATACTTCTAACCTCCTAAAGTGTGAGGAAATAAAATTTTGTTTGCTAAAACCAAAAAAAGAGATAAAAAGATAACACTCTAGCCAGTAAGATCTTTCATCCATCTTGCATTAATTAATTTATTTATATATTCATGCAACAAGTATATATTCACAACAACTATATCTCAGACACTATTCAAGATTTTGGGGTACCCATAACAGGCAATTTAGACAATTTCCAAGGCTCTAGATGGAATTCTGGAGTCCTGGTGTGGCGCTGTGTGTTAATGTGCCAGACTGCAAAGCCATTTGAACTGCAAGGTGGGAAGTTCAATTTACCAGCTGCTCCTCAGAAACCCTATACAGGGTCCCTATGGGTCAGAACCAACTCAATGGCACTTAACAACAATAACAAGATGGAATCCTGGGGTGACCCAAATGGTCAACATGGGCCTGCTAAATGAAACGATGGATATTTCAGTCCACTCGAGGCACCTTGGGACGAAGCACAGCAGGAAGATCTACTTGGGTAAAACCAGCCACTAAAACCTACTACTCTGACACACACTAGTTACCACGAGCTCGGCTCCACAGCAGCTAGTTGCTTTTTAAAAAATTAATTGACTTAAAAATGTTTTTTTTCTTTTTATTATTCTTTATTTTTATTATTTTATCAAACCCTTGTATCAAGGGCTTTCAACAGATTGAAGCCAGGAAGTTGCTCTGCCACAAGTGGGTCATCTTTGAATGGTTTAGCACCAGGCTCTCCACAATGTGTGGTGTGTGGCAGGGCCAGCCAGTGGAGACCGTGAGGGAATGAACCAAGGCCCCACTCTGCTGCTGCATTGGTTCTCCTGGGTGAGTTTCTGATTTAGAAGCATTCAGTCATAATCCCATAGATGGTAGCTTTGCCCATTGGCTCCTCAGTCATGCACATCTACCAAATGTCTGAACCTGCGGAGCGAATGGTTTTTAAGGTACTATGGCCATGAGGGTGGGTGTACAAGCAGAGCACTCATGTACCATGGACATGTTGCCAGCAGTGCTTCTCAGTGGGTCAGTGAATCAAAATCCCTGGGAAGTGGGGTTGTGGTTAGTATAGGGTTTCCAAGGCTATAAAGCTCTGAAAGAGTAGAAAGGTAGTATTAAAAATGGCGATCCTTGATTCATAATATTTGAGGTAGGCTCTGGAATCTGAGTTTCATAGATCTGCAGGTACTTTTGTAGAGTTTGAGAACCACAGGTTTTCAATGATAAAGATTTGACCAGGCTTTATGGACAAAGTGCCACCAAAGAACTTCATAAATGCATCTAATGTTCTGTATTGGAGCCGAGAGAGTGAAGGGGCTGGTGCATGAGATGAGTGTGTCTGTGCTCACCTGTCAGCACTCAATCTAAGACTAAACCAAACCTATTGCTCTGGTAGCGTAGTGGCTATGAGTCGGGCTGCTAACCTCAAGGTCAGCAGTTCCAAACTACCAGCTGTTCTGCAGGACAAAGATGAGGCTTTCTGCTCCTGTAAAGCTTTATAGCCTTGGAAACCTATACAGGGTTGCTATAAGTTGGAACCAACTCTACCATTGCCCTGGAGCTGATTCTAGCTCACAATGGCTAAGCATATGGCTGCTAGCCGAAAGGTCTGAACCCAGGAGAAAGATGAGGCAGTGTGCGGCCATAAAGGTTGTTGTTGTTGTTAAATGCTGTCGAGTCAGTTAGGACACATAGCAACCCTGTAAAGGGATTCCGAGGAGTGGCTGGTGAGTTTGAACCGCCAACCTTGTGGTTCAAACTGAACTTGTGATCCAGTGCCGTATCCTGCAGTGCCACACCAGGGGCAGTTCTGCTTTGTCCTATAGGGTCCCCATGAATCAATCTAAGATCTCGTGTATAGAATGGATCACTTGTTTAGGGATTGTTGGCATCTGAAAAGGATATTTATTAGTGCTGAAAGCGGGGTATGCTCATGGCCTCCATTTTAGCAACTTAAACATATTGCAACATTTAAAGGATCCTTTTGATATTGAAGGATCCTTAATGAGCAAAGCCAAGAAAGTGAATGGATGGAGAATTGGGGGCCAAGGTAGATGTTTGGGCCACCGTGCCATGAATGAGTCCTGTGGAAGCGGTTCCAAGCATTTGCTCAGACAAACAGGGTGTCACTTGCCATTCTTCTCTACTCGTGGCTGAACTGTGCCTCCTTTACAAACAGCTGAAGGGACTCCTACACGTGGCTGGGAGGATGTTAGGGGTGGGGTGGAGCAGCCTTTAGCATAGTTGGTTTCTGACCTCAGGTGGGTGGTAGGTTTTCTCCATGTCAGACTTACCCCCAAGGGCTTCCGTGAGCTGCTCCTCTGAGGGCTCCGGGTGGTTCCTCAAAAGCGTGTACATGGACATCACCATCCCAGGGGTACAGAATCCACACTGGGTGCCATGACTCTTGGCGATCCTCTCCTGGAAGGACACATGCCTGGTCAGAGGCTTTGCCTTCCTGTGGTCACCACCTCCTCGCGAGGGTTCATGCCCTTGCCATAGTAGAACTCACTCCCTGAGTAAATGAACCCCTCCTCCTCATTAGTCTGCGATCATCTCTTCACCAAGTCAGATTGGATGAGGTGACTCAGATGCCATATTCCATCATTACAATGCTTTCCGAAGGTCAAATACCTAAACCTTTCTACTTGTAGAGATCAGAATGTACGATAATGAAATCCCAGAATTCAGGTTTCTTGACCTGCATGTAAACATCCAGTCCAACTTTCTGTCCAATAGACATGGAACTACTCACAATGTTGATCATTCTGGTTCTATGACTCCCCAAGCACCATGACAATGACATGACAATGACATGCATGCCACAGTACTCCTAAATCTGGCCTGTGCATTCTGGTTTCAGTGTAGGATTTGGAGAAATGATTAGTCTGCTAAACTCAGTTTTAGATTCCACTCTTGGTCCACGGCCCTACCCACCAATTCTGATTTAACTCCTAAAATACTCCATGTCCCAGAGGATAAGCCTGAATTTTATCCTGTTGATCTGGGAGACATTTATTCTAGATTATAGTCTGATAAAGGATTACGAGCAGGGCCTGTAACCGCAAGGTTAGCAGTTCAAATTTACCAGTCTTGAAACTACTGGTGTGGCTCTGTAGGATTAGCGCTGGACTGCTAACCACAAGATCAGAAGTTCAAATCCAGCAGCTACTCCTCAGACACCCTATACAGGGTCTGTATGAGTTGGAATTGGCATTTAGCAACGACAACTGCAGGAGGAAGATGAGGCTTTCTGCTCTTAGAAAGATTTACAGCCTTGGAAACCCTAGGCAGGGTGGCAACGGAATCAGTGATACGTAAGCACCATCACCACCATGATCTGTTAGGAGTCCTGGTGTGGTGCTGTAGAATAAGCATTGGACTGCTATCCAAAATTTGGTGGTTCAAACCTACCAGCTGCTCCTCAGAAATACTATACAGGGTCGGAATTGACAGCACTTAACAACAACACGGTCTGATAAGCATCAGTCTGTATTTTGATAATTCTGTTATGATTCAAGTAGCAAGAGTAAGAAAAAAGATGCTAATCTAATCTAATTCAGACAGATTCCTAGCCTTCTCTGAAATAATTTACCAGATGCCATTATCCTGACCAATATGCATCCAAAGCTTCTACTTACCTGACTATAACCTAGAGACTCAGGCAGCACAGTGAACACAGTATTTGTTCAAAAGATAAAGTTAGAAAGTGAGACACCTGGGATGTCATCTTACCTGTACAGGGTGAATCCTGGTTTTGATGCTTCCAACACCTTCCACAGTGGTGATGGCAGTTCCATACAGAGAGCAGATGGGCACCAGGCAGGCGGTGACGGAAAAGTGTCTTTGCAAGAGAAGCACAGGGGAAATGAAAGGTGAACAACAGCTTGTGGGGAGACCACAAGCAGACCAAGGGCAGCAGAGAACTCACAGCAAACTATGACTCAGTCTAGGGGCTGAGGAACTGAGGGAGGGCAGGGGATTGAGTTTAGAGTCCTTTCTGCTGACTCTGTATTAGCTATAAGATTTTGGGGATTCCTGGGGAGAATCTGGACATTAGAAAAAGTTTCCAAGCCCAGAACAGATGGACCTGTGGGAATAGAAATGGACTCATGTCACCATGACTGTGGTTGGCGCATTAGCACCATAACAACAGAAGGCACACACCTATGTCCCTTACCCATATCTATATGTTTAGGGGGAGTCCTGGTGTGGCGCTGTGTATCAGCACTAGACTGCGGACCGCAAGATTGGCAGTTCAAACCCACCAGCTGCTCCTTGGAAACCCTATACATGGTTACTATCATTTACAACCAACTTGATGGCATGTAACAACAACAACAAATATATTTAGGAAATTTTTTACTTGTTAATTTTAAGCTTTCTGGATAAGGTCATGCAACAATAATGGATAGCCTGTATTTTAGACCATCTCTTGCTTTCTTGGCTAATAGATTTTGGGGAAGCTCAAGTTCTAGAGTCTAGCTCTTAATTAAATATTGTAATCATAGCCCAAGATCCTAATCTATGGGGCCTTTGGCCTAGCCCAACAATTGAAATAGCATTAACTTCAGAGCCACAGAACATGGGTTCAAGTCCTTATTCTACCACTTACTAGAGTATGACCTTGAAAAAGTCACTTAAACTCTTTGAACCTCATTTGTAAATTGAATTGAACTAAATTGAGGTTTCTTAATCTGGCGTGCATCAATGTGACTTGGAAGGGTCATGAGCTACCTGAAACTGTATGAACAATGTAACTAGAGTATGTATTCTCTGAATAGATGGTTCATAGATTTATCGAGCTTTTTGAGGGATCTAAGATCCAAAGATGGCAAGAATCACAGGCTTGGTGGACCACTGAAAATCTCTTTCAGCTGTGAGATGAGACTAGAAGCCTGACAAAGAAACAGTATACTCTGAGTTTCCAGGCTTCTGGGAAGGATACCTTATCTTCTTGGATGTGGGATCGAGCCTGGACACCATCACGGTACACGCCCCGCAGCCTCCTTGTCCACAGCCATACTTTGTTCCTGTGAGGCGTACTGGAAAGACGTAGTCAAGGAAAAGATGTCAAGATGGATAGAATTGTCTCTATGGTGTCACTATCAAGAAGGATCTTCTCTGGAGGGAGAGGGGTCAGTCTAAGGAGTCATTCACCTACCTTAAAGTCTCTGTACAGGCTACTCCATATTTTATTAAATGCTGTGTGCCCCTGGACATATTAATCTGCCCCTGCCTGTTTTTTCACTTGCAAAAAGAGAAGGTAGACCTACTTACAACAACAACCTTCAAAGGGCCCTGGTGGCACAGCACCTTAAGCATCGGACTGCTAACTGCAAGATTGGAAATTCAAACTCATCAGTGGCCCCATGAGAAAAAGATGAGGCTGTCTGCTCCCCTAAAGATTTACAGTCTTGGAAAACCTAAAAAGCAGTTCTACTTTATCCTATATAGGGTTGCTATGAGTAAGAATCAACTTGATGGCAGTGGATGGGTGGTGGATACTTCACCTTCACAAGATTAACAGAATCATTTTGTAAGATAACACACACAAATGCCCTTTTAAAAATCCTCTATCCGTATATTGCTGTTAGTTGATCTCTAAGCGATTCCAACTCGTGTGTACTGAGTACTGCGCTCCGCAAATGCCCTTTTAAAAATCCTCTATCCGTATATTGCTGTTAGTTGATCTCTAAGCGATTCCAACTCGTGTGTACTGAGTACTGCGCTCCGCAAATGCCCTTTTAAAAATCCTCTATCCGTATATTGCTGTTAGTTGATCTCTAAGCGATTCCAACTCGTGTGTACTGAGTACTGCGCTCCGCAGGATTTTCAAGGCTTTTTGTTTCTGAAGCACCTCTGCGTGGTTTGAACTGCTAATGTTTCAGTTAGTATTTGAGCTTGTAACCACTTGTGCCATCCATTATTATGTCTTCTGGGTTCCAATCATAATTGAAAGAGTTTTACTTTCAACAGTTCAATTATGACTAGTTTTGTCCACTAATTTGTCTTGCATTTGAAAACAAGATGGTGAGAAATCCCCAACCTCATTTCAGATCCTATCTTTCATATTCTGATGCTCCTGCTTGGTCCAGGTTCTAATTCCAATGAATCCCCAGCTCTCTCTTTTAAATCCAACCTTCTTCTGACTCATGGCCCATTTCCACACAATTGATGGGATTGGGTACAATTAATTGGACCAAGTAAGTAGGTTTCAGAATCACAAACTCAATTGTTATTACATTAAAAAAACAAAACAAAATTATAGGGTTTGTCCATTTAAATTAAGAATTCTAACCTCCAATGTTTATCAGAGCAGTTAAGTAGGTTGAGTGGACTGGCTGTAAGGAGTGCTCCTACCCCGTTTTATGTTGAAAACAGTCTCAGGGCCTGTTCACATCTAGGCAAGACTGTTGCTTCACAGGAAAGACTACCTTCTCATTTTTTATGAGAAGTTGGAAATCTGGATTTTTAAAATAGAAAATTTCCTGATTTATAAATATTAAGCATTAACAATAATAACAATAAACCTCATGTAGTCTTTTAAAGAAAAGTGTCCAGCCACCAACTCCACCACTTTGTCATTCATATTACTTAATTCTGGCTGAAAGAACTGCAGAAAAAAATTCAAGGCTTGACTTACAATATTAAAGGATTCTAACAGATTCCAAAGGAGCTCTGGTACCATACTGGTTATGAATTGGGCTGCTAACCTCAAGGTTGGCAGTTCGAAACTACCAGCCATTCCATGGGAGAAAGATGAGGCTTTCTGCTCCCGTAAAGATTTACAGCCTTGGAAACCCCGTGCAGGGTCACCATGAGTCAGAACCGACCCCACGGTATTTAACAACAACAACAACAACAACAACAACAGATTCCTGGTGGTGTGCTGTAGGATCAACACTGGACTGCAAACCATAAGACAGCAGTTCAAACCAACAGCTTCTCCTAGGAAACCCTATACAGGATTGTTATGAGTTGGAACCAACTTGACAACACTGAACAAAAACAACAATGGACAAAATATTGAATGATGCAGAAAGCATCAAAAGAAGATAGAAATAATAGACAAAGTCACTGTACCAAAAACAAATGGTAAATATTTAACCATTTTAAGAGGTAGCGTATGATAAAGAGCCAGTGGTACTGAAGGAAGAAGTCCAAGGTGCACTGAAGGCACTGGCAAAGAACAAGGCTCCGGGAATTGATGGACTACAAACTGAAATCTTGCAGTAAACTGATGCAGCACTGGAGGCACTCACTCAACTATGCCAAGAAATTTGAAAGAGCTACCTGACCAACTGATTGGAAGAGATTCATATTTGTGCCTATTCCAATGAGAAGTGACCCAATGGAACACAGAAATCATTGGACAATATCTTTAATATAGTTGTTGCTGTTGTTAGGTGCCATCGAGTTGGTACTGACCCATAGCGACCCTATGCATAATAGAATGAAACACTGCCCGATCCCGGGCCAACCTCACCGCTGTTGCCACTCTTGAGTCCATCGATGCTGCCACTTGGCCAATCCATCTCACTAGGGGTCTTCCTCTTTTTCTCTGACCCTCCACCTTACCAAACATGATATCCTTTTCCAGTGACTGCTATCTCCTGACAATATGTCCGAAGTATGAGAGACGAAGTTTGGCTATCCTGGCCTCCAAGGAGCACTCTGGCTGCACTTCTTCCAAAATGGATCTATTGGTTCTTTTGGCAGCCCATGGCACTTTCAATATTCTCCTCCAACACCATAACTCAAAAGCGTCAATTCTTCTACCGTCTTCCTTATTCACTGTCCAGCTTTCACATGCATATGAGGTCATTGAAAATATCACGGCTTGGGTCAGGCGCACCTTAGTCCTCAAGCTGACATCTTCACTCTTCAACACTTTCAAAAGGTCTCGTGTAGCAGATTTGCCTAATGCAATACATTGTTTGATTTCTCGACTGCTGCTTCCGTGAGTGTTGATAGTTGATCCAAGAAGAATGAAGTCTTTGACAACTTCAATATTTTCTCCATTGTTAAGAATGTTGTTTATTGGTCCAGTGGTGATGATTTTTGTTTTCTTGACATTGAGATGTAATCCATACTGAAGTCTGTATTACTATATTAATATAGTATGCAACTAGATTTTGGCTAAAGATAGTTAAAATATGGCTGAAGCAGAGCTTAAGCCAGGACGTGGAACAAGAGATATCATTGCTGACGTCAGATGGATCTTGTCTGAAAGCAGAGAATACCAGAAAGACGCTTACCTGTGCTTTATTGATTATGCAAAGGTTTTCGATTCCGTGTATCATGATAAGATATGGACATTTTGGAGAATGAGTATTCCAGATCACTTAATTGTGCTCATGAAGAACCTGTACATAGACTAAGGCAGTCATTTGAACAGAACAAGGAGATACTGAACGGTTTAAAATAAAGAAAGGTGTGTGCCAGCATTGTATTATTTCACCATACTTATTCAATCTGTACGCTAAGCAAATAAATTGAGAAGCTGGATTATATGAAGAAGAATGTGGCATCAAGATTGGAGGATGACTCATTAACAACTTCTGATATGCAGATGATACAACCTTGCATGCTGAATGTAAAGAGGACTTAAAATATTTACTGATGAAGATCAAAGACCACAGCCTTCAATATGGGTTGCATCTCAATGTAAAGAAAACAAAAATCCTCACCATTAGACCAATAAATAACAACACAAAATGGAGAAGAGATTGATGTTGTCAAAGACTTTCTTTTACTAGCATCAACTATCAACTCTGAAGAAAACAGCAATCAAGAAATCAAATGATGTATTGCATTAGGCAAATCTGCTGCACAAGACCTCTTTAAAGAGTTCAAGAGCAAAGATGTCAGTTTGAGGACTAAGGTGCACCTGACCTAAGACATGAAAATTTCAATAGCTTCATAGGCATGTGAAAGTTGGACAATGAATAAGGAAGACCACAAAAGAAATGATGCATTTGAGCTACGGTGTTGGAGGAGAATATTAAAAGCACCACCGACTGCCAGAGAACAAACCAATCTGTGTTGGAAGAAGTACAGCCAGAATGCTCCTTTGTCCCTCATCCTTTAGACATATTTTTAGGAGGCACCAGTCTCTGGAGAAGGACACCATGCTTGTTAAAGTGGCGGGTCAGCAAAGAAGAGGATGACCCCCAACAAGTTGGATTGGCACAGTGGCAACAGCGATGGGCTAAAAGGGTAGTAATGATTGTGAGGTTGGCCCAGGACAAGGCAGTCTTTTGTTCTGTTGTACACGGGGTCACTGTGAGCAGGACCAACTTTATGGCATTTAACAACAGCAATAATACTTGATTATTTTGAGTTCTCAGAAAGATCCATTAGATTTACCAATTTAAATGTGTTTTCCATTATGTATGTATGAAATACAGATGTATTTCAGAATATAAAATGGTGGGGAAGATGTGGTGTAAGAAAACAGATGTATTTATACATGCTGCAAATATATCTGTGAATATGGTAAAACATACAGGGGACAAAGTTATGAAAACTTGTTAGCCATAATCCAACACCTTAAGGGAAGGGGTTTCTGGGTCTGGGGTTCAGAACCACAGTCTCCAGCAACATCAAGGTCAATTGAAATAAGATAGTACACAAAGACAATGTTTTCTATCCCACTTTGGTGAATAGTGACTGAGGTCTTAAAAGCTTGTGGTTGACTATTGGTGCAACTATTGATTTCTCCCCATCTGGAGCAAAGAATAATGAAGTAAACCAAAGAAACATGGAAACAATGAGTCTAAAGGACTAATAGACTCCATGAATCCCAGCCTCCATGACTCTGAGACCAGAAGAACTAGATGGAACCTGGCTGCCACTGCAGACCTATTTGAAAGAGATCACAATAGGAGGTCCTTGATACAATGGGGAAAAAAGGTGCAACAAACCCCCAAATAATTAAAAAAAAAAGACCAGGCTTATTGGCTTTCTAAAGATTGGTGGAATCCTTGAACTACAGCCCTTTGTCACCCTTTAGGCCCAGGTCCAAACTCAACCCTGCAGTTCAACTTTCAGCCAAACAATACACAGTCATATACGGTGATCAAAGGGAGTGTGGTGGTTCTGTATGATAAGCACTGGGCTGCAAACCACAAGGTTGGCAGTTCAAGCCCACCAGCTGCTCCATGGGAGAAAGATGAAGCTTCCTGTTCTGCCCAGATGTACAGCCTCAGAGACCATATACAGGGTTGCTATGAATTGGAACCAACTTGACGGCACTTAACAACAACAACAACAACACTTACATATAAACTTTAGTATAAATAACATCAGAGAGGTACACACTTTTTAGAACAACCAATCATGTAATCAACCATGAGAGATCAAAAGGGCAGCATTTGCCTAGGCCAGTGATCAGAAGGTAGGAAGGGCTAATGGAATTGGTAAGCACAGAGAGGAAGTGGGAAGAGTGCTGTTGCATTGTGGGAATTACAATGTCATGAACCAAATGTGTATGAATTGTTGAATAGAAAAACAAATTGCTATTTAAATTTTTACTCAAATCACAATGGAAATAAAGAGAAAGGAAGAAAACAAATGCAAGGAAAAGAAATCTTTTCTAATGACAAAGCTCTCATGAAACCTGTAGAATTTGGTTTCACTCAAGGGCAGGGCATGTGTAACTCAGCCCTCCATTACATAACAACTCTGGTGGGAGCTGGTCAACCCTTAAGGGAATCACTAGTGTTGAAGTAAAGAGCTTACTTAGCTTATATTTCACTGCTATTAAATCCAGATATAAGAAACTTCGGGGAAACTTCATCCTCTCCAAAAGAATTCAATTAACCTAATACCTTCAAAACCATTGCCAAAAACAAGGAAGGAGCAAGGGCCAAGGGAGCTGGAGGTTTTGGGAAGGAAGGATTTGATTAGTTCTCATCATTGCAGCTGCTCTGAACTTTTAAACAAACATAGACATGGCCAAAGCTTTAACAAAAAGGATACAGCTCTTTCGCAGAAAGGTCAGCAGAGTCACTTCCGGGTCCACATTCCTCTCTACCACCTGTGTGGAAGCAGAAAAGAGATTACTGTGGAGGTTTGGGAGTCCTGGTGTAGCTGTAGGATAAGCACTGGACTGCTAACTGCAAGGTTGGTGGTGGTTCGAAATCACCAGTCACTCCTCAGAAACCTTATATAGGATCCTTATGAGTCAGAACTGACTCAACGATGGCACTTAACAACCTAACCTGGGGGTTGGATCAGTGACCCAGTGAATGTTTGTCATGACTTGCTTGATTTAGGGGTTGGGGCATAGTATTAGGTCCAGTTCCATCTACCCTTGTGATTTTGTGCTCTGAGGACAAACAGCTTCCTCACACAAGTACAGAGCAGGGGACACACGAAGCAAGTGTGACAATAATGCTCCTACTTGTGATTGGTGCTGGAAACGCCTGCTGTGGGACAAGATGCCCCCTGGCAGTTGTTTTTCCTACGCTTGCTCTATTATCCATCTTTGTGGAAGCTGGAATCTTGGACCCAGTCTCTTGTACTCTTGAGATATTTGCACTCCGGGAGGGATTGGGATGCCTGGTCTATGCTGGTATGCAGGCATGTGCTTGCAATGCCAGATCCTAGAGGGAGGAAAGCTGAGTAAGTCCCTATGAGACCCCTTTAAAGGCAACAAACTTCATAGCATTTGAGGCCTTAAAAAGGCATCCTGGTGGGGCAATGGGTTAGGTGTTGGGCTGCTAATCAAAAGGCTGCCAATTTGCACCCACCAGACACTCTGCTAGACAACGGCAAGGCTTTCTGCTTCTGTGAAAATTCACAGCCTTGGAAACCCATGAAGCAGTTTTGCTACAGGGTTGGTATGAATGGGAATTGGCTTGAGGGTAGTGGGTTTGAGTTTTTGGGAGTTGGGGGCCTTAAGACTGGTGGCAGAAAGCAAGGTGAGGAGTTGCTGTCATTCGTGAACTGACCAGATGCCGAGTCATGATGCCCCAGCTTAAGACCCAGTGTACCTCTGGTGGGAGACTAGCACCCTAACCCCTTCACCTTGGAGAGTGAGGGATTAGCACTCAAAAGCCACGGAGGGGCATTCTTTGCTGTTTCTTTCCCTATATGCTTATTTTGGAATATTTCCTTTGATTTTTGCCTTGGAGGTGTCCTGCAAACACCTCCAGCTATTCTGTTGCATCAGAGGGAAGGCTGATACAATGGGCCGTTCATTTTAGGTTCTTCCATTCCCTATAGAAAAAGACATAAATGTTTGTAGATGTCAAAGAATAAAAAAAGTATTGAAAGTTTCTTCTAAGCTGCAATACTAAAATTCAATTATTTTCTGGATCTTTACCAAAAAAAGCAAAACCAAAGAAACCCCAAATCTGTTGTCACTGAGTCAATTCCAACACACAGTAACTTCATGGGACAGAGTAGAACTGCCCCTTAGGGTTTTCAAGGCTGTGACACTGTAGGATAAGCACTGAACTGCTAATTGCAAGATCGGCAGTTCAAACCCACCGTCCACCCCTCAGAAACCTGATACAGAGCTGCTCTTAGTCAGAATTAACTCAGTGGCATTTAACAGAACAACAATCTTTACTGAAGCACACGTCTTTCTCCTGGTTAGCAGTTGGGTGTTTTAGTCACTGTACCACCAGGGCTCCCTCTCTGGATTTCTGTTGTTGTTAAGTGTCGCTGAGTTGGTTCCAACTCATAGTGACCCTGTATAGGATTTCTGAGGAGCAGCTGCTGAGTTTGAACCGCCAACCTTGTGGTTCAAACTGATCTTGATGTTAAGTGCTTATCCTATGGTGCTACACCAGATCTCTGTTGTTGTTAAGTGCCGTTGAGTCAGTTCCGACCCATAGTGACCCTGTATAAGGTTTCCAAGGAGTGGCTGGTGAGCTAGAACCACCAACCTTGCGATTCAAACAGACTTTGCAGTTCAGTGCATTAACCCACAGCAGGTCTCTAGGGGGACCTTAATCAATTAAAGAAGTCCTCCTCTGCCTGCTTTTACTGCCATCCTTGTTGTTGTTGTCAGGTGCCATCAAGTCGGAACCGACTCATAGCGACCCCATGCACAGCAGAACGAAAAAATGTCCCATCCTGGGCCAACCTCACTACCGCTGCCATACTTGACGCCATCAATGATGCCACCTGGCCTATCCAGCTCGTTGGGGGTCTTCCTCTTTTTCTCTGACCCTCCATCTTACCCAGCATGACATCCTTCTCCAGAGACTGTTCCCTCCTGACAATATGTCCAAAGTTTGGCCATCTTGGCCTCCAAGGAGCACTCTGGCGGCACTTCTTCCAAAACAGATCTATTGGTTCTTTTGGCAGTCCATGGCACTTTCAGTATTCTCCTCCAATACCATAACTCAAAGGCAACTGCCATCCTAGGCCTTTAAAAATGTCTACTGAGAATGTGGCTGGCTACTATTTTTGAAATTTTAACTGACTTCTGCCTCTACTACACATCTGTATTTTCTCTAACACCTAGAATTACTCCCTGTTTTGACTACTGCTTCTTCATTATGGGCCTCATGACTCAGGAAGGGATGGGAGATAGAATGTAGCAGAAGGAGTCACCTCTGACTTTTGTATCTCAAAAGCCTAAGCCAGTGGGATAGGCAAGGACTTAGATCACAAAAGGTAGTTTCAGAAGAATGGATGCTGGTTATCGGTCATGGAGAGAGCAGAGAAAGCTAGAAGGGAAGAAATGAGTGTGTAGAGGGTCTATAAACTCTGCTTCCTTTCTTGCATCAAGTCCTGAGGGTGGGTATGGGTATGACCAAACCCTAGTTAGGTTTGTGGGTTTGGAGAACTGAGGGATCTTTGAAGGGGTCTTCTCGAGGTTATGAGATGGTGTACCCTAGGATCAGAATAGTTCCCTTGAGAGACACATAGACTCATGATGGGAAGGGACCTGCTAGAGGGTACTGGGAGTCAGCTGGTAGCTTGGAGGGACTGATAGTGAGGCGTGGTGGAGGGAGAATGACTCTCCCAGTGATGCCAGGGAAAAGTGATATCCACCCACCCCCTGTCAATGGAACTTGTGCCCCCTGGAACTCAGCTACAACCCAGGGGAAGAGGGGGACTCCAATGGACTGTGATTACATTGTAACCAATTCTGTAACATGGGGACTTGACAGCAAAATTAAACTGATATGTAGAGAAACACCCACAAGGAATATGTAGCAGTCTGCTTCTATAAAGAGCTATAGCCTTGGAACTATTATGGGGTAGTTCTACTCTGTGTGGAATATCACTATGAGTCGCAATAGACTTAAAGCCAATGGGTTTGGCTTAGAAAACAATTTTTTTTTTTTTTTTTTTTTAAATAGAAAAACGGAGCTCCATTTCTCATCCACCTAAATTTGATAGTGGAGACGTTACTAGATACAGTACTAAGTGCTTTATGAGCATTTGTTGTTGTTGTTAAGTGCCGTTGAGTCGGTTCTGACCCATAGCGACCCTGTACAGGGTTTCCGAGGGTGTAAATCTTTACGGGAGTAGAAAGCCTCATCTTTCTTCCGCGGAGCGGCTGGTAGTTTCGAACTGCTGACCTTAAGGTTCGCAGCCCGATTCGTAACCACTACGCTACCAGAGCTCCTTTAGGGGAGTCTTAATTAATGAAAGAAGAAGCCCTTTTAAAGTCTTTACAATAGCCAGAGGAAGTGGGTTCTAAAGATTCAGATTCTGAGGCTCAGAGAGATGAAGAATTTAGCATAAGATCACACAATAAAAGAAAGCACTGACTTGAAACCCCAGCAGTCCATAAACACAGCAACAACAACAAAAACCAAACCCGCTACCATGAAGCAGATTCTTATTCATAATGACCCTATACAGCGTTTCTAAAACTGTAACTCTTTACAGGAGCAGACAGCCGCATCTTTCTCCCACACAGCAGCTGGAGGGTTGAAATACTAACTTTGCAGCTAGGAACTCAACATTTAACCTCAGTGCCACCAAGGCTGCTTTACCCATACCAGGGCATGTGCAATTAACCCCCAAATGTTTCACTGCCTCTCCACATTCCCAGGGGCTGAGTCCAGGCTGAATCGGGTGAGGAAGGCCAAATTAATCTGGGTTCTTGGAGACCCTGGTTAATCAAAACCATGAGTAAATTCCAACTCATGAGGAGCCCATGCATGTCAGAGCAGACCTGTACTCCTCAGGGTTCTCAATGGCTGATTTTTCAGTAGATTCCCAGCATTTTCTTCTGAGGCACATTTCAGTGGACTCAAACCTTTAACTTTCTGGTTGGCACCAAGTGTGTTAACTGTACCACTCAGGAACTCCAGTCCTATTATTTGCCCCTTAACAGGAGGGAGGCTCATCCCAAATGGGCCACAACAGCCACCCTCAGCCTAGCTTTTTTTTCTGGTGCCTCTGCAAGCCACAGCATTAGCACCTAATACTTACCTTTCTCCCGTTCACAAAGAAAACCAACTCATCCGATCTTGTCGGGCAAGGCATCACACCAAGTTTCGCCTTACAGTTCTAAATGGGAATGTTCTTTGAGCAGGAAGGATTTAGGTCCAAGCCACCGGATTCCCCCTGGTCAGGAAGCAGATGACCTGAACCTCAGAGAGGAGGGCAGGAGGTGAAGACTTCCTTGCTTCATGGTCTTTTAAATGGAGGGCAGCAGTGAGGCCCAGCCCTTACCTCATACCTCCTCTGCATCCTCCACCAATCCTGGCTTTGATGCCAGTTCAGTATTCAACCCATACTCCACACCTCCTCTTGCTTTTCCTGATACTTGAGGGCTTCAATGGGAAATCCATAAACCTACTTACCAAACTGCTTACCCAAGGAACAAACCCAAGATGGGCTTTATTCTTCTGAAAGAGAACCATATTCTGTTGGAACCTGACATTTATCTATTAGAAATCTTCTACTGGCCTCCCATCACACTTAGTAAAACCTCTTATTTGTGCCTTGGGACACCAGGGATTGGCCCTGCCCAGGTGTCTGAGCACATCTTGAACTATCCTGTGCTTTTTTCAGTCTCTGCCACGCTGATCTTTTTCCTTTTTCTTCTTCTGTTTTTTGTTTTTTTATAAGTAAGTTTTTAATTATGAATTGAGTGAATGTTTACAAAGCAGATTACTAGTCCCATGTTCAACAAATCATACATTTCATTACAATGACTGCAATCCCCTCCATGTACCATCAGTTAACGGTATTTACGTGTCCTGACTTTAACCCTTGCACTCCTCCCTGTGTCTTCAGCTTCTTGAATTTGCTGAATTTCTTCCCGTCCTCAGGCCTTGGTACATGTTATTCGCTCAGACCCTACTTCACTTCTCCCAAACTTTGATATGGTTGGTGTCTTCTTGTTATTTGGGCGTGAGCTCTTCCCTGACCACCCAGTCTAATGTAGCATTTCCATCCCTATCCCATCCGTCACTCTGCTTCATTTTTTCCATACAACACATCACTATGGACATATATCTTGTTTACCTTTGTGTTGCCTGCTTTCTTCATGAGGAGAAACTCCACCAGGGTAGAGAAGTTACTTCTAATTCACCACCATACCTCCAGGGCCAGAATGGTGCCTACCACAGAGTAAATGCCCAAACAGTGTATGTTGAATTATTTTGAAAAAGGCTTGCTCATACCTGTCATAATGACGACTATCTCCTTGTCCTTTTGCAATGCCTCCCTCCCTCTCTACCCTCCATCAAAATGCAACTCCATACATGCAACCACATGGGTGAGCCATGAAAAATTTTTGCTAGATAAATATGTATGATCCTACAATACAAAATACCTAGAATGGGCAAATGCAGAGAGATTGAAGTTTGCTAGGGTTTCTAGGGGCTGTGGGTTGGGGAGAGATAAGGGGCAAGTTATTACTTAAGGTGTACTGAGTGCTGATGGTTGTACAACATGGTGATTGTAATTTAGATCTCTTAATTGTATGAGTTTTAGAATAGTTAAAAATGCAAAGTTTTTATTATATAGATTTTACCTCATTAATAAGGAGCTCTGGTAGTGTAGTGGTTACGAATTGGGCTGCTAACCTCAAGGTCAGCAGTTTGAAACTACCAGCTGTTCCGCGGGAGAAAGATGAGGCGTTCTGCTCCTGTAAAGATTTACAGCCTTGGAAACCCATGAAGCAGTTTTGCTAC